TGGTTTATATCGACGATGGCAACATGGTCGCTTATGAAACGCTGGACACCGAGAGAATTATTTCCACCGCCGAGATACAATGATGATGACGAAGAAGAAGATGATGAGGATGATACAGATGAAAAGAAAGTATGAGATGATCATTTCTTTTTATCTTTCGAAAAGTCAATTTTGCAATAGTGCGAACAACAATCGGGTATATGTGGCATCGCTTCGATGCGTTATGCAAATGGAATTTTACATTTTCTCGCTCGTCATGAACGTCATTGGTCTCTGCATTTATTTACCGTAGTCATCAATGAAAAACAACAAAAACTTCTACCTCAACGTCGTATCGATATCGATTTAACACATCTTCGCTTTGCTGGAGAAAATTTCCAGATGGAAGTTTTACCCGGTGAACAAGGTTGGTTATTTGCTATTCGACGTCCTTATCTTATTCATTTACATTACAACGGTAAAGACGGTAAGAGATTCGCACAATTACATAAGCTTCGTCTATTATTCAGAGTTTATTATAGTCCGAAAATTGTCGTTACCTACGACGAAACGTTGTGCGGATTCGATCTATAACGTTTGTATTATGGATGAACGTGGGAAACGACGTGAAAACGGAAAACATCTAGTCGTACGTGACGTGAACTCGATTCGATTCTACAAACTCTAGATGAAACTTAAACATTTCTTTTCTATCTCTCTGTTTGTCTCTATGTATAAACAAAAACAATCTATTTTGTCTGTTTCAGTTCAGACTTTTTCTCTTTCTTTTTTGTGAATGTGTGTTGTGTTTATGTAGAAAAGTGAATGCTGAAAAAGCCTATTGTTGTTTGTTTTTTTATTCTAAGTACTTCGGTATATTTTTCTTTTGTTAGTAGTTATTTTTTGGATGGGAGTCCTTTGTTATTATTTGCATTCTATTATATGTGTTCAAAATAGAATTGAAGGAGAACAGAATCGATTATTCGATCCAATTCCGGATTTATCGAGTTGTTCAAACAGCTACATTAATGAGTTTAACAGAAGAAGAGAAGAAAAAAAGAAATGAGAATGACCACCACCCAAGAAAAAAAAAGAAAATTAAAGTGTTAAATATAACTCGATTAGGTGGACTTTTGTCTATAAAACTATCAACATACACACCGACCAAAGAGGCATCATCATGTTTGAATCATATTTTCGTGTGGTTTTTGGATATTATTTTGTTGCAATCAAAATCGGATCCTTTCGGCCATTTTCTGACCAAAGTCGCGATCAAGATGAGATAGAAGGACGAGTATTCGATGAACAACATTTCGATCCGTACACTGTCCTAAACTTTCAGCAATATTATTAAGCAAATTAGCTCGATCTTGATTGTTCAACACTCTCTGCAAACGAATGAAAATTCTAATAGGAAATTATACAAATCGAAAAACTATTACTTGGTAGAAATCACGTGGTTGAGAAAAATCATCTTCACCTAACATCATGTATTGTCCAAAGACGGTAGCGTCTAAGATCCCAGGCTGCGTATCTGTTTGTCACAATGCAAAATTTGTGAACAGAACGATGAATTACTATGCTTACTTGTTTGCATGAAATGTTGATGCAGAGGATTTCCACGAAAGTTATGATTTGTTTGTGGGCTGTTGACAGGAACGGCTAGAGTATTTGTACCAATCCGACGTTGTTGGGGATCGCTGTAGGCAGTTAGACGAAACTGAAACCATTCTTTGTTTTAAGTCTGGTGAGTTAGGTAGATGCGATACACACCTGTAGGACTTTGTCTGGTGATGGTTCGATACCGGGTGGCATATGAGTAGGACTAAAAGCTGCATGCTCGATTTGAGTAACATAATTAATTGGGTTTTCATGTAATGTTAATCTGCCAACTTTACGAAGTGGAAAACTTTTCTGAGGGAATACTTTGGTCATATCAAACGGATCGAATGGAACACTTTTAGCTTGATCATCAGTCATTACCTTTGTTTTTAATCAAGAATAGAGAGAAATACAAATCTCGTGTCTTACTTGAATGTAAAGTGTCCAACTTGGATAGTTCTTTGTTGCAATAGCATTGTATAAATCAGCTGCAGCATAATGAAGTTGCCCAAATGCTGCTGCTTTCGGTGTTGCTGGATTTAAGTTTTTGATGTTTTGATCGGACTATAATAGGAGACGAATATTTCTAGAAATGAGGTCGATGATTATCGTCAAGCAATATTCACTAGAAGATGGAATTTCACCCAAACGTATTGATTTTTGTCGTTAAGCATTTTGAATGTATGTGAACCGTAGCCGTGCATGAATCGATAGCCATCGGGTATACCACGATCTGAATGGGTTATGAGAATCTGAGCAAACAAACAAATGTGAACGATGTCTACGAAATCAACTAGTAAATTGTACATGATGCAAACTTTGAGGATTGTTTCCTACAAAATTCCAAAATGTATTCGGATCTTTCATATGTGTCTGCGGATTTCGTCTCTGCGCCTGAGCCATGGCCGAAAACTGAAACATATTATACATAAAACAACAGGTGAGAATTCTTTGAGCTTTATACCAGCGCTGGATTTCGAATTAAGAATACTGGTGAAGTGCTACAGAGAAGATCCCAAATGCCTAGTGCAGAAGAATATTAAGATTTGATCTATGAAACATGGATACATGCCTTCTTCGGTGTACATTTTAACGGCGAAGCCACGAGCTTCACGAACTGTATCGGGAAAAGCATTTCCTTCGCCTGAAAGAGTAAAATATTTACTATTAAGTCATCTGTTTTACATCAACTTACAGCCAATCGAGAAACGAACTAGGACGCGAGTTTTAGTGCCTTTTTTAAACACCTTGGCTTTACAAACATCCGAAATATCGTGATTTGCTTCAAATGTACCAAAAGCACCACCCCTAGACAAAGATGCCAATCGAAAAAGGTTTTCCTTTTGAATTCTAAATGCAGTCTAATCACCCTTTGCCATGTACAATTCGTTGTGGAACACGATCACGATTCAATCGTTCGGCTTCGTGAGCAAATGGAAAGTTAGGAAGAGTCTGTGACTCTCGAACTCCAACACTCTGATCCCTTTTTCGTTCAACGCTCGAATGTCTCATAATCTTTATTGGTATATCAAAACTCTGTAGAAAAACAAAAAAGGAACAAAATCAAATCATGTTCCTATATCATACTCACATGTGGCCTCTGTTTACGCGACTCACTGGAAGTTGAACGAAGTTGTTTAGACGGAGTCCGACTCATGCTTAGAACCCTCAGACGAAAATACGATATAGAACTAAAATTCAAAGCGAATACAAGCACGTTCGACACTCTCGAATGATTAATATTAATTGATCTCAATGTACGTAATAATCATAATTTGACAGTAACGTCGACCCCACTCTATTTCTCATCTACTCATTATCAAACGATCCGCATATATTCGATAATAATCTATACACCTTATTGCGCTACTCAAATTTGTGAACGCCACACAAAGAAAACAAAATCAAAGTAAGTTTAGAAGTAACTTCACTTGAGGTCGTTTAGATAACTAGTCCAGGTTGAAGGAAAATGCATTTCATTAGACGCAGTCAACTATGACAAAAACATCATTTAATGTTTACCCACGCATACATTGAGTGTGCTCTTCTACTATCTTCTCCTGTACGACACGTCACAGGTTGTGTAATCAAACATAAATTGAAATAGATTTTTTTCAAATTTTCTAGAAAGATTATCAGTAGTGATAAATTGATCAATCAAAATATTGTTTTTTCTTTTTCACGATGATGATTTTAACAAAAGTATGTCTTCCTTTAAACACTATTTCATCAAAGACCGTCACTCTCATTATTGCAAACGACTGATTAACTGTCAACCGAGTTGTGTTTTCGTTACAAATAGTCTCGCAGCTGATTGATATTTATCGAGTACTGACGATGATCTCCAACGTGTCGTTTGTGACATACTGATATTCAGTCGAAAATATGTTTTGTAATAATCGTAGAAAATGTTTAGACGGACAAGATCATTTATTAAATCATGCAAATGATTCCTTAGTGATTCCGAAAAAGTACATAAATATTCAAACGGAATGAAGAGGAGTATTTTGATAGATGAAAGTTGACATTGCCTTAATAGAAATCCGGCAACCAAAGTATTTCTTCGTTTATCTTTGCGGAATAGTTTTATGCATAGATTTTTCTACAAATTCCAGTTTGATTAGAAGAAATTTCGTCATCTATATCTCTTTCTGTCATCGAATGACAATTCTTTCCTTCATCACATAATCAAAAACGGTAGACGACGCGTCGAATATGGTAGACTATCTATGTATAATTTCATTAATCATTATTCTCTTTGGTTCTGATAATACAAACAGACTTGATCCTATGTATTCCGACATGTACGCAGCTCATCAGGTAAATTCGAACATGTTTAATTGAGGAAAATGGTTAATTGAATTGGAAAATGATCCATGATAGTCGACCGTTTGTTCAGCGGTCGAGACTTTCTTCGTGGGACGATTCCCATTGGTTTTTTGGACTGAGCAAACGGTACTGATTAATATTTTTGAGTAGGAAATTTGTTTTCTCGGTTCGTGTGACAATGAGATCTTTTGTAAAGAAGAGGAGAAAGAAAAAGAAGAAAAAAAAGAAAACTGCAAAAAAGAAGATATATCACAATGCTCATTCGTTTTTTCATGCTCACATTGTTGTCCGCCTGTCATCGGTACTTGTGAAAATGATGATCTCCGCAGTTTGACAACGATCAACTATCGATTTAGTAAGTCGAAAGAAATATTTCTTTTACATTATTTAAAGAGAAATCTTCGCATCTGTTGACAAGTGGACGTGAGAAGTTCTGTTGAGAGAATGTTCAAGAAGACAGTGCGAATAGCTTCGGCTTTGACGAGTACATCGCATGTTTCACTTTCTATAAATCTCCAGGAAATGGTATGACTGAGATAAAGTACGAAATGAAGTGTTCTTTTTTCTTTCAGATGTAATTCTCTTCAAAAATGTACGTGCTGCGAATAATCTTATTCCTCGATGTGACCTGTCTTCTTTCGTTTTTCGTGTTTTTCAATCCAATTCAATGTAAACCAAGTAGTGGTGGACACCTATCATCACAACGCGCACGTCCTAGCTATCCATCTGGTGGAAACCAACAACCAAATTCTCTATTATGGAGTAGTTCTTGGCTTACACCAGACTCTGGTGCCTGGTATGATAATGGTATGTAAACAGACGATCGTTATCGAAAATTCTTCTCTATATGAATATGAAAAGATGATATTACTTTTGATATTACTCATGAGAACGATTAACTAGGCAGCTAGAGCAATAATTTCAACAATTTTTCTTGTTCTCTAAACAAAAAACAGATTAGAATAGTCTGTCCTGCTCTTTTTCTCTTTCGTCAGATCCTCATCGTCTCTCTAATCATCGTCGTCGTCTTCTTCTTCTTCTTGTTCTTGTCCTTCCTCCTTTTGTTCTATCTCTTTAAGAGAAAAGATATCCAGATCTTATTACATAAATAGAGTCAGTGATACATCAATAAATGACAAACTAATAAAAAACCTATTTTTTGATTATCGCCATCATCATGTTCGTATTCGCGTTGTTTCTATTTTTCCTATTAACAAGTATCGCGCAAGTCTATTGTCAACTGATGTTTTCCAGTTTGACAATGCAAAATAAAGATAGCTCTTCGTCAGCATCATCTTCATCCAATCAACAAAATTCTCACTCGATGTTGAACTATTATCATCATCCGTATTATCATTTAGCATTCAATGAATCTGATCTAATACCGGATGAGCAACGTCTACTGGCCCAATTGTTAAGAAACTACGACCCATCTGCACGACCTGTATATAATGCATCGGACACTGTTAGTGTGGCGTTTGGTATTGCACTAACTCAACTTAGTGATATGGTATGTGAACAGATGATTGATGAAAGTTTTCGAAGATTATGTAAATATGCTTAGAATGAAAAAGAAGAAGCAGCGATGTGCAGTGAGATATAGATGAAAGGATATTTTTCTGTTTCTTTTTTGTTTGATTGACATAGTGAAGGTCAATCTTTGACATCGATAATTTAATAAGACTTTTGTTCGCTTCGAGCAATATTCATATCGAAATGAATTGAAGAAAGAAATCGTTCTTAATTAGTTTCTCGTGAATCTCTGTTGTGCTTTAAGAGACAATTACACGATACTCTTCATGTTAGACATGTCAAATTGGTTATCATGACACAAACATGAGACGTTCACAATCGCTTCTTCTTCTCACCTTATGAAAAACAGGCTTTGACATCAAATGTTTATGCACATTATTAAATATCCTTTGCATGTCTGTTTAATTTAATCATATGTCAAGACGATTATTCTGTTGCGATGCACTTTGGACTTGTTGATTTGTTGTTTTCTTTTCAATAGGATGAGAGAAATCAAATTCTGACGACAAATATTTGGCTTGAACAGGTTTGTTGAATGTCAAGAAGAAAAGTTATTCTGTTTCTCTTCCTTTTTTGGTAAATAAAAGGAATGGATAGATCAACGTTTGGTATGGAATGCCTCGGATTTTAATGGTTTAACAACGCTTCGCTTACCATGCTCAAAGATCTGGTTGCCAGATATTGTTTTATACAATTCAGCAGACGATTATACCCAAGGTTATTATCAAAGTAAAGCCATGATTGACAATACCGGACATGTATTTTGGCCACCGCCTGCAAAGTTTCGTTCCTCGTGCAAAATTGACGTGACTTTCTTCCCATTTGATGGTAAATGAAACGAAAATTTTCATTTGACAACGAGAGAAAAACAAACGACTTTTGTTTTCTTTATGTAATTCAGATCAATTATGTAAATTAAAATTTGGTTCATGGACGTACGATGCAGCTCAAGTCAACCTGACAAAACGACGTGATAGTGTCGATATGACAAATTACATTCGTTCAGGCGAATGGGATATCATACGAATTCTTGTCCAACGAAATGATGTTACTTATGCATGTTGTCCGGGAATATTCTATCCTGATGTGACTATTTATGGTAAGAAGATATTGCTCTTCTATCTTCTTGAACATTTCTATCCTCTATAGTGCATATACGTCGTCGAGTTTTGTACTATCTCTTCAATATTATATTTCCTTGTATATGGCTTTCGATTCTTTCGGTCCTCGGATTTTGGCTGCCGCCTGATTCAGGAGAAAAGATCACACTTGGTATAACTGTTCTTCTTGCTTTCTCCGTTTTCATGTTACTAATCGCCGAATCGATGCCTGCCACAAGCGAAATGGTCCCACTCATTGAAATCTATTTGACTGCGGTTATGGCATTTACATCGTTATCGATCGTATTAACAGTTTACGTCTTGCAATTGCATCATTCTGGTCCTGTTGTTATACCAATTCCACATACGTTCAAAAACACTTTAGTACGATATGTAGCACCAGTTATCGGCATGAGCAAGACCATTGAAATCTATGCACGTGAACATAATTTGTTGGAAACCGATGATGTTTATCGGCGTTTTTCTCGGCGGCCATCGTTAACATCTGACATGCCAACACGAATTTCAGTCTATAAGGGAAGAAGTGAGAAACAGAAGGTCAAATATCGACAAAGTAATATATGACTATTTTCGAATATTTTTATTACAAAAGAAATTCTCGGAGGATCCACGATAATAATAGTTATTTCATTAAAATAATATTATGTGAACTTTCTATTTTTTCACTGTTACTTAGTCTTATTCTTGTTAACATCTCTTATTGATAGACAAGGAAATTGCTTTTTCAACTTTGTTTCTTGTTTTCTTATAGACGCAAAGCAAACAAAAGATTTGGAATACGATGATGAAAACTACAACGATGAAGAGGAGCTGAAGAAAGAGTTTCTACCGAATATTCCAACAACAAATGGAGATCTTCTTTCGATTTCCTCATTGAATAAACGTCATCGACACCCTCATCATCAACAGCATCGTTCTCGACGTGCTGCCCCTCCAATTGTACTTATTCCCCAACAATCATCCTCGTCACCCATCCCTTCCCACTCTCGTTCACAATATAATTTGTTCAATTCAAATATGCACCTCTTGGAAAAACATCTCAAGTACTTACTTAATAAACAAAAGCTCGAAGAAGAACGAAGTGAAATCGTTAATGAATGGAAGTTAATGGCATTGATTATGGATCGATTATTGTTTTGGTTATTCACAATTTTTACAATCCTAAGTACAGTTTTATGTTTAACCATTATCCCAATACTGAAAAATGCCGGATATATATCAGCTTTGTCACAAGAATTACTTGCAGATTTAAAATCGGTGGAAACGACAATGGGACGTGATGCTGCAGAACAAATGAAGGCTAATTTGACAGGAGGTGTGTAAAACATCTCAATTCCTTTCCTCATCGTTTTCTCAATCTATTATTTATGACAAAGTTTACCATTGGAGTTTGTTTCTATTATATATTTTTTCTCGCGAACAAGTTTTTTTTTATAAGTTAAATACAAAAACGATCAAAGATACGGAGCATCTTGACATTTCTGCCAAGTAGATATCAATATGTCCGCAATAACAGATTTGGTTTCATGCGCGTATACACGGTTTTAGTATCATCAGCGATATCTTCGCATAGTTTATCTCCAGGCATTTGTTTACAGAAGACATTTCTCAGATGAGAGTAATTTAGAAGGATATTCACTTTGTCCGACGATTCAGCGGATATTGCGACTTGAATCCGATAAACCTTTCAATACTACACACGCAGACAACGGTTAAATCATAACATTGATAAAAAAGAAAATGAAGTAATCAATTAATAAACCTTCATTTCACGAAAATTTTAACAAATACGTTTACATTATCACTATCGCGGATATCTACGAGAAAAACTTTCATTCAAAATCGTTTATTGTTCATTCAGTCGATCTATACACTCCCGAATTTGCTTAATAAGCTCGCCAGTCGAAGTAAGAACTTGAACCTAAGTTTAAACAATATGTAAACAAAACGAGAAAATAATAAAATAGTACTTTACCTTAGGCTCATACTTAGCAGCCCATTTTTGGTGAAACGCTTTGTTTCCACAATACACAAATATCGAACAAATGTTACTGTGTTGATGAATTGTGGGGATCAAGTCCTTGCCCAGCGCACCACTAACGATAAAAATAATTCGCTTTACACCAACACCATCACGTCCAATAAATCGTTTACACTCGGACTCCTTAACAAATCCTACACAATTGCCAAATGCTTCTTCGAATGTTTTCAAAAGCTTCTGATTTTCTTCACTCTCGAAGATTGTTGTATCATACCAAACCAATTTAATTGAATTTGAATGCGTCATTTATATGAATGATGTATCAGATGACACCTGGTTTTTGTTAAAATGTCGTGTATAAGACAGTATAGATGAATACTCGTTGATTGTTTTTTGTTTTCAATACAGAATGCAACACGTGTACACTTGTTCTTTCGATAAAGAATTTAAGTTTGCTTTCGATCATCCATTTTCGTTGAGATTTAATCGAGTAAAAGAAAAGAACGTTGAAAATGTCCAACTAAATGAAATGACGACATTGGAGAATTCCTTTTCGACGAAAGATGCGTGATTGCGCAGCATGTGTAGATGATTATCACGTGCGAAACCTTTCAAATCACATACTAAGCGTACGACATCAGCAGTATGATCCAATTGACTCATAATAAAGAACACGAGAAGTGTCCATGATTTTCTTTCGATGATTCATATACTTTAAAAAAATTTTTATTTATTGAAACTTTTTCATTCGTAACAATTGCATATAAGCCATGAGAAAAAAAGTCAAAATAATGGCAGATAATGCAAGGATATTTTGCCAGAGATCCCACGTCGTTTCATGTGGAATCTGTCGGCGCGTCAAAATCTCTTCGCCTTTGGTTATGCAAATATCCGACTCAGACGAAAAACACAATGTCAAATTTCGGAATTCATTGATTGCTAAAGCATTTGATGCGTAACGAAACACACTTATCCATTGAATCCAACGAAGAAATGGAACAATACTTCCAAGGGCAATAAGAAATCCACTGAATAACATCATTGTTACATTACTGCTGACGACCATCACAAGTGCAACGCCTAAATAGTAAGAAAAGAGTCAGTATATCAGAACAAAACAAGCAAAAAAGACACTACCAAACGATGCTGTACTTGCAGCAACGAAGTAACACATAGCTGCACCAAAAATCTTTGCCATTAGATTTGTTAATATAAAAAACCAAAAGCGACCAGTTGATCGATGAAGGTCCGTTAGGGTATAAGTGATCAATGCGTAAATTAAACAAGGTATCAAATGTACTAATGGAAGATCGATCATTAGTTTCGAAAGAAAAAAGCTCGAGACACGATAATAACCACTGACATGTTCCTAAAAACAAACAGACAATCGCCAATCACTAAGAAATGTTTGAAATCATTATACATGAATAAAAAGTGCACGTTCTTTGATCAATGGTTCTAATGCACTCATTGCACTAAGTGCTTGACACGAAACAATGAAAAATATTGCACCGAACCGATTATACACTCCGGGATCGATTGTTCGCTCTAATTGTTTGAATATTAAACCCGTAAACAAGCCATAGATGATGACACTGATCACTTGAGAGATCACTAATCCTGGATGTCGTAGCGCGTTGCAGAATGTTCGTTCAGCAATATAATAAAGTTCGGTTCTATATTTGGGAAGTGTGTGATGTTTTAATAAACCATTATATTGATTGTCTTGCATCTCATTTCGAACTCTTTCGGCAATATTTGATTGGAGATAAGCTGCTCGAAGTTCATTTGCTGAATGTGTACTTGATTCGATAAGTATGTCAAGAACAAAGTCAGCAGGATTGTTATGCTCCTCACAAGTGAAACCAAGCGAAGCGAAATATGGCAAGACTTCGAGAGGTGAGCCTAAATAGATATTGTAACCACTAGATAAGAACAAAACAGTATCAAATAATTTAAATATGGAATAACGTGGTTGATGTATTGAGAAAATTATCGTTCCTAAAAAAACGAACAAAGTGAAGGATCAAAATCGAGGATCGATTAGAAAATTCTTACGTCCTTGTTTGGACAAACTATACAGATAAGTCATTATATTTTGTGCTGTTGAAGCATCGAGACCTGTTATAATTTCGTGAAAATATCTTCGACAAAGCCTATAAATAATTTACCAGTGGTAGGTTCGTCTAAGAAGAGAACATTCGGTGAGAGAACCAGTTCCATACCAATACTTGTTCTTTTCTTTTCTCCACCTGAAACACCTCGGACAAAATCAGTGCCAATCATAGTATTAGCACACGATAGCAGATCTAAATCATGAATAACTTGATCGACACGTTCTATTCGTTCATACATGTTGATCGAACGTGGTAGACGAATATTAGCCGAGAAAAGAAGATTCTCTCGAACAGTCAATGTTTCACTAATTATATCTACAATAATCAAAATAACAAGACAATAGAAAAACAAAAACATGTACCATCTTGTGTAACATATCCAATAGCGTATTTGAAATAGGATGGACGAGGTTGACCGGAGAGAAGAACCGTTCCCGATAGACCACGACGATCCTTTCGGTCCGCAAGAATATCAAGTAGTGTAGATTTACCGCAACCAGTTGGTCCTATGAGTAAACACAAACCATATACAGAACAGAATGAATATTATCAATTAACCTAGAATAGCATTCATTCCCGGTGGAAAAATGCCCGAAACATCTGTAAGTATCTGCTTGTGCAATGTTGATTTCCAAAATGATAATACATTCGCATTCCATGGAGGTAAGACTTTGCTTTGAAGTTTTTCATTACCGACTGTATAATTAATATTAGAAAATGTGATTGTAGTTGGAAGAAATTCTTGTTGATTTGTTATCATATTGACTGAATTATGCTGATGATTAACGAAATTTTGGGTTTTTAATAAGGGAAAAACAGTATCTTCTTTTTCACGATTGACTTCTATCAGCGTATTCATTTTCACTTCACTCATGTTTGTAATCTAACCTCAAATGGAGTTATTGCATGATAAGAAAGAGAAACTACACGCAGCTTATCATCATCATCACTTCAATAACATATCATTTACGTTTCATTCGGACGTTAGGTCACCAATTGACAGAATAGTACAAAATCAACTGCAAGTAGACAGCACTATTCGATATAATTTTGCCAGTATCGACTACATTGCATTGTGTGCATTTATATTAGACTATTCCGATTACTCGTATGTGAAAATTCTCACCAATGTTATTTGTTGTTATGTTTATATGAATGTATTTCTCTTTTGTATTAGTTTCTCATGTGCATATTCAGATGAAAACTTTCGCTACAAAACAAACAAGAACTCTTTCGTTTGAATTAAACTAGTTGACCATTTACATTTGCATAATCTCTTGTATTTCTACAGAAATATTCAAAAAGATATTTTGTATCATAAATAAAGTATTTTTTTCATTTCTCTCAGACATTAATTTAAGATGGCATATATAGATGATTTACTTCTGTTGTTTCTCATCACATCTTGTTTTCCTCAAAATCTACAAATTATCTCAATTTAATAAAACTCTCTACGTATGTTCTGATCCACAGTGTTCACCTTTAACGCTTGTCAAATGGCAGCATATACAGCTGTGGCTGATTGTCATACAATAATATTTCATCAATCAAACAAGCAATGTCAACTGTTTCTCGATAGCAGACTACTATCAGCTCGCTAGTCTCACTGCTGACTGTGCATTTTTTTTTTGGAATATGAAATTCCATTATGATGATTTATTTTAGACAAAGCAAATGCATATGTCTGTAGTAATATGATAATACTTGTTGGATATGACACGACTAGTCAAAACATAACTAACCAAGCCTTTGTGAACTATACATTTTGAGTGCCAATCCCAGGTCGAACAATCCCATATTCGGATCCCGACGATCTCGGATCCGGTGAGATCCGATCGGATCCAGCATCGGATTCGTTGACCTGGGAAGAGAACTTGTTGAACATGAGGATTTGATAAAAAAAACATCTAGTGAATGACTATTTATTTTATTTGAAAATTGCAGGAACATATGTAAAAAAAAAAAGTATCCTCAGATTTTGGTCATGGTGAAGGAGGAACTTTCGGCAAATCGTATAAACTGTGTATAATACCATACTTTTTTCTTAATTCGCGTAATAATGTACGATTAAATGAACAACTGATATTATGACCATTATCTACGAAACCTCCTTCTTTCCATTGATTATACTCATGAACAAAATCTTCAACCCAAAACTCTAAACACATAAATTTCCGATCTGGTAATCTTGTCGTTACTGAATCACAAAATGCTGGATCTTTCTCGCACATTTCAACGAATAACTGTCCGTCGGGGGCTAAATTCTCTCGAGGATTGACGGGTAATTGAAAACCTTGAATAATCTGTTCACCTGCTTGACGAATTAATTGTACTAAGTCTTCTTTTTTCATGCCACTCTGTCGTTTATTAATAGGATAATAAAGACCTTTGATATACGGTGTGCCACCTGTCATATGTTGCTCAAGAAAAGATGTGTAGGCTCTCGGTGTACCTTCAGAAGCCCATGGTCTTATCCCTCCAATATTAATCGTAACACTTCCATCAGATAAGAAGGTCTGATACATTTGACCTGTTCCTGGACCAGTGATATGAATATCCATTTGACGAAGAATTTTTAATTGTGCTATGAAATTATTATCCAATATTTCATAGGTCGGTGATCGTGAATCAGCTGCAGTAGTGTTGACTACTAGTGCACTCATGTTTTGTGCTTTGATCATATGATAATATATATATGTTACATTGATCAGTGGCCATTTTAACGCACTCGAATTACGTCTTGTTTGATTCATGTTTGAATAAGTGTAGTTATTAATTTCATTCATAGCATCAGTCATTTCCTTCCGATCATTCGGGGTGAAACGTTTGTTATCGATCACATATGCTTGTAGAATATCATTTGGTGTTCGATATTCTGATGAAGATTTATGTCGACGAATCAAAGGAACGAAACCATGTTGTCGATACATACGATCACGAAATAATCTTGATGCATCTAGTTCAACACCGCCAGGTAATTGTAGATTAGGTCGCGTACAACGTTGACACATAGCTCCACTGCCCATAACCATTTCATCGAATACAAACCATTGATCTTGGGATAGTTTATTGAGAACTCGTTGTTTAAGAATTCCGAGACCAGCAAAACGACTGTAAATATCTTCACTCCAACAATCGTTGCAATCATCAATACCGGCTAGGATACGAAATGGATGAAGATGTCGAGGTGGAAAACGAACCATTGCAACATATGCTGGATAGAGTCCATCAAAAAGAGCGTGTCCAATATTGTGATGCCAAGATTGACTAAAGTAAAGTGTAACATGAGGAAATCGTTTTGGACTGATAATACGAAGAACGAATGATTCGAGATCAGCGTATGTATTAAATTCGCGTTTATTTGGCACTAGCGGCCACAAGTAAAAAGCATTTGTTCGTACAGAATGTGTTGGCAAAGATCTTCCTTTTACTAGTAGCATCGTAAATACACTGTTAATATAATATAGATTCTGATATAGACATGATTGATTGTAGACAGGTCCAACACATTGAACTGTCGTCTCTAGTGTCTTATTGTTGTAGGATAATGATTGGTTTGATGAATTTGTAAATATGTCAGTGAATGGTTTTTCTAATACACAACGAGTTCGGTTCATTAAGAAATATTCGAGTTTTGGATGAATGCGGAGCATATCATTCTGGAACATAAGGACGAGGATAATAACGAAGCAAACGAACATGATTAAACGGAGAGAGACGCTTTTAGAGAAGTTTTGCAATAATTCGTTAGCCATGTCAATAACACAAATCTAAAATGAATAAAATAATTAACTAATTACTTTAGAATGTCGAAACATTATTGTTTGCGTTGTCTTGTGTCGTTCGAAACTATGATTCGTACGAGGTATTATTTCTTACGCAATATTCGTAACATGGTGATATTTCTATGAGATCTTTCGAAATTGATCCAACATTGTTCATTTTTCTCTTCTATTTCATTTCTTGTAGAAAACGTTCTTCCGTATCATATGAATAGCAATTAGAAAACGAAATAGTGTAAAAATTATCTCAGACCCTCAAGTCACGAATAGAATAGAAAAGAAATGAATGTCTTAGCAGTAAGGATAAGTATTCTATATTCATCATCTCGTCATACATTTCTTCCCTTGTAATTATCTAGTCACACTGACAATAAACACGATCAATCCGAGTAAAGATTGGAAGAAATATTGGATAAGAAGCTAACAGAATGTAGATATTCTCACTTTTGAGTACTCCGAATCAGAGAATATTTAGATTTGTTAGTAATATTACTCACGCATGAGTGATGAACTTCACACTGAGAAATATTTCAATTCTTAATGTCTAGGTTCAGATTCTGATGGATTCTTGTACGGAATGGTTTTCTTACTTTTTACGATCGCTTTGTGTAAATAACTTTTAACATTCCTATTACCTTGAAAACAATCCGAACTGAATTCACATATGATTTGGCCCTCAATTGTGAAAACAAATGTATCTTAGTTGACTAAAAAGATGTATCGACTCACCTAGCGATACATTATCTACTTCAGTCTGAAATTTGTTTCTTGAACAAAACCATAAACATACGAAACTGCAAACATGAATGTATATTATGCAAGTATGACTGTACTTACATGTTATTTACACTTAGTATGTTCCTGTACAGACAAGAAAAGCAGCCAGGCGTAACTGAAATCCAAAGGAGAATCGTGATATCGTTCGCTCCCATTTAATATTTTTCTCGTTTCATCGGACGAAAATGTTTATCCAAAGAGCTTATTTTCAAATAAGAGAAAAGAATCAAGAGTGCAAAGTTGATATTCTTAATTGAATTACAGCGTTCAAATAATGTTAATTCTAACTTATATTAAATTACATAATTATGCATAATATTCAATCATAAATAAACAAGTAATGTAAATTAATATCAAACACCTTCAAAATTCGATACTTGCTTATTGTAATCAAAGGATTATTAGTTTTATGATATAATACAATGCAACTATGTTCATAATATTTGCATCAGTATCGACGAAAAGACAAAACAAAGTGTTCTCTAGACAATTTATGCGCCTTATTTGTCATTTTCTAGTTTTTATTTGTTATTAAATTGGATACATCCTTCTATAAATTGTTCTTGCCATCACTTATTCGCCACAAATTTGTTTTCTTTGGTTCTTAGTACCTATAGTTGTGATTACTATCAAGGTAAAGTGCGATACACCACATGTCTTCATGAGTCAGCACAAAGTTACGTCATAGAGTAGGAAAAATCGTATCAACAAGGAAGAAACGAAATCATGTCGTTAAAGTACGAGAAAATAACACGTAAATAAAAGAGAATAATCACAACGACAACTTGCACGCAAAAAAAAAGAACTGTTCCTATATCTTCAATTGAACAGAGTAAAATCTTTATATGGAGAGGTTTGGTTGCAAAGTTCAACACTAATAAAATCATTTGTTGTTAGTCGTATCAGTGAACTATAAACTTTTTTTAATACAAATCGATAAGATAATGAAATAGATACAAGTTGAGTATTTTCTGAATACTGAAAAATCACTCCAGAACAATACTTCTATCAAAACTGTTCGTATAAAATCATATCGGAATAGTTTGCTATTAAGTCTGTACTAATACATAGAAAATGTTAGTTTGAGAGTTCGAGATTGTACTAAATGACATCGAGAAACTAAAAGGATATCGTAAAGAAAATATGTTATTATAAATATGTATATTTACCAAAACGGGATGAAAACGCAACGAATGACTTTAAGTCAATCACACGAAAATCAATAAACAATTGATCGTGTTGTTGAACATCCATATATTGTTTAAGATAGACTATTGCGCACATTAGTATAATCATCTTTGCTTCACATCATCTTGTGATCGAATGTCATGAACATTTAGATTATAAAATGTTCAATTCATAAAGATATTTCTCGGTGTAATAGAAATTTAAAAAAAGGATTGTAATCACGTTTACTGACAAAAATGTAACATAAAGAAGTGTTCTAAAACTCAACGGAATGGAGTTAGAAGTAAAGGTCTTGATTCCAACGATGGTAAGAATGAAGACGTCTTCGATATATCGTCACCTTGATGATAAAAATGTTTTTCAGAAATGTTACGATCGGCAAAGTAATCTGTCAGGTAAATGATTGTCGGTAAAGTGTACGAGACTCATAAAAAAATATATGAAAGGAGAGAAAAATTATCGAACATGATTTTATTCCCTATTAAAAATCTTCATCATACTGACAAAAAAAAACACTTATGCACAAAATATATTTTATATTCTATACAGATATGATCAGTAATCTTGTCCTTATTGTTTCGATTATTCTTGGAAATATAGAAAGATTTATTTGATGCATGTCTAGACAGATTAGAGTTTATGAAACATTTCAAAAAGTCCCGAAAAATATTATTTTCAACTCTGGATTTTATTCAAAGAAAAATAACAATGTATTTTAGTATGATTGAAATATAAATTATTCATAGAATATAAATTGTTCGACAATGAAAGTATGAAATAAGAAAAAACTCCGTTTAACATCGTTCGAAGACTTTATATAATTGTTGTACTTCAGTTAGTTTAACAAATGCTTGTCGTAAATGTTTCGATGGTACAAGCATAGTTTTAAATGCATGATAAAGTAAATGTTCAATCGCCCAATGTTGTTTTTCTTCACTATCACCATCTTCTTCAGAATAGATCTGCATTCGATACGAATAAAACTTCGATATTTCATCAGCAAATGTTCGAAAACATTCATGTTCGTCATTCCAATTGATTTCTGTACTTAAACGAAGAAGATATTGTGGTAAATAATCCAAGTTTGGTACATATGTATCAAGTAAAATCGGCAATGTTTCTAAACGTAGTGGATCTGTTGATGATAAACGAACTGAAAAATAATCTTCTAACATTTCACGACGTTCTTTCAAAAGATCAATGACATATTCAATAACTTCCTCATTGTTTGTTTCAAGTCGAATCAAATCCTATGAATAAACAGTAAGAAGAAAGTAAAAACAGTAAAGAGCAACTATTTACTTCAATACTCGGTGGTTCTGGTTCAAGAGAAATCGTTCCCATATTTCCAAAATGATACAAACATAATTGATAAAATAACTCTTGAGATAAATGACGTGTATGAATAAGATATAATTGCGTATCATGTTGAATTAATGATGATTGACCGTCGATAGTTCCAACATAAACAAAATTTCGTATGATATTTAATAAATCTGCATCACATTCTTCGTCAATAGATTGTCGTAACAATTCAATTGATGTTAATTTTATTTGACGAGGAAATTTAATGGATGCCAATGGAGATACGAATGAAGTCGATTGGGGAATTTTCTTGGGAACAGATATGGAACTATTATGATATCGATGTTTGTCAAGTTTTTGATCACGACTCGATGTTCGAACAGTACGCGATGGATCTAAATTGGTACCAAACGGCTTTTTCGCATTGGAATTTGTTGAATCCGATGATATTTTCTTTGATTTCGGATCAGTTTCAATCGGTTCTTTTGGTGTTGGTGGAATCAACGTCATCGAAGTTGGCGTCTAAAACACGAATAGAATTGAATTATGAGAATGTTAAATTTGATAAACAATCGCTTTCGATTGATTTACGTATGTATGAAAATGTGAACTAACCATATGAAAAGTTAATTGCGTGGTCGTTGTAGTTTGTTTCGCTGATTTAGCAACAATAATATGTTCGATTGCTTGTACAATTGCCACAATAATTGGATCAGCATGTAGAAATCGCACTTCATTTTTACTTGGATGAATATTTACATCTAGTGTTGTTGGATCCATGATTAAATCAAGGTAGACAAATGGAGATGTTTGTTTATTAATCAACACAGCGTACATTTGTTGAATCGCTTTTTTCAATGGCTGACAATCAACTAATCGACCATTGATGAACAAAATAAATGTCATCGAACTTGATGATGCTTTTGATGAATTCTAAAACATCGAAAATTCAGTTGTAGTTACTTTTTTTTTGACATATCGAATCAAATACGAACGGAGTATTGCGTTCCGGTAAAACAAGCTTTGCATTGAAATTGGTACGGTGTATCATTTTCATTGATGGTCGTTTCGTACATATCTTTGACCATATCAGCACCATACAACATTTTCATATTTTGTAGAATAGTCGTATCTTTTCCATTGGTATAAACATCAGGTTCGATTTGTGTATCACGTTTAAGTGTAAATGAAACGTGTGTATTTCGTAAGGCCATTTTCATTACACAATCGACCATTCGTGTATATTCTTCCGATGAAGATTTCATCATTTTCAAACGTATTGGATTGTTATAAAAGAGATCTTCAATGATAATCAATGTTCCATTTGTTCCTATTTAATACATCGAAATACTTTTCTACTCTGTCGAAATCTACGATTCGATTTTCTTACCTGCACATGGTTTTATTGATGTAGATGGTCGAATTTTTCCATCTTCATATTCGCAAACGTATGCACATTGACTCTCAGCTATTTTACTAATTATTTTAACATGTCCAGCATAACTCAATGAAGCAAGAGCTTCTCCTCGAAATCCATATGTATTTAGATGATATAAATCATCGAAAGTCTTCAGCTTCGATGTTGCAAAACGTTCGCAAACTAACGGCAGATCAACTTTACTTATTCCACATCCATCATCACGAATTTCGATCGATTTCAATCCACCTTGTTTGACATGAATTTGTATTGTATGTGAGCCAGCATCCAGACTATTTTCGACTAATTCTTTTATTGCTGCACATGGCCGAACAACAATTTCTCCGGCAGCAATGCGATTAACAACAGTTTCATCAAGTTTCTGAATCTTTTTATTCATCTGAAACAAATCGAGAAGAAAAACAAAACAATAAATTTCTTTTTCTATTTAATTTGTTTGATATAATTTCGAAGTTCCTCATTGATTTCTGTTAAACATTTCAACAACCATATAACACATGCTTGTGATTTCGGTTGATTCAGATCAATTTGTGTCATCGATAGAATAGCTTCGATTGTTCCTGATACTTGTTGAACTTGTTGTTGACAATCAAGATGATTGTAACATAGTGTTGCCAACAGACCAAGAAGATCAGCAAAAAAATCAAATGTTGGTAATGGATGATCATTGGGTACATCTTTATGTAGGCGATACCATTCGTGTTCGGATTGTGAACGACGTCGATGAACTTCACAAAGCAGTTTGGAAACAAGAAAGACGATTGTTATACGAAAACGATTATCATCGAAGAGATCATGCTGATGAATGTAATAATTGTTTAATAAGAGAATCAATTGTCGAAACAAACGAAGAGTCGATGATGAATAATTCGTTGGATCGAGAATAGATATTAATAAGCAAGAAAATAAAACATGAAGATCATATGGATAATTTGTTGTTGATGATGATAATAAATGATAAAGAGATGATTCTGTAATGGATTGATTAGGAAGAGTGTCAATAACGTATGATGATAATTTGGAATGAAGATCATCAAACGATGATATTGAAGTTAAGCTTGAATAGAGAAATATCGATTAAAAGTTGTTTTCGATTTGAATTTGAACTTACTTGATTTTATCAACTATCAATATTTGTACTTGTTCTTCTTGTGCTCTAACATTGATGTTTAAGATATTTTCAGTATCATGTGTATCGATGGCTTGTAAGAGTTTTTTCGAGTAGATTCTTTCTAGATAATGTTTTCTTAGCCATTGTTGATCATTTTCAATAAGAATTTTTGTTAATTGATCTAACCAGATGTTGTCTTCGTCTTCATCATCGTTTTCGTAAAGATTATTAATAATCAAATCATATCGTGTATCACTTCGTGCATTCATTTCTAAATATGCACATAAAATACACGCAATGATATTTTTATTACCATATGGAAGAAGGAGTGTAGCACATAAATAAGATATATCACGAAAGTTGTTTGGTAATAGACGATTCATATTATGTAAATATTGAAGAAATGGTTTGATTAAGTCTTGTGAGTTTGAATTAAGACAATGTTGAATGTTTTGTATCAAAAGATTGAACTCATCTTGATCTAATGATGATGATCGTATTCGACCATATAAATTTCGTTGTACAGCGAGTCCTTCAATGGTTATTGGTTGATTAAGAAAGTATTTCGTGATGTGAGTAAATACCGAATCTGGGAGTATCATTTGAGATTTCTCTTTTAGAATACATGCAAGATGTGGTAGATCATCCAGGGATGAAAGAATATCATCATAAGAATACATCTTGAATAGAAACTATAACTGATTACGTTACAAAGTCAGAAACTTGCGAAATTCTTATCTCTGTCGTAATTACACTTTATGGAAAATTTGGATATTCGTAATGAAATAGTACTGATGCAGATTATTTTGAAATCCTATTCGATTAAAATCTTTGAATTAACATTCGAAATCTTGAAAATTAGTTATCTGAAACGCATGAAATTGATTTTCTTTAATAAAATGTCTTTTCTAATTTATTACAGGCTGATCATATATAGTCAATAGCAATTCATCTATATTCCTCTAAACATCCGATATGATAGTCGTCGAGTGACATCTAATGAAAAACAAAATTAGATACTCTTAGCTAGTCTCGACTACGACCATTAAAAGTACCATTTTGAGTGTTTATTTATTCAGAAAGAATCTAATATTTCTCGAACCTATTGAAAATACGAAATGTAATTCGCAAACAAATAAACAATGTATATTTATTCGAAATAGTTTTGATAAATATGTGATAAAATTGTGTGTAATTTATTAGTCTCGATATGCTATGTTTCATTAGACTGTTGATCGAGTAGTTTTAAATATATTATTAGTTATTTGTCGCACAAGTTCACCAGGTAAAGTCCATAGAGCAAGTAAAAGAAATAGTACAATTAAGAATATGATAATACCGAGAATAATTGACCATTTAAAATTACGCCATATAACATATCGAAAGGTTTTCCAAGGAGATGTAAACCATAGAAAGGAATTCTTTGGACGACTGAAGAAGAAATTCAAATAAGAACATATGATTAATATCGAATAAGCACACTAACTTTGGTTCATCCAGTGGCTGTGGTCCTTCACGTCCACTACCTACAGGATTTCGTTCAGCTTCTTCAGCAGTAATAAGATACAGTTCAGCTTCAACTTTACCCTAATAATAAAAATTTGTATTTATAAACTTCGATTAACTTCCACTCACTCCTAGTAGGGTTACATCACGAATTTCTCCCGTTTTTATAGGTGCAATCATTGGCCACCAGCCTAAAGTGATCATGACGATCAAATGTTTTGTTAGAAGATGTTCTTCACAAGTTACCCGTTGTACGTTTGTTGACAAATAAATTCAACGCTCGATGTTTCGAGTTCAACAATATATCTGCTCGACATTTGCTTGATGATTTTGCACCGACTGGTAAATGTGTTAAATTAAGAATGCATTCACCTAAGAAATCATCGGCGGAGAGCAGATCAGCATCATAAACTCGAAGAACAATCCTTGGTGGAATCTTTTTCACTGTTGATCCAATTTGAAAAACAGAATCTTTTTTCTCGTAAACGATCTTCTCTTCGATGTCAATATAATCAAAATTAAAAAGCAATCGCCAATTAAAATTGCCTTCACCTGTTAATGATCTATGAAAAACAAAACATCAGCCGCCTTTTCCCAACATCTAACTTACCGATAGTGAACATCAGTCTGTTGACCATCTTCTTTCTCTCCTAGGATCCATGCTTTCACATAAATATCAGATGTTTTCTCTCCAGTAACAAAATTTTCATCATTTAATTCGACATCAGTTGTGTTCCAGATTGTTAAACGTAATTGATATGATGTTGGTTTCGGCGGTGTAATATCCACTGGTGTACCTGACGGTTGACGAGACATCGGAAAGAAATCTAACCACATTTCTACTTTGCCTTGTTCAACGTCAGGACAACTTGGATCGAACAATGATCGGCACTCAATGTGCTCAGAAACTAGAGCACATTTCTACAAAGGATGTAGAGATAGTTAAGAAAGAATTCAATCAATCGTCTCTATCTTACAGAATTGATTTTTCTTGCCCAACCATGAAGCGCTCCTAAGGCTGTATTCTGCCGGATATATTCTTCTGGCGATTCATGATGAACTTTACGATGTACCATGTCGACTAACGTTCCATTTGTCACAAATTCGATGCATTCCGAATCACAATCGAAACGTATGTTATCGATCGTTACTGTATAGAAGTTTTCGGCATAAACGGGAAGATTCAAATTTGCCGTTCGACATAGATCTTCCAAAATAATTGTCGGTTTTTTCGTATCACGCCAAGCATTGTAGCCAGCACTAGAAATCAGAAATTTAACAAACGATCAATAATTAGCTCGTCTAGTTGACCTGTCGTATCTTTTCGCTAATCCACAAGTTGCTCGATGACATGAAAACCAACGATTTTCAATATCAATTCTTGTTTCAGCAATCTTATCATTAACATTTGCTAAATCCCAATCCCAGACTTGAATACGCAATAGAGACTGATGAGGAATGGTTACATCAAACTCATACGATCTATGTTGTGAACAAACATTATTCGATTAGATCTCATTCACATAACACTTACTTTCCAAACACCGGTTCAAGAGTATTCGAAAGTCTCGATTTGACGTCGTCAATAATAGTTTCTTCATTTAACAAAACTTTTATGTATGGATCTGCCTTACCCGATCGATCCCAAGCACGAAATAACAATGCTTTGATAATGTATAATCGACATTTTAATGTAATAGGATTTCGATTTATATCGAAACGAAGCATTTGTTGATTCGTTCGAATATCAGAACTTGAACTTCGATCAACTATGGATTTTATTTGAGCATTGAATAAAGCTGGATTAACAGATGATCGATGATTTCGATCGAGATTCAGTACTGCACCGCGACGTGAATGTTCGCCTGTTAGCTCACGGATACGAAATTTACCCTGAACAACGAAAAGATTAGAAAACATGAAAATGATCATGATTGAACGAACTTTAAACTTCGCGTAAACACGTTTTTCATCACCAATTTCATCGGAACGACTTGTACCTTTTCCTTTATATCTAAAACGAACGAAAAGACTAAAGAATTGTGTTCAAATTTCAACCAAATCTTACAATGGAAATATATCAAGACAATCACTAAAGCCTTCGTAAAGATCAATATTTTCCAGTTCAGTTTCCAGAATCTTCAAAAGGAAACAAAGTAAAACAGATAAGTACCGCTTAGTGTCTGTTACTTCAAATGTTTGTAATAAGGTTAATTCTTTCAAACGATCTGTTTCGATAATGTCTAAACTTTCGTCAAAAACCGACTTCGTCTGAAATGTGTAGAAATTTCTTATGTTGATCATAATGAAAATGGGCAATTTACTTTGGATTTCTCACTGAGATTGGTGAGACCATGAACTGCTAGCGTCTGTAAACCTTTTCGAGCTTTTCTAGCACGGATGAATGCTTGTTTAGCTTTAGTCCATAGTGACCAATGATGTTTGGCTACAGTCTCTTCAATGAAATGGAATATTCGAAAACATATAGACACTTTCTGTTAAAAACTCACTTGATTCTTCGTCAAAGAAATCGGCATAGATACCATTACTATTCTGAAGTTCTTCTTCAGGATCTGTCTTCGGCTTTTGTTGCAATCTCTATGAGATGAATCGAAGTATTGGTAACAGAACTTTAAAGAAAATAGTAACTTACAAGTTTGGCTTTTGATGCATAATATTTACTCCACCATGTCGCTGTCTTTTCTAATTCATTTCGTCTAAATCTATCAGAACTTGTTAGTTCACGATGAGTATCATCGATCATATTAGCTGTTGAAAACTTTCTTTTCTCGCTAGAAGTATCATCATTACCGTCCTGCAAAAGGTAATCTTTCAATTAGAGATAGTACTTGAAAATTTCTTACCTCAGTATGTTTGAATCCTTCTTGATTATCACTTACAACTTTCTCCAGACCAGCTTCTTTTTCGAAAACTGAGAGTTGTCTGTTCGCAACACCTCGATCATTACCAGCGATAGCAGCTAGACAATAGAAGAAATACTATATTTACGAAATCCGATAGAGAAGATGATTGTTCAAATAATACCTTCATACGCATCGATTACTGATTTACGAACACGATTGAAATCATACCAGATTCTATTCGAAGACGATTCACCGAACTCTTCGCTTTTAGATCGAAGATAATTCTTCGGTGATTCTAAATATTTCTGTAAATCAGTGACGACGAGATTTCCAACGATTTCTTTCATTCCGAACAATCGATGTTGCACACAATGAATACTCAAATGTGGCCAGAAATTATTGTCTTTTGGTAGATCCTGTAGAAACACAAGTATTCCGACTTTTTCAAACCAAAACATTCGATATCATACCACGATTAACCTATATTTATCCGTATCAGAGCCTATTAATTGAAAATTTGGATTTTTTTGCACATCTTTAATTGTTTTTGTGATCCGAGCACCAGCACATTCGATCGAAACTTCTGCTTGCTGAATTGGTAGGAAATTAATCGAACGACATTCACGTAGACCCCAAAACATCACCTATAAATCAGATTCCTCTTCTAGATCAAACATTTAGACAAAAAACTCACTTCGATTTCATAAGGTTTCACATCTGGCATAAGTATATGTGGTATATGATAGATCTTGTTCTTCAATACTTTTGTTATATAAATGTTTGCTGGAAAATGTTCCGGAGTAACAACAATTTCATCAAGTGACTGATTCTGCTCGTGATCCTATTTAATGATTAAAAATAGAATATCTGATCTAGAGAAAAAGTATTCGATGAATATTCTTACTGGATTGATTTCAATCAATTCGAAGATAGCTAGAAGTTCTCCAGCTCGTTTTTCGTCATATTTAAATTCATACCATTGAAATGGGAAATTCGATGATGACTTCTCATCGCTCACTGAATCAAACTTTGCTGTTGTAGAAAATCGTCCGATCAAATCAGGTCCATCATCGGCCTACACACAACATACTTCATAATCAATTATTGTTTAGTAGAATATTGATTTACTTCATCATAATCGTAGCATTCTACTACAACATTTCCGACAATTTCTTCTGCTGTTTCTCGACTTCCATAATGTATTAAATTTCGAAAGACTAATGTGACATTCCATTGCGGACATAAAGATTCTTTCAAAACCTAAATAAACAAACTAGATCGCATTTAAATTGGTACTCTAATATACACTTTACCGGTGTTATCTGTGTTTCATTTCCAACAGTTATACTCAAATAAGGATCGGACAAACCAGTTTCATCCGAAGCAATGAGAGACCTTGCTTTATAACAATGGCATCTCAATTCATAAAATGATCTTTCTAAAATATAAAATCGATTTTTAATTATTTGAACAATGAGATTCTATATCAAACCATCGTATCGTATTGATTTTGTGTCATTTGTCAACGGTAATACAGGTTTCTCGTAACCAGATGGCAATTGTTTAAAAATATTTGCTTCATAATCTTCAATTCCAAGCCAAAGATAGATTTGTACTTTTGCATTGGTTGAAGATTTAATCGGTTGGTTTGATGTACGCGGTATCTATCAAATAAATATCTTCACCATCTCTCGATGATATGAGTAGATTTTTTACCCGTAGGAAGAATGTTTGCACGTGTCCATTGTATAAACCTTTTTCTCCTTGACATAAACTAAAAAGAATATCTTCAGGTGGAATACGTACATAAGCTATTCGTTTCGAATCACATATCATCCATAGAAATACATCGGGTAATGATGGTTGAATCTAAATTTATAGGAATAGATATGAAATCAATCAATGTCAAACTGTGTTATCTACATCAATCGCTAATTGGCGAAGTGCTCGACTGATTTTTCGTAATTGTTTGATCGTTTCATAAATTTTCTGTTCATTAAAGTCGACTTCTTTCGTAATCCATGTTTTCAATGATTCTAAACCATGGAGAATTTTCTTTCGTCGTTTTTCATCCAGAGTATTCATGCGTAGATTTAATTTCGGATAGGTTAACAGTTCATAAAGAGTTGAATGAACTGTATCATGAGCATTGCATCCACACGGTAGTGTATAGATGTATTGTTCCATTTGTTGATACTTCTCTAACAGAACGCCCGATGAGACTTTCGAATTGATATTCAGTTCAAATTCACGAATCAAGTGAGACTAAATGAAAAGAGATTTATAAGAAGATTTAAAAAAAGTGTTAAGTAGATACTATATGAATAGCTGCACGTTTTAATCGATTCGATAGTATCATTCGATAACTATAATCATGGAATGTGTATTTAGTGAACAAAATCGGTTTTTGATAATCAATTGGTAAACAAAAATGTCGAGTATTATTTTGAATGGGAAAACGTGGATATGGTAGTGTCAATGAGGTTGCTGATGTTGAACCATCTAATTGATTTATGTTTAAATATCCACTTGATCCGATACTTAATTCGAAAGAAATACTGGCATTTCCAAACTGTTTATCAATCATTGACACGCTGTAAATGCATCCAAACAGAAGGAAAGTTCGTTTTACAGGAAATAGGTGCTAAACGAAGAATAATAAAAGCTTTCCTACTTAGATTGAAATCACAATGAGCTTACTGTATCAGGAAAATGCACTCCGGTTTCTTTTTGAACATTCACATTTGCTACATTATCACCACTAACCGGATGACATTCGATTGCCATCAATAATCGTCCTTTATAACAAACTCCTTCACCCATACCTTCACCAAGACCATCATGTTCTTTACTTATACTATATTCTCTTGGACTTCCATACAGAAACATCCATGTTGGTCCGAATGTAGGTAAAAATCCCGTCGATGGATTGCTTTCACTGATTGCGAACAGATCAATAAGAAAGGTTGAAATTACTCGATCTTGTTGAATGGCTGCATGATCTTTCAAAGCAACTTTTATCGTTCGAACTAATGGTGGAAATTGTCCGATTAAATAAAGTGCTTCGCTCCAAACAGGTGATGTACCATTTCGATGATTAGTCGTAGCTTGTATAGCATTATAAGTGACCTCAACGTATGGATCAACAGGTTCCCAATAGTCTGATCGAAGAAACTTTTTCGAAACAACTGTGAGAAAGTCGGTCATCATTTCAGGTAATTCGACAGCTGTGAAGAATGTCAGTTTTAGTTGCACAGGAAATTGATTTCGTGGCATTGCAGAGGGAATGAAAGTTTTTCTAAACAGGAATTAGATTTGAAATTGAATCATATACTAAGCGAAGGATATTTACGATGGTTTTAATTCATCATCACCTTGAGTTATCTCACCGAGAATATTCTAAAGAAAACAAAATAAGTTTAAGTAGAGTTTAGATCGAAATTCATTTACTTTCGACGAAACACCACGTTCAGAAATGGCAACAGATAGTAGTAAATGACCACAGATCGTCTGAATACAGTCAGGATCGATCAATTGAGCCCATTTTCGTTCAAATGCATGGTCTTTTTCATTGTAGACTGTTGCCACATCAACTTTAAATATACTTTTCGCTTTCGTATCTGTAAATGTACTAACGACAGCTTTGGCATGATGAACCTAAAGTGAAATCAATGAATTTGGTTTTTCTCTTCGATTGAATAATCAATTCACCTTGAAATAGATCACTTTTTCCATCATCTGTGTCGCCGGTAAAGAAAAGTCGAATGTAAAAAACTGAAACAGTAACAAAGTATTTAATACAATCAAATACTCTTGACTTACTTCTCCGAAAAAAGGTGAATTCGAACATCGATGTACTCCTGTATATCGTTTCTGATCATCAATTTGTATACATATATATGGATTGATATCCAATCCCGAAAAATCTCGTCCTTGAATAACATGTACCATAATTTGCCAATCGGTCATTTGATATACATCACCATCGTATCGACCTAAACTAAAATGAACACATGAAAAGAACTTTTTCTTGAACGTGATCGATTCTTACCTTTTTTCAAGTAATTCAAGATTATTATACTGATTCTTTAATTTCTCCTCTTCCGTCATGGTTACAAACTTTTGATGAGCACTTCGACTTTCACGAATGTCACTTTCCGTGTATGAATCAGTGTCTGTATCATCGATATGACTAGAAAATTTTACACGAAGTCGTTTTCTAAGATGAAAAAGAAGCAAATTTCATTACCCATCTCTTCAAATACACAACACTACTCACGAGTTAGGTTTTGAACGGATGTTTTCTTGCTCATTATCATCGAAAGAAGTCATCCAGTCCATCATATGTCCTTCATCAAACATAACAGCTTGTTCATTGCTAAGATTGGGTGGTATGTAATGAAGTTTCGCTTCTAAAGTTGCTTCTAATAAATAATTATTTGGATCGGACAAATTCTCATTCGATAAATCGATCGATTTGCGATCGATCAATGATTCTAGAAGTACTTCAAAAACCGCCAATAACTTTTTCTTCTTCTTTTTCACTGTTGTCACATAGAATTCCATTTGAAACTTGTCATCAGATAAAAGCGGACTGGCCAAGTGAAAATCGAATTTGCTCGGTTTTTCTTCACGTACAAGAAAATTCGCGACATCATCTTCAATTGGTACAGCACTTGACCAAAGACTGGCACCTAAAGAAAAGTCTTGGCTATTGAATCAGCTAAACATCAACGAGTGAATACCTCGGAATGTGATTTTCGTGCACAGTAATAATGCGTTAAGGTCATCGGGAAGTTTTGTCTTTGACACATCGAGATTAGAAACTCTGAATAGAAGAATCGTTAAAGCCATTGTAGACTGTTAACGATTATGAGAATTGCACGCACTTATATATTTATGCTTTTTGCATATAAGCACATCGATCAACATTAATATGTTCTGTATAAAATGACAAGTATGATAAAGAAGAGAAAAAAAATGTGTATCAATGAAAAGGATATACTCATAAAATGTGGAATTTATATATCAAGAGATGGATGTTGATTAATGTAAATAGTACTTTTTGCTTTGTTCGACAAAATTTTTCTGTCAATTTCAGACATTTATCAAAGAGAGATTTTGCATAGAAATGGACTTTTATTTAAACTAACAATGTAATCATTTCGAAAATGTTCAGTATCAAGACGTTTGTTGTTGATCGGTATTGATCTCTGATGGCGATGCTGATGGAGGCACCAATTTTTCAGAAAAGGGCTCCAAACGAACCTACGAAGAGAAAAAATCTTTGTCTTTATCGCAAAATCAATATTGATATTAGAGCTTTGATGTGTTATATCTTACTCGTTCGACAATCATCATCACTCCTTCGGGTAGATTTCGTTGAACATATTCAAGAAACGTGCTGGCTGTTGAGCCTGTTAAATGTTTGAACTAAGATAAGAATGAAAGAGAAAACAACTTGAAGTTCCTTCTGAGAAAACAAATTAAATTTACATGAAATTTTTTGTAATACGTTCGAATTTCGTATTCTCGCCAGTATTTTTTCTTAGCAAATTTTGACCGAAGCAATGTCCATCGTTCTGTAAAGAATGGAGGATTTTCTCTACAAGAAAACGATTCAATAGCTAAAGCAAAAACAATAAATTTTTACATGTTCGTCAGTTGAATATCAAGTTCTGTTGATACGAGACGAACGAATTTCTCATAACTGTCTAATACAGCTGGATCATGTCCACGAACTTCGACATATAAACGTTTGTAAAGTTCATCACTACCAGCCGGTTGTTCAATCTTTGGTCGGGGTGTAGCAGCAATGTTTAATTGTTTCTTCAACTAAATATTTAAAACAGACAACGTTTGTTTGAAATGATTTGTTAAAACAGATTTACACGAGCAGCGGTAGTAATTGAACGATGAGATAATATAGTTAATGGAATCTGGGACGGTTTGAACAGAAATAGTTGATTGAAGAAAGTTCGAGTGAACATTTGAAATATTCCAAAACGAATGTCAAACGAGATTTTCAATTCAAGTTAGATTAATTGACTTCTAGGGAATACTTTTGTTGATTTGTCATAGGTTAGTTACTTGAAATCAATAGTAGTACAGAGATATACCTCTATCTTATTTTTACGTAAGATTTAGGCGACATCTACTGATCAAAACTGTACACAATGTAGATTATAGATTAATATCCGATTGTAAATTTCTTTTGTCAATGAACAACACGATAGTTTATGAACGTTTCGTGTTCAAAGTTCGTAACCATGTATGATTTCAATCAATATTAGTACAGTTTTCGTATTCTTTTTCTTCATAAGTGTGTAAAAGTTTGCATAACAGCTACTCATATAAGTACCCAAATCAGATCAAACCGATGCAAAAACACAACTGAAAAATTGAGGACGATATTTGAATTTATCGAACTAGGGCGTTGTTTTGAGCTTCGTTGTTACTAATACAACAAAAAAGTATAATAAATATTTACTTTTCTATCAATAATGTCCTTTTGATAAAACGATGATCGATATTTAGTAGAGATTAGACATCATTTGATGTGAAGATAATACGCACGTACATCCGAGAAAAAGTACATTAATAAGTTTAGTCGGAGTTCAGAAATAGTATATATAGCAAAACCGTAGTCATATAATTTTGCTATAAGCAGAAAATAGATTTCTCATACTGACACTCATCTTCTTGTTTAGACATGTTCAGTAAAATTTTTCTTATTGTACTTTGTGCTGTGTCGACAATTCTCTGTGAACAGGAACCAGGTAGTGAACTAAATACATAGAATTTTATATTTCATACACTATGCTTTACATAGTCCAACGATGTGCTCGTGCAGCTAGTTCTTGCATCCTTGCTCCTGAATCTACAGAAGGACCGTACTATTGGAATTCAACCATTCGACGTGATATAACGTAAGCACTTCTTCATTGATTAATACTTTGATTCTATTATTGAATGTTCCTAGTGAAGGCAAAGGTGGTATTCGATTTCGACTGGCCATTACGGTTTTGGATACAACAACTTGTAAACCATTGAGTAAAGCGCTTGTTGATCTTTGGCATTGTGATGCAGAAGGTATGTATTCCCATTTTATTGCTGCCAGTTTGGGTCAGTTCGATGGTGCATCCGACAATTCCACATTCTTCCGAGGTACATAACATCTTTGTCATCTTGTATTCTTAAACTTATCGCTTCTACCTTCAGGACAACAAGTCACTGACAACCAAGGTGTTGCCTATTTTGATACTATTTACCCCGGTTGGTATCGCGGTCGTGCTACTCATATGCACGTAAAAGTACACGTTGGTAGTGCTTTGACAACCGTTGGCGGAGCAGTCTATGCTAAAGGTGGGCATGTTTCGTTCACTGGTCAAATATATTTTGATGATACTCTCACGGATCAAGTTGCTAAACTTTCACCCTATACATCCCATACAATACGTCGAACGCGAAATGATGAAGACGGAATTTTCCGTGGTGCAAAGGGTTCAACAACGATTGTACCTGTTCAATTTTTAACTTCGAATAATTTCGGTGGTGGAGTCAAAGGTGCTATTACACTTGGTGTCAACCCTAGTGCTGTATCAACCGAATCAGGAAGACCAGGTGGTCCAGGTGGTCCTGGTGGCCCAGGTGGTGCTGGTGGTGCTGGTGGTCCTGGTGGCCCAGGCGGTCCAGGTGGTCCACGACCACCGCGTCCAACAACTCCTGCCCCTGGTCGTTAAGTTTTTCTTAATACTTTTTTCATTTATTTGACTAATAAATAACACTCATAATTCACGACTATAAATTTAACACTGGAGTTCAATTGTTACGAAAAGTGTACTTTTAGTTTTGACTTGATTAATACCTTTTTCTTTCACTGAAATCGATCGGATAAAGCTATAAACGACATCAGTTTTTCGATCTATCGCTCTATTATCGCACGTGGGCCGATCAATTTTCGACGAACAATGGTACAAATGACGTTTTTCCACATAAATAACATTTGTCTTTTCTTCTATTGATTGTGTATATTTCGCAGATGCGTCAATGTAGGCAACCACTAGCGCCTTTTTATTCATTCTTTTCATTCATTCCTTCTCCTTTCGTCCTATCTCATCGTTAAGTCAATTCACGTCACATTACTTACATATGGTGTGTACTTCTTGTCCTTTGTTAAAGACGTAAAACTATATCGAACTTAATATAGATACAAAACAGAAGATGTTCAATCGAATAAGATCAACAGCAATTTTTCGTGACGGTCAACGTCACTCGAGACCCGCTCGTCATTTCTTTCGCAAATTTATGAACGATTGGTCACTGGATTTTGCTGGAATGTTAGCTTACAACCTCATGATTGCACTTCTTCCCATCGCTGTTGCTCTATTTGGTATCTTAGGGTTGGTTTTGAAAAATTATCCTGATGCTCAACAGGATGTTAAAAATAAAATAATCAATTCTTTTACCACAGATAACACAACACGAGCTGGAATTGAACAAGTAAGAAGATAAATCATTTTCAAAGAAAGAAAACTTTGATATTTTCTTTTCAAGGTTGTCGATCTTGCTTTTAATCAATTATCTAATGATGCTGGTTTGATTTTAGCTATTGGTATTATTTTTGCATTATTTGGATCTTCCCGATTATTTGTCACTATTGATCAATGTATGACGATTATCTATCGTTTACCTGAACGTGCATTACTCCGACAGAATCTCCTAGCTTTTGGAATGTTATTTCTTTTTATCACGATTATTCCTATTATGTTGATCATTAGTTCAGCTCCGTCGGCTTTGCTAAAAATTATTCCAGGTGGAGGTGGTCGATTTGGAACGTTTTTAGGTGGAATGATATTTTCATTACTAGCTGCATTCATTTTTTTTGAAGCTATCTATTGGCTTGTACCGAACAAGAAAATGTCATTTAAAATTACTTGGTGCGGAGCATTAGCTGCCGCTTGCGCACTGGAAATATTCATTATACTATTTCCATTATATGTAACACAATTCATGGACAACTATGCTGGTAAAAACAAACTCTCTTTCAAAGTTTTTTTTTAATCTGAAATTCTCTTTTCTTTCGTTTTCAAGGGCAAATTGGTTTTGCAGTGATTCTTCTTCTTTTCTTCTATTACTTCGCAACAATTCTTATCTTAGGTGCCCAAGTCAATGCTTACTTCTTCGAACATTACCAACCGTTATCGTCAGGCTTAGGAACATACATCAGCCAAATGCACGACGAACATGGTGTTGGTGATCCACATCGACCGCTCTGTGAAACTGAAAGCGATATTCAACAACAACCATTTCCACCGACGACATCGACGACTGAAAACCGATCAGCACAAAGCAATGTTTGGCTAAATAAACTTTGGCCATCAAGAGTTGCCGTGTCCACAGGATCCGAAAGAGACAGAAATGATAATGCATGAAGAATTTCATTACATATGTATTATATATGAAAGAAAATAAAAACTTTTGTTTTCTCAAATTTCTTTTGTTGTATAAGCTTGACATTCAATAGCAACAGTCGCATTGAATGGTAATTTAACTACGCCGATTGATGATCGAGCAGGATAAAAGTCCGATGAAGGAAACCATTTCGAATAGATTTCATTGACAATTTGATAATCTCGATCAATATTCGTTAGTATAATCAGACAGTGTGTTAATTGTTTAACCGATGAACCAGCAGCGATTAATACTGCTTCTAGATTTCGCAAGACTTGATATGTTTGGTTACGAACATCGCCGGGAACCATCTGACCGGTTTTGGGATCGATGGCTATTTGACCAGTTAGATATAACATGTAATTGATTTGTATGGCTTGATTGAATGGAGCGACAGGAGCTGGTGCATTCTAAAAGAAGAAAATTGGTCGTGCGATAGATGTATGGAAGGTCTTACTGGGGTATTGATGACTTTTCTTTTCACTTCATAGTCTTTACCTTCAATAATTGGTTTCGCGTGAGTAAAAGTAATAAGACAGAAGAAGAGAGCTAACAGTGCGACTTTTATCATGGTTTACAGAGTGAATAGATAAAAAGTAAAACTACTGAGACAATCTGCATTTATTTACTCTATTAAATGAATATTAAATAGTGACATCTCTTTCAAACAAAAGTCATACGATAGTTCGATACTGAATAACAACTTTTTAACATTTGTGAAGAAAGAATATTCCAAACTACTTCACCAGTGTGAAAATTATCATCTTGCACAATTCATTGAGTTGTAATAAATACTCTACACAAAATGCATATCTCTTGTATTTTCACTCCAAAATATTCATCAGTAATTATACATAATCATGAGTCAAAACATTGTTTATTGCTTAGTTGTTCGTGATATTGCGATATCAATGGGTGAAAACGCGATCAAAACTGATTTAATGAACAGATATACCGGTGTTGACAATGTACGACGATTGTTTTTCGACGAGAATCATCAGTTGCCAAAGAGTTCGATTGAAGTCGATTTTACCTCGGCTACTGATGCTCGAAAGATTCTCCAAGACGGTCATATTATTATCAATGATATTTGTCGTCGAGTTTATGCAAAGACAAAATTGATTTATGGACAATCGTTTTATCGAACAGCACCGTCGGAAAATCGAGAAGAGATAATAACAAAACCAATAAGTGAACAAGATATTTTAAATAGATTTGAACAGCAGAAAAAGTATGTTTTCTTTTCGAAAGAGTAGAATTCATAATCTAGAACTAATTCACTTATTTAGACATTTATTGCATGTAATGAATTCTTTAGAAGCAAAATTAAACAATGTGATTGATGTTCAATGAAGAATTCAAACGAACTTTGTACTTTCTATGAAAATCCCAAAAAAAGTTCATTGTCCTATTCACTGTATTGACATATGTATAAGAATAACAATCATCTTGTTTCCTATAACCTGAATTTTTAAATAAATGTTTTTCTTAATTTACACGCTGGTTTATTTATTCACTTGAAACCATTTTTTTCTCCCATTGATCAATAAATCGAGTGAAACTTTTTTTTACTTTTTTTTTCCAGCCGACATGTAAAAAGATCGATTTTATGAACCAGGCAACCGATCATAAACAAACAAAGACGTGAAACAGCCAATGCGTACCTCGTCTGTTCTGTTAAGCAGAATCTTCACAAAAGTAATAAGTACATACATAAAAAAAAAGGAGAAAAAATCCATTCAGTTGCTTGCTCCCGTTAGTTGTAGACGAATAAATCGATTCAAAGAATATTTCCATGTACAAAAAAGATTATCAAAACGGATTAATGAATTCTCTGCATTCAAAACATGGAAATACATTTTTGGAAGATGATATAAAAGTTCATTTGATGAAATCCGAAGGATTTTATCAAAATACAATCGATGATGATTATGAAGTCGAAGAAGAAGGTTTTACGGATCTTCGAATATGCGAAGATCCGGTTGATTCTGATTCAGGTAGGAATAGATCATGGTAAAGTGATGCTCTATCTTTTCATCATAGAACTATCTCGATCAAGTTCACCAGTTATGATTGGAGATGATCAACCGAAAAAGATTTCTTGTTCATCATTTTCAGAACAGAGTCAGTCAGAAACGGATGTATGTGTTGTAATTGTATCGAGACGTGTGAACATTTTGTTTGATTCTTTAGTCAGCCGACTCGTTCAAATCATCATACTTCAAATCATATGATGAATTATTGGATTTGATCTATCAAGATCCGTATAGATTCATATGCAAACCTGTTTCTAAAGACATGACGAAATACTTACATTGCCGATTGTTACGTGAGAAATCACTGATGTCTGAAATCTATTATCTTCAAGTAGAATTTGGCAACGATGACGAACCAGTAATGGATCTTTTGCTAATGTTTCTATTTACACCGATAGTTTTTAGATCACTTTACTAACAGCAGAAAAGGGAAGAAAATCACTTGGTCAATCTCAGTATACCATCTCGTTAGATTCAAGTTTCGCTTGTGATCTCTGCCCTGCTGAATTAGTAGCAAACAATGTGACTGGAACAGAGTATATACTCTATACATACAGCGAAGATCAACGTCAAGAACAAGCAGCTATTCTATATGTATGAAATCTAATTTCGTTCTTGTTGTTTTTCAGTTATAGAAGTTAATTGTTGTTTTTTGCATGTTTAGGAAAGTAATTTTCTTGGTTTAAAGGGACCAAGAAAGGCGAATGTAATTCTCCCAAAGTTCGATAATCAAATGCAACCATTATTTGTATGAATCGATCGATCGTTTGAAATCCATTGAGATTTATTTTTAGAATAAGAATGAAATTGATGAATTCTGTGTCGACGATTCAGATGATGACTTTCTTCATTTATATAACACAGCACCAAGTTGGAATCCACGTATGTTTCAGCTATAAATTATTAATTTGTAATCATTCTTTTCTTTTAGTATCTGGTGCTTATACAATTCATTTCGAAGGAATAAATCGTATAACAATTCCGTCAGTAAAAAACTTTCAAATGTTCGCTTTAGATAAGAATAGTAAGAAGATGTGAATGTGCTTGAAAATGAATGATCTCTTTGCTTTTTCTATCATTTAGATCAAGAGCAAACTGTAATGGAATTCGGTCGAATGACTGACACGATCTTTTCGTGCGATTTCCGATATCCACTTTCATTCATACAAGCATTCAGTATTGGTCTAACGGCATTTGAAACGCGAATTTTTCGAGAATGAACAATTGATACAAACATTAGAAATATCTTCTTTTTTGTATTGTAAACAATACACTTTCAAAATTGCATTGCAATTGTACTTTAACAAACGCTAGTGATTCAATAAATGATACAGCTAATTAAATCTCGAGAAATTTTATTTGTATAAGAATATATGTTCGTTAGTTTCGAGTTTGTTATTTGAAATGAACGTTTTTAGGAGTAAGCTTTTCAACAGTCTTCTCCAGTATTGTTTGTATTCGTGGAAAAGTTATAATGTAAGGGTCAAGTTGATTCATAACGAATGCAAATGAAAGATTCTTAGATGGAAAAGCAAGACCAATGCTACCACCAGCTCCTGTATGCAATTATTCATATGCAAAAGAAAGTTTCAAATGGAAACCATCTGTTCAAGGTTTCTTACCTGAATGACCAAATGTGTCGGGTCCCAAGATTGTAAATAGGGAACTGTATAGCATAAAACCCATAGTAAATGGTGCACTGATATTCGATAAAATGTTCAATTCCTCTCCTTGCATAGGTAACTTGAGAGCTTGTTTTAATATATCGGGATTTAACAATCGTTTTTGCTGTCCGTTATCTAAATCAGTCATGAGTGATGCATAGAGTCGAGCTAATGATCGAGCATTTGTGATGCCATTCGCTGCTGGTATTTCAGTAGCATGCACTTGAGGAGAATTGAACAAAGCAAACGTTGCTTGTACTGTTTCATTGAATGTTTGAAGACTTTCTTTACTGAAGGTCAGTGGAGACACCCGATATTCTTGTTCTGATGGTAAACCAATATAGAATTCCAGATTCAATGGACGAGCTAGTTCATCTTGAATAAATTGCCCAACTGATCGTTTCTTTGGATCGACACGTCGTATAAGTTCACCAGCCAACCATCCATAGGTAAGTGCATGGTAACTAGAAGACGATCCAGGAGGCCATAGAGGTGCTGAATTTTCCAATTGATGAATAACTGCTGTCCAGTTAAACATGATCTCTATTGGAGATGGATCCGTCGGTAGACCTGCCCGATGTGATAGTATGTCAGCAACGGTTGTGTTGTCTTTGCCATATTTTCCATATTCAGGCCAATATTTAGTTACTAGATCAGAATAACTTAGTAAACCTCGTTGAACGCACAATGCAGCAGCGATTGCAACAACGCCTTTTGAACTTGAAAACACTATTTGTAATGTATTATTATCATATCGTTTTGTATATGAACGGTCAAACCAACCGCCCCACAAATCTACAACTAATTCACCTTGATGATATATAGCTAATTGAGCGCCTAAATCGCGCTCTTTAATAAAATTCTCTTTGAATAAATCACGAACAAATTCCCAACCATTGCCGACACTTCCATCGATATCATAATTAATTTCATTAGAATAGGAAAGCTGTACGAATAAAACGAGAAGAATAACAATCCAATAATAAAACATGTCACTTGATTCTAAACAACAACTGAATGCAAATGAAGTACAGAAGAAGAAGAAGAAGAAAAACAAGAGATTAAACCGATAATCATCCAAAGATCAATTTTGAATAGACCGAATAAATATCAGAAAAAATGCAATTAGATCAAAGGCAAAGGTTTTAGGGTAAGGGTGAAGGTGTGTGATCTACTTATGATAAAGATCAGGTAATATCGCATATGGTTAAGTGATATGTATTTTTCTTAAATATATTTTCGTATATCTATTTCATACACCCAGAATCAAATACAATCCATCACGAGAAAAAAAAGCGAAAAATAACAATCAACGAGAACAAAATACATACAACATGCAATAAGAAAGAACAAAGAAAACAGCACCGGTGTATACAAGAAAATCTCTATCTGACGACATTGGTTTTACTGAAGTGATCTTCTTAATAGGGTTGTTGTGCAGGATTCAAACTGTACCGGAAACGTTTCATTGGTGGAGCCGGTGGTTCACCGTATCTTTTATTATGAAGATTCATGGTATCTACTGGCGGATGATAGAAAAGAGGCGTTTGCTGTTGAGGATAATATGATGGATATGATTGATGATACTGTTGAAGATGTGCTGGATGAAAGACGTGTTTTGTAGAAGATGGAGAAGGATAAGTAAGGATTGGTCCAGAGAATCGTGAATGTTGACGCGATCCAATAGAATTGTAATAAGAATTTGAAGACATCAATGTTGGAATTGGTTTCGCTGATGGTTGAGGTATTGAAGTATTATTGGAATCTAACAGAAAGAGAAAACAAAATGAAGAATATTTTTATGATTAAGAATTTCAATACGATAAGGTCCAAGAAAATTAGTCGAATTCGGTTGTGGTGATTGAAATAGTGTGGTTGGTGAATACGTAGTTTGCGGTATATTTACTAAGGATGATCGATTTGGTGTGTGATGAAGAACTTCCATAGAACCTTTGTCGTAGAATTCAAATAACAATGAGAAAGTTCAAATACACAAGAATAATACCATGTTCATAAAAGTTCGATGGTTGTTGTGGAATAGAGGAAGTTGTACTTCGCACCGAACCACTTGTTGAGGCAACTGGATGATGTTGATACTGTTGTTGTTCACTATTCGAAAGAGAAATGATAGAGTTGGATTGTTCACCATCTATAAATGTAAAAATAAAGAAGATTGATAATAAATATAAGATAGATCTGACTGGATGTTGATTTGGATTGAAAACCATTGACTTTCTATACGTGAAAGTTTATGTTTATGAATAATGGAATAAAAGAAAAACTGAGTTTACTTTTTGTTGTCGAAGTTGTTCGAAGCGTTCGTGAAATAATCGTGAACACTTTTCTTCACAGATCATATGATATTCATCCGTCAATTCTATCGAAATGTATTTATCGATTGGCATATCAGTAAGGTTTTTTTTCTACCTTCTAGTAATTTCTCGGTGAATTCTTCGTTTAGTAAATGAAACCATTGACTTCCATCGGTGTTATCAGGTACCTAAGTGAATGAAAGAAGTTGTGAACTTGCTTTACATTGAATTACTAACAGTGAATTGCGATAAGTTGAGAGCGAAATGAAGAGCAAAACAGGCAATTAAATTTGTGGTATATTTCATAGAGAAACGAGTGAAAAAAGTACTAAAATCAATGTTTGAAAGAGTATTGGAAGAAGAGATTTATTATCATACGATTTCGTTGCGATTTCATATGCTTTTTGTGAAATTTCAATTGGCACTAAAAATAAAACAATAGAAACAAAAAAAAACGAATCTTTTTTAAACTTACATGACAATGTTTGAGCTATTTGATTGATGATCACATAGGGTTGATCGACATTGAGACAAAAGCCGAGAGTGGACAAGAGCATATTTTCATAATCAATGATCTGTTGACTATAAGTTGACAAGATCTATGAAAACAAGAATAACAATATGAATTATATTCACAACGGAAAACGATTTCGTGTTCACTAACTTCCGGTGTAATATTTTCTTGTACGATGGGTGCCAATGATGGTGACAAAGAATCTTGAACGACTAGATGATTGTTTGGATTCAGAATTTGACATAAGTATCGAGTAAATTCATTTAATGGTCGTGGAATTTCATTTACTTTACAAGCTAGAAAAAGACATGCTGCTGCTACTATCTAAAATCAACAATTTCCAAAAGTTTTTATTCATTCGGCACCAACTACTGCTTCTTACTTTCTTCATACATTGTTGAAAAGGATGTAGCATAAAGAATCGATGCATATAAACCACACCAGTATAAACACACGTAAATGATCTATACACAAACGAAACTTTAAGATTAAATTCATACATTCCTTGGATTACCTACACATTAATATGTGCAGCCAATTCATAGATAAGCAAAGCTAATTCTTGTCGTTGGATAAGTTCATCATCGTTACTCAATGGTTGAATAGGAAATGTTGTTAATCTCTCTACTGTACAACTTGGTAAATGGTCAAATTTGGATGGTGGAAAACGCCAGATAAATTTTGCTTTTGAAGTAGAACATTTGGATACTGATGAGTGTGAACGAACTAATGACTTAAATGAATTCTTTGAGGAGATTACAGACGACATATATCAACAAACGAAAACAGATAAACGAAGAGATTTCGAGGAATATCATTCAATTTCATTATTCCAATCAAATGATTTTTCTTTCTCATGTTTCTTTCACCCTCGAAGAGGTCACTACAGTCCCGATCGTTTTTCTCAAGAACAAATCTTCCATCGAATATAAATCGCTGGTTTTCTTCGTTTATAACATAATTCGAAAGAAAAACAAAAAACATTCGAAGAAACAACAAACAGAAAGTCAAATCAGTTCGTCAAAGGGTAGTATAGCAATATGTAAAAAAAAAGAAGAAGAAGAACACAAACATCGAAAGAAATCACACACACACATACACACGAAATCAGAAAAGAGAATGATTTGTACAGTACAAAGTAGAAAATGTTCATCACACTTCTTCTTTATGTCGTCGAGCAGATTTCAATGCAACGAACTCTCGTGCTAGTTCATCATTTGTTCGATGTGAAAGAATTCTTAAAATTGTCAAACCGGTATCGTCGAAATTGATACGTGAACCAAGTGGAACCCATGATGACCAGGAACCTTGTTCACATACTTGAGATAATTTAATCACATTCAAACCGATTAGACGATCTTCTCGCATAAATGAATAATCTTTCACAGATATATTCAATTCATAACAATCAGGTTCTTCCTCATTTCCCAGTAAACTAAATACGAAATAATCAGTTTTATAAAATGATTAAGTCGATGACTTACAAATGAAAAGTTTCGTTATATTTCGGTATCCATGTGTTACTTTTTGTCTTCGTTGTTTGTTTACGCTTTTTGTCACTCAAATGGGGACCGCACATTGCTAGTTCGACATAAGGACGAAACATTCCCGATGTTCGCCATTTTAAACCATTGGCAGCAACAACTTAAGACAAGAAATGATTAGCAATTCAGAACAGATTTTCTTTCATCTCCATACCTTTGACAGTAACTTTATGTTCACCAGTTCCTGGGTGTGTAAATAAATCAACTTGAATGGAAACTTCACCAAATGATTCTTCTAATGCAGGTCGATCTAAAACGCAAGTAACGAGTTAGCTTTGATCTCGGTTAGGTTCTTACCTTGATCTTTTTCTGTTTTAACGAATGTTTTTATTAATGAATCAGTTGTTTGTGTGTACAAAGAAAGCGCATATTTAAGTGATTGCAACTCTAAAGTTTTTTCAAGATAATTGCGTTTTAAACCTTGGCCAGACGCATGAAAGAATTCCTTTAAGTCTTCTAAACCACGATCTAATATTTGACATTGCTTTTGAGACAAACTTCGATCATTATCACGGCCTAATTCCTATGCATTCCAAGACAGAGATTCGTTATGTGATACTTTGTACATGAAAAGAGAATAAACAAACCCCAGAGAGCAGTCGATATGCATCCTCAATTTTAGCCGTTGGAATCGTAAGGAGATTCTTTGAATCACTGAATGGTGGTAACACAATAACTTTTTCCAAATCACTGATGACAGCTTTCCATAATTCTTTCAAGAGACGTTTTAATACCGTTTTTTCACATTGATTAGCAAAAAAAGTTAATCTAGCACGAATAAAGAACGGATCTTTACAATTTTCACAGTTCATCGAGTATCCATTTTCTTACCTTTGATCAAGATAATCTAATAGTGATTTTGTTACTACCATTGCCTCGGCACCTTTCTGTTGTCCACTTGTATTTCCAGAACCCATTTGATTGCCTTTAATCTGTTGTAACTGTTTGTAAACTTCTTCGATACATTGTCTTATAGTTGGTTCAATACTTTTGACAAACATGGCGCTCAGTTCATCAAGAACATCACTTAACTGCTTTTGTAAATCATTCAGCATGATTTTCGTTTCATCATCTAGTTGCGCACCACCCATGAGTTCGTACAATTGCTCTAAGTTCAATCTCAATTGTTGAATATTGTTCATCAATATCGAACAAATTCGATCTTGTCCGCCGACATGTTCAAATGTTCGTCGTATTGCATTTGCATAGCCAAGTAAAACTTGTGAAATGGTTACTGAAAAGCGTCGCATATATTTCGAGATAACGAGTGGATCGTGTAGATCGAGAGTTTTGATGATTCCATGACATTGATTCAATTGAGTGAAAACATCAACAACAGACGAAGAAAATAAACAATGTTCCGACGTTTGTTGAAACTACAGAAAATTAATGCGTCATTTTTGATTTTTAGAAAAAGATTCGATTAATCTAATTACATACCCCTGTTTGACGATCTTTTTCCAAGGCATTGTGAAGATATTCCATAGACATATCATCATTTTCATTCAGCCATTGCATTACGAAAGGTTCAAACCATCTTTCAAAAAGAAAAACGAAAGGAATGTCGTCAATTTCATTAGCAGAAAACAAATCGCTTTCTTTTCCAAAGAGATTCATGTCATGCAATTTCGTTTCCTTTGATCATGCAGGCGAATGAGAAAACGTAAGATTAGGTGATAGATAGCTCGTATACTTTCAATCGTTCTTTACCGTTTAAAATCTTTCGGTGTATATGCACTGTTTACGAGTAGGATAGATGTCAAGAGATATTCTATAGAAGAGAATGACTTACTTGGGATATTCAGGAACGATGTTTTTTGCTTCAGGTATTATCTTGACAGAAGTATCGTAGAATCGTTTAACCATAAAATGAAGATTCATATAATCTGCACTTTTCACTTCACGGCGTTCAGCAGGAACTCGTGCGTGTTCTAAAAAATAGATGAAGAGATATTTAATCGATTTAACGATTACAGATCTGATTAGTGTCATCTGTAGATCTCCGCAAAGGTGAACTCTCTGACTCGTTCTTCGATATATATATATGAGAATTTGCAGTTCTATAAGATGATTTCAAATGATTAAAATATCGATCAGTTATTAATTAGAAAGAAAGTAAATAGGTCAGAATAACTTTTCTATTCTTCGTCTAAACTAAAATTAGATCAATTCTTCGAATTGTTTTATTACATTGCCAATATGATTGTTCATGCAAGAATTCATGTCAGCTAATCTTTTCTACTTTAAACTGATGATTTGATTTCTTCATTAGAGAAGTATTAAATTACAACATAGGTATTCATATTTGTGTGCAAAAGTACACAATCAATTTGTTTCGCTTGAATACATTTTATTTCCAGTAATCAGACAAAGAATTTTTAGCTTTGTGATTCTATTTTTAAAATCGAAATGCATTTCTCTCGAGATTTTCTAACTCTGATAATAGATTTTTTTTGCTGAAGTAAATATTATAATTCTCCAAAGAACAAACGCAATCTCCGGTAGCATGTCGTACTTGACATTCTTTTCTATTTATTAATTACTAGTTATGTATTGTCCTAGAACATTCGAGATTCGATCAAAACTAACATCATTCATTTTTATCTATAAGCATACACAAAAAAAACGAACCATGTTTAGCTCAGTTTTACCTTCAAGATGATCTTTCAGATCAGTTGACAAAAGTTTCCATAGAGTATCTGCACTTATATGACCTACGTTAAGTTCCGATGGGAATCTATCAATAAATAAATAGAAGTTAATTGTTTGAATATGAACATTTTCTAATGAAAGTTCGACTCACTGACTCAGCACCAAACAATATCGTTCTCTATCTTCTGATATGATACATGTTAACAAGTACATTAATTGATGCCAAAATTGTAGATTTTTCAAACTTGGTCCAACAACCGTTGTTGTTGTTGTTGTTGTCGATGGCAGTATTTGTAATCCTTCATCAAGTTGTTCAGTGTTGTCGGCAATTGACGCTGTCGTTAGATTGTTTTGTTGCTTTGATTCTCGTTTGTAAACTTCATCACAATTTGCAAATAAAAAATTGTACGTATGACGAATACAATTTTTAACACAATCTTTGACAACAGTTGATGCTCGTGGTGGAGAACTTAATTCTTGAACCTGATGATCATCATTAAAAGAACAAAAACAATAAGGTGCAGGCAAATGATTATAATATAATGGCTGATCAATCATTTAGATACTGTGTCGAACAACAAACATCGACGAATAAGACGAACAGAAGTATGAGTATTTATGTTTGTGATCAATTCTATTAACTCAGTGAGAGAAAAAGGAAGAAGAAAAAAACTATTTCCTTTCGCGTTTTTTTTTCTTTTCATATCGAAGTGTTGTTGGGAAGAAAAAGAAAAATAAATGTTTGTATGAAAAAATCATCCAAGAAATCAATGCAATTCAGGTGAAAAATGCTTTCATATACATGCAATCAATTCAAGTGCATAGCTTACCTCGGCTTTGATCGTCATTCGAAAATGTACACCTCTCCCATACTATGAATTAGCGATTAGATTTACGGGTTAATTATGTTTCGTTTTAGAGATTTTAGTTCGAATTGATAAAAAGAAATGAAAGGCAAAGATGTTATTTTACCTTCATACGAAAGAATGTTATTGATGTTAGAAGATCGACTGTTGATTTCAAATCTTGCATTCGTTCTACATTTGACGAGGGAAAATTATTCTAGATGTAAGGGAAAGAAAAAGCAAGAAAATCAAAGAATAGAAATGTACAACAAATAGAAACATACTCGATATAAAGACAAATCAATTCGAATTGAATTATGGAGTTGATCAAGTAATTTGATGAACTTTTCTTTCTAGAATTTGTAATATTTCACATATAAAATACAAACAAAACAATGTGCGTACTCCAAAGTTCGACGCTGCAAATTGATCAGCTGCTGATACTGCTGTCGTTGCTGTTGTATGCGCATAGTAGGCATTGATATTTGCTAAGAGTGTACTCATCACAGCAGGAACACCGGGACACATGTATTTCGTTGACAAACAAGCAAAATGTCTACAATTCAAAATCGATTATCATATATGAAATCGAAACTGAAACTTACGTCATTGCTTGATAAATTGATTCAATGCCGTATCGAATAGCGAATTCATTGACAATTTCTTGTGATGGTTCATCAAAGTAAACTTTCCATGCATCATCCTTAGTATATCGATCGATTGAAATGTAAAGTCATGTTTTCTTTACAGTAAACTTACTCCTCTTGCTTCAGGGATAATTGGTTGACCATTATTATTTTCGCAAAGCGAATAGAAGAGATTTTCATGTAAACAGGTGTATTGTGCGTGGTAGGGCGCTACTTTTTCTTCACCTTTGATTTCCACGGATATATGTAGACGAATAGCACCAGAAACGGCCGATTTATCTGTTCGCTTTTCAAGATTATACCAAACGTCCATTTCACCTGACAATGTTCGAACTTCAATGATTGTTTGTCCAAGAAAATCATCTGATTCACGTGTTAATTTCTGCATTAATTTCGCTCGAATATCGTCATCTTCATCCCTATACATTCAAACCAAATCATTCGCAAATGAATTTTTCATGGAAAAATGTGTATAACTTACCATACTCGAACTTTGATTCGATCACATGAATTATGACATTCACTAAAATTGTCAGAAGATTGCAAATCAGCATAATTCCTGTTTCTTTTTATTTATTTTCTATAGCTTACAAGAAAAATTTCTCATTCCATGTTGGATTCAACTCGGAATAAACTGTCTTCGTACGTTTTTTTACTTTTCCGACTTGAACGGTCACATATGGATCAGATGTACCAGATTTATCTTTCGCTATTAAACCTTGAGCACTTATCACTACAAATGCAAATTTTTTTCTTAGAAAAAAGATTTCTCAAAGATAGTTTTCTACTGACCAGTAATGGCCAATTTGGCTGACCATTTGGATGTTCCATCAAGTACGCTTTGTTTAACAGCTTTCATATGACCAACATGAGATTTTTCATCGACATTGAACACATCCCTGAAAGACATTTTGTCTCTTATTACTTGTCAACGTAATGAGAACTTCTTTACCTGATTGTTTTAAACAAATAGGGTCGTGTTGTTTCCCTGAGTGTCATTTTTTCATGCATGGCTTCCATTAAATTTTTTGCTTTATCATCGGCACCATGTTTGGCATTTTTCTGAGCGCGTCCTAGAAAGAAGAACTTCTCCTAACACAAACTATTTCTTATTATACTCGTCACCGGAGAGGAAATTAAAAGTTCATTGACGGCGTCGTTCACACTAGATTAACTTTCAATTTATACAAATCTCAATATGAACATGTGATTTAACAGTATATCATATTCCCTGTCTTCTATGCCTACGATCTCATTAGGAAAATCATAGAAACACTTACGTTGAAGACAATCAGCATTGAGAAGATCTTTACATTTTTCATGACATTTAACTCCACATTCTCGACACTTTAGACCTTGTCGAGCGATACCCCATAGTAAACCTTCACATTCATAGCAATAGGTTGGATGTGTAAATGAACAAAATTCAAAATCATGCGGCGTCGTCAATGAAATCGGATAAATTAATGCTTGTAAAGTTTTTTTATATACATGTGTACGCTAAAAAGAATGTGTTACATATATGTAAATCTTTAATTCTCAGGAATGTTCATTTACTAATTCTTCATCGTTTAAATTTGGTCTCCCAATGGCGCTCGGCACACCTGCTGAACGTTTACCAACTGATATACCCTTAATAGAATCGAAGTGAAGGATATAATTAGAAAAAATAAGATTTCATTTGCTATTTATATATATATATATTACCATGTCGAGACCCAACGGAACCATTTTGCCTCGTTCAGGTATATCCGGTGCACTATCGATGCATTTGTAAAAGGCATTGTTGTCCTGCTGTTCACTGGATGCGTTACTAAGATGAAAAAAAAGAGAAGAGTTTCGTCGACTTATTGGTTCATATTTATTCAATAAAAACTAAATGATTGTGAAGTCAAGTGGAGGAAACTATTTATATAAAATTTTGTTATAGGTTGTGTTGACTTGCTACTAAATATTCTCTCTCTTATGAGAAAAAAAAACAGCAATTATTGATCACGAGATGAATAGAGAACAAGTTGTCTTCGTGTTATTAAAAATTGAAGGAGATAATTCTGATTAGCATATTCGACAAGTTGTCTAAGTAGGTGGTTTAGAATTGTCTTTACTCTCATGTCGTGTTTGTTTTTATTTTCATGTACCCAAGTTGTGTCAAATGTTTCATTCGTATTAAATTACGTGCCTTCCGTTTGCACACTTTAACGAATATATTCCTTTCAAATAATAGAATATGACACGTGCATTGCATTCTCTCTCTCCAGAGATTTAGCTTCAACAAAACAATTTTCTACAAGTAATGTTTATAAACGTATGACAAAACAAAACGATGATCAAAATCGATAATTCCATTAACTAAGATCATCAGTGAATATCCGGTGTTGTAGACATATTCTCTATTACTCGAGAGAATGATTAAAAAAGATACTGTTCAAAGACGATGTTCAAACATGAATAACTTTCTTAGATATTCTATCGAACACGCTCTATAGAACAATTCTATCTATTCATCATTGAAATAACATGCTGTTAGCGTACTCCAGTAGTCTTTATAACAAGGATTTTGTTCGATGATTTAATCTGTACTTAGACTGTGTATTGATATCTTCTCATACGATGAATAAAAAGAAAAAGAAACAAATATAGATTCTAGTTCTTTCGATAACCATTGATGAATAAAACAATTCTCGAAGTATTAGGAAGCTTAAATATGCCTGCGAAAAGATCTAGTTGATTATGAGAAAAAAATATGTTCGTATTAATCAACAGAATATCATCGACCGATGTTTTTCTTACATAGATGCTAATAACTGTTGACAATCGTATCATACATATACGCATCAACTGGAATCAACGTTGGGATAGACGAATAAAACTGCTCTTATATAAACTAATTTTTTTCATCTAATCAAATAAGAGAAAAACAGTTTGATGAATTAGAAAGGGGAAAGTCGACAGTAGAAAACAATGATCACAATGCAGTCTGTATCTATATCTTTAATTTTCTAAAATGTTCTCGAAGAAATAATTGATTTTGTCTACAACTGATCAGTTAATTATTTCATTTGTGTCAAGAGAAGAATAATGTGAAAATTATTTTACATACTTTCCATTATTTATTCCTCCGTTCGTCGTTTTTCCTATTCCATCATCGAGTATTGTATTATGTTGATTATTTATGCCTGGTAAAATTCTTTTTGTGATCGGTAATCCATCCGAATCAATTAATGGTGAATGTTGCTTGGAATTTGGAGTGTCATGAATTGAATCTAAGATTTCTTGAGAATTCTAGGTAGAAAACGAAATTGGAATATGTTGAGATAAGAAGATGATTGAATTTTATGTCGAAGGAAATGAAATAAAGAGAAAGATGTCAACATAGGAACTCACGTAGGTAGTAGCAGACAAAGATATTTGATCGAATTCTTCGTCAATATCTTTCTCATCGGAAAAATTCTCCTTGGTAGAAGCGAAAATAAAACGACGACCAAATTGTTTGGCATATTTATTTAATTTACGATTAAATAAAACATTTGGTCGTACATGAAGATTTTCTTCCGAAGAAGAAACGAAAGGATCGGAATTCAACGGAGGACATATTGGTGGACAAACCGGTAGACCGGAAATAAAATGCATTGCCACATTTAGTTGATCGAAAGATGATGACGATGATGGATACTCGTTGCTGAAAGTAGTACCAGCATATCTTTTGTTTCCTTTACAAAAAACATCGAGAAGAAGAAGAAGAAGAAAAAGAAACATATCAGGATAGAACTTGTGTTATTCTTTTCTTTTCTTTCTCCTTTCTTTCTTTCTCTTTTTCATCTTGTTAGGAGGACATCGGTAATGTCACGCAATAACTTCCTCTGGCTACTAGTACAAGAAAATCGCGTTGAGAAAAAGAGGAAAATCGACAAGGCAGATAAAAACACACTTAGTCTATTAAATGAGCAACGCAACAGTAGAAATAAACGTCAATGTCGAGAGATAACGAGCGACAGTCACAGAATGAGAGGTGTCAAACACAACAGATAAGTAGACTAGACACAAATATAACTTTTTTTGTTTTCATGAGTACTCATTTGTTGATTGTTTTTACTTGACTTATTTCCGAGAAAATTAAAGAAACTAATTCAATAGACTCTTTGAAATGCGATCAACTAGAATTCTGTCCAGGTTGACTTCCGGTAAAATAGAAAAGAAGCAATACAGTTCACATATCATTTGATTTGAAAACGAAAGAGTTGTATTTAAGTTTGAAGACTTTTATATTTGTTGGTCAACAAGATATAATTTTATGGTCTCGAATATTAATCAGCAAAGATAAAAATGAAGTTTTTCTTGAGCTTCCCTGAACTAATGAGAAATATTGATGACGTCAAACATCAAAAGGAGAAAAGATCCAAAAATGTCTCTTTCTAAACGATTGATTATGATGATAATATCCAACGAACTAGAAGGGAGTTGTGTTTTCATCCGTCATAGAAAAAAGCTCGTACCTCCCGCTAAGAAGAAGAAGAAAGAATTGTGTATTTTCATTTATTTTAAGCATGAACAGATATGTTCTGTTTATTTGGATATTCTAATAGATTAAATATATTCAAATTATGGAAATGGAACGAATATACTATAATCGAATGCTGATAAATCTTATTACTTAATTGCGAAAAAAAAACAGAAGGAACTAATGCGTTGATGATGGGAAAACGAAGAAAATTATGTAATAATCTATTCGTCGATAATGTCATACGTATCGATGATATCTTTAGTAGGAATAGATATTTGCATTGAATGAAATTGTTGACAAATGAACGAACAGATTTTGTCTTGGAAAGTTTCTAAATATAAACGGATCTTTGCCAATTTTGATAAACGCATAAAGTACAATGATGTCGATGTATGAAATACTTGAGGTTCATATTCGATCTCCATCAAATGTGGAATTGAACAGAATGAACGACGATGTTTCGCTTTTGTTATTACACGTTCATTCAATAGCTTCAAGTTCGAAGATGAATAAACATCTAATAGAGACAAATGTTTTGATCTTGGATTGAAAGATTTTCGTGATAAATTCATCGGAATACATTCGGATTGACTTCGATAGAATATATGTTTTGTTCTTCTATTCACAATTGGTGTTTGACTCGTTGAATTGATGTTCGCATCCGTAATTGTCGATTGACGAGAAAGATGTGATATGGTGCCTGCTTGCGATGTCATATCGAATTCCAGGAAATGGTGACGTAAGATTTCAGCCATTTCATTGATATCATAGGCTGACATTGCATCTGATTCTGGCAAGTGTCGATCAAAATCAGACTCATCCCATTCTAAACGTTCGTTATCAGAAGAAATATCTTCAGCATCAGATATGGTTGTTGTTGAATAATATCGTTGAAATTTATTTGAAGAGTTCAGCTTAGACTTCATCACCTCCATGTTTATGTATGCAGCGCAAAGAAGGAAAAGGATGTTCGAGACACTAGTGTGTCATATTTCGATCATATAAATCAAGTGAGGAGAATAAATATTTTTCCTGTCGTAGTGTTACACAAAAATTGGAGTGGCAACAGATGTTATTTTGGAAGAATAAAGAACAACTTGCATATCGAACTGATGTTTAATAACAAGACGGGAAGAAAAAAAACTCGAGATGAAATGATCTGTGATACGTGCACATTACCTCATGTCGATTTCAAAACAAAAATCTAATTAGTTTATAAATTGAAAAGATTTAGTAGGTAATAAAAACTCGATCTATTCCATATTAAGTAAGTAATTATTCGAAAGAATGTCTAAATGAAATAATTAACCTATCAGTTTTACTGAGAAATTCTTGACATTCAATTTGAATCCGGATATGACTTAACAAGAGTGACATATTCTTTTCCTTTCGACATATTTGTAGATTGTCTTACTTGATTTAATTGAGTGACTGTCCGTACAGCACCTATCCATTTGACTTTAGATGATGATTGAGATACATTGGAATGATTTGTTTCGTGATTGAACAGAAGATTCTTTTCAATGAATTTTCTCGAGGAGATCGGCGTTTGACTACTTAAAGAATAATGATGATTATTGTATTGATTGTTTTCATCGTGAATATAATTCTGATTATTTGGACTAGAAAACAAGAAAATAAAACGTTTATTATTTGAAAGAATCTTTGACAAAAGATGTTTATATGACACATGATGCGATCGATCGTTACAATTTGCCTAATTGGAGAGAATTATAAAAGTCGACGAGCAGAACGCAAAGTTCATGATGAGTTAACGGAACGACAATATTTATTAGAGATATAAAGAATTTCCCCTCAAGGTTTTTTTTCTTTCTTCTGCTTTATTGATTATTGATTATTGAAAACTAGATCGTTGTGAAGAGAAAAAAAGAAAAGTTTTCTCGACAATAACCAAAATTTAATCAGTGGACCGAGAAGAGTTTTATTTCCGAAATACAGATTAATCTGCTTGAAAGCGATCAGAAAAGTTTTCTCGGACTATTATGCATGGATGTCAAAAACATTCGCTTGTGTTTTTCCGTCAAAGCGAAGAAGAAAATCTATGTGTGTTTCATCATTTGGTTAATTTTCTTCGTCGTCAGATTTCACCAAGGTGGAAATGACTGACAAGTGTGAGGAAAAAAGAAATCTTAATCGCTAGTTTCTCTCCCGAGTTTTCTAAATACGATCTTTTTTGACATACAAATATTAAGAACAAAACACACGATTTGTTTGTTTTCCTGTGCACTGAAGAAATTTGTAATTTAACATGCTGAAATTTATTCAATATGACGGTTTTTTTGGGGGGAAGTCTAAATAATTCATTTTCTTTTCTACACAAATATTTAACATGTGCTGTTAGCAACAATTTGTTTTCCATCAACCGTAAAGTAGACTGAGCTAAATTAGTACAGAACACAGAGAGAGAAGAAGAAGATTATTTCACTCAGTGTTTGTTCTATGAGGAAATTTTCGATTGGGGATATTCGATTTACCTGAGCAAACGTCTCATCATTTCCTCTTCCTTAGTTTACCTTTAGTTACTAATTAAATTATGAGGTTTTCCTTCGACTCACAGATATTTTTTAACAGATTGCATGACATTTCTGTACCATAGGACAACGGATGCAAAATCAAATTGTTCATCTATATGAGAATATTGACCAGAATAATAACCGGGAATTCCATGATAAGGTTCGGTAACAGATGATCTTTCATCGTCTTCATCAACAATCTCATCTTTATCAATTTCATCATCCTCGTCATCATCTTCATCAGAGCGTTCTTCATCATTACTACTCAATCGTTGTTCTTTGCCGTTGGATACAAATGTAGAATGAGGTGTTGATGTGGAGATCGTTCGATTTCTATATGCATAATTGTTTTGTCGATGAGCATAACATTGAACTTGTTGCGGACGTTGTTGTAATGATATCAATTTGGCTTGAATTTGATCGTCGAGTGTTCGATTCGGTTGATCAAACGTTTGTTGTCGAGCGAGATATGTTGGATAAGTGTGTTCATTGGTGTATTGTTGATGAGGGATTTCCGCGTAATTCATTTGACCACTCGAATGATATGGATTGTGATAGAATGAATGATCAACAGATTGATTGTTATCATCGTCTTCCGATGATGAGATAGGTTCGCGTGTTCGACTTGGTTGACGAAAGACAGAAGGTGTTGGAAGCTGACGATTATTAAAAGAAGTTGGAGCACTGGCAAGTGCATCACGCAGCCATCCGAACATGCTGGTGAACAAGAACGACGAGAGTGTGAAGTACCACTAATACGCTTTGTCTTCGTTCTTCTATGTCAGCAATACACATATACAAAAAACGACAGAGATTTTCTTCGCACGATTCGACGTTGTGCTCTCGTCATCATCGTCCTGTATCCTGTCCTCTGTCCTCCAGGCAGTAACAAGGAAGAAGAGGAGGGAGAGTGAGAATGCGAGAATGCGTATTTGCTCATTAATAAATTAGAAAAACGACATTGATTTTTCTTCGTCGTCTCTTCTCTCTTCCTCTTCTTCTCTTGCTTTTTTTTTCTTTACTCAGTTCGACGACTGGTGGTTCTTAAGTCTTTTTCTTTCACTTTCCTTTTTCTCCGGTTTTTTTCTTTTGTTTTTGCTATTACACTCAAATGCAATAGATAGATAGACACACACACATACACACACAACGACATACATCATCTCATTCCTATTAATATAACCACTTTTTTTTTGAGTATTCATTTCGATAGTCGTCTCTATGCATAGATAAAACAATCCCGATAATGAAATGACGTTTCTTCTTCTTCTTCTTCTTTCTTTTATAGTATTTGATTGATCGATCGTAACAATCGCACAATCTATAAGGTGTTTTTACATGCCGACGAGGAAATATTCATCAATTATCTTTTTTTACTAATCCAACAATAAAAAAATATCTATTTTTATCCAGGCCGAATGACGCATCACCTCTCTTTGTTCCTTTTTTTATATGAGTTTTATTTGCACATTTGTTGTGCAAAGAGAAGATTTATATATCTAACTGTAGAACGATCAATTAAAACTATTTGTATATGCAGAACAGCGCCTTGACAATGAGGAGAAAAGAGGCGGAGAAGTTTATGCTTATTCATGTTTTCCAAACGATTACTGTCATAGAGATTCGATTACCCTATCGAACTACCGATGTAATCATCATTGCTAATAGACTCGAGTAAACACAAAAATAGAGAGAACATTTTCTGTTAACTAGTATTGACATGGAGAATAAGAGTATCAAACTCATAAAACATCATTAGTAGGTATTAGTGATAAAAATAAATTGTAATATGTTTAATATAGAAGAACAAGCACGTAGACTTTGTAGAATTCCCTATTGGTATTGATGAATTGATCGTGACTTTGAATGTTTATTTGCGCTAGTGGCAAATAACCCTATGAGTATCGTCTTTCTCCTTCGAACCATACTTGATCTAATTCAATTACATCTTTCATATTCATCATTTATCATACAATAATAACTTGTTTTCAATCTAATAATTCGGGTTTTTTTTTCTTGCAAATAAAATTATTCATATAGAGTCGCTGAGCAAAAAAAACTGTTATTCATGTTTTTCTCGGAAGATGTGAAGTGAAAAATACTCGCGTCAATATGCAAAATTAATTTCGTTTTATCTTCAATCGAACGACGACGATGAAAGCGAAAGAAATATTTAGACATGCGAAACGAATGCAGATGTCAAAATCTATGTTCTATTCAGCATATAGCGTTCGCATTTGTCTCGATGAATAATACATCCTCAATTGCTAATACGCAAATTGAGACAATCGACGCGAATAGGAAATCGATATTCTTACCTTTGTTCATGATTATACATTGTTATGCTATTCATTGGAAGTCTTCTCGGTTGACTAACGTATGAAAATGGTTGATCAGATGTAAATGACATGTTTTTTTCGAATTGATTGTCATTCGTTCGAATACATGGTTGAACAAATGCTAATGGCTTTTTAGTTAAGATTGGTGACGTTGTGAATTGATCATTAGGTGTCGTTGTTCGAATATTTGATATTGACATAGATGAAATCGTATTTTTGGAAAACGTTGGTAAGATTTATTGATGGCAAAGCATTCGACGTGCGGCGATGATGATGATTGTCATTCGAAACTTAAAAAGAAGAAGAGAAAAAAACAACAGAATGATATTTTTACTTTGTCATTTTCCGTTGAAAAGACAGAGAAAAGATTTACAATGTGAATAAGAATGATTGGTCAGCTGCTGATGATAAAGACGAGTCTACGAGAATAGAGACAAAAGAAAAAAGAAAAAATCTGATACTTTTCATCTCATACATATTTATAAAATTACAAAATCTTTATTTCAAATCAAAATATGTCAAAGTGACTCTTATTCGATTAATAATGAAATACCAGATTATTCACTCTATTGAGTCGATGGAACTCATACCGGAAATGGACTTTTAGTAAAAGTAGAGCAATCCTACGCTTACTCAATCGCTATTGCACTGCAATGATCGCATTCGGAGTGAATGGCAATATGAGATTAAACAGAGTAGAATGATTGACTCTTGTTTACAGAATACAAGAAATGCTTTTATAATTAGTTTTCTTTCTAAATTTTTGATAATTGTTGTTATGAATATATAACGACTGAATAAAAACTGATCGGTTTAAATAAAATCAGGCGTAGACAAGAAATTAGATTGTTTCCTTCATATCCAAGAACTTTAATCATTTCTACACAATCATTATTCTCGATAGTAATCAAAACTGGAGACAAATCGTTGTTTTCACATCTACTATTGTTTACTTTCCAGAAAATATATGTAACATATACTTCAGAAATTTATCGTTTGAGAGAAAGTACGCTTCAGTTTCATCTAGTTGGATATTTTGAGTCATACATTTCCTCTGGTTATCGTTTTTGTTTTCTTGAAAATGATTTTGCTGAACAATGTACTTTCGTCGACGAGTGAGTATTTCTCGAAAATTTTCGAACAAATCAAAAGGAGTCCATTGGGAACGCGGATTTAAATAGCTATTTTATATTAGAAAAAACGACTAATGTCATATCCGATTAGAAAATAACGAACTTGAAAGATCAAATCAATTAGATGAGAAATTATTTATAGAAACTAACAAAACTTAATTTCAAGGATTTACTAAAAGCAAAATAAATCTTGTGTTCTCATTCAAATTAAGTGTCTCTTTAACAAAAGTTCAAACAAAATGATATTTCATTCATGTCAGAGTTTTCTTTTGAAAAAATGAACTATGCAATATCGACCTTTTCACGTACATCTATTTGGTCAAGTATTCTAATGCACTTATGATGACAAAAACATGTTTTCTATCTCAGTATCATTACATTATTTTTCTTCAGTTAATATACTACAATAAGTTTATTCAGAATTTCCTTTGTATATGCCTCTTAACAAATTGTTCTACTTAGAGTTTTCAAAACACTCGATGCATAACTGCTATACTTTACATCTCATTTCCTACCTGAGAAATCAAACTCATAATAAAAATTCTGTTCTTTCTCGTTTTATCAGCTGGAAAATCATTAATAATGTTGATTCGTTCGTTATTTGTTCAGTTTACTTTTAAAAAAAAGAGAAACGTCTATCCTTTCAAGCTGCTGATCGACGTTCAAGTTTTCCCTAGAAGTACTCTATTCTAATCTGATGCTTATCACACACAACTAAGATCTTTTCCGTACTCAGACAGAATCTTTACAGATACTTTGAAACCATGAGAAAATACCACTTTTGAATGATAACAATGACGACAGATTGGAAGTAAATGAAGCTTATGAAACATTTTATCTCATCATTGACCTACCTAAACGAGAAAAAACCAAATATTACAATCGATATATATATGTAAGAAAAAGGAACAACTATACATCTTAGGTAAATTACACAAATGCGCACCCAAACACATAGAATAGAAAGGAAAAACATTATCTTTTCTTTTCACATTGAGTATGTCAAGATGATCAATACAATGTCACATTCTCAGGCATCATTAGACTAGAACATCTCAATAGTGTGCATGATTACAGTACGATTACTTTCTTTTTTTTTCTTCTATTTTCTTCCTCTTCTTTTTCTATCTTCAACTCGTCTAACAATGATTAGTTCGAAGATTAGACGTTTTTTCTTCCTTTTCTTCTCTTCGTAATCGTTAATACGATCGATAGATAGTAGTAACATTTTGTAACTGATCGTCGACATTGAACATGCAAGACATATTCACAAAATTAAAAAGTCATTTCACTGACGACATCAACACAACACACTTGGGAATTGAAAATACAAAAATAGACAACAAGAACGATCTCTAAGTCGTTCCCTATTCATCAATTCACTGCATTTAAACAATCTAACAAATTCATATTCTAAATCTTTTCTCAAACAATGACTCCTGCAAGAAAACAACAACGGAACATTTGTGATTGGATAATTAGGGAACAAGAAACAAATAATAAGCATTAAACTAGCTAAAGGCAAAGTTGAAATAATGAATAAATATATATGAATCAGGTAATTACAAGTTGAAGAAGAGAATGTCTCTGGAGATCGACACTGTAAATGTATCCAAATGAAATCATGACGAACGCTATATAAGTCAGATCTCATGGTAAATTTATCTTTTTTAATGCGAGAAAAGCGAAGAAAAAGAAATAGTTTCATGTCTTGTACTTAGTTTGTTTATGGAAGAAGAGCATTGATGTTTTAATCTTGGTTACTATTCAAATCTGGCGTAAAATAAAAGGAAATTCGTCTTCATTCTGTTTCCGGATATGTGACAAGAAGGTGGTCTTTTTCAACGATGATTCTATGCCCTATTATTAGGAAAAAAAAGCTTTCTTCGAGATAAAAATACGTTGTTTTTTCTTTGTAGCGTTTCATGCGTTTCTTAATTAAAAAACAAGATCACTTTGAAGAAACTATTTTCTTAGGATCAAACTCGAATTAAAACAATCTCCTGACTGAAAATTAATTTTCTCTCACGTGTTAAATAGATGTGACTTATATAATCTGCTGCTTGATTGAACTTCTTTTCCTATTTATAGATCGACGGTTTACTATGAAGTAACAACACAGCATGAGATCCTACAAAAAGCATAAACTATCATTTGTTCTCAAAGGAAGACTTTCTATATGTTAGATATGAAGAAAGAGAATGTCGACGTGATGAAATGAAAATGTTTCATGAAAATTCTTAGATCTCTATTTATTAAATAATCGAGTTCAGTCAGTGATTTTCCCAACAGGCATCGTACCCAATCCTGAAATAATCTTTTTGGTCTAGAATGTCACGATTATCATTCTTCAATAAATATTACCTACATTTAGCCTAGTTTTCTATCTAATTCATTAGTAAACAACAGAATTGACAGGTATAGAATTGCGTTCTATTATTTACACTTCGTTACCCATATGCTGCTAACCTTCATTTTTCATCGTGTTATAAAAACTAGGAGAATTTGAGAAATTCATTAAAAAAAGTACGTTTTGTCTGTCTACACTTATCTTCTGTAAACGGAATTTCTTCGAAAACAACTTACCAACTATCACGTTGACCTGTATAATATTTATGATAATTCGCCCATACAAAAGAAAAACTAAACTAACGATGTAAAACTGAGACGCTTATATTTATACTTAAAATATAAAGAAAAACAAATGTGAATAATACCGTGAATATGTTCGTTCATTCGAATGAAATCGTTTCCTGAACCAACATTCTCTTCACTCTATATTTACTTGATCAAAAACATCTTTCACGTTCTTTAATGAACAATAGAAGTTCATTATATCGAAGAAAATTTCAATTCGTGCATGTAATAAAATTGACAGGAAGATGTTCTTAAAAGAAATAACAAACATCTAACCTAATTCTATTTGTCATTAGACAATGTCACTTGTTTTCTTATGATGTAAACATACGATAATGTTTATTCATGCAAACTTTCAATAATACGAAGGGTACTTTCATCGTAGTTCGTTTATTTGATATTATTCCGTCTTTTAAGAATACAATACACGATGAAAGATGATCATTTAATCGATAAGATCGTAGAATTGAAAGAATAACTCGAGTCTTTCCGTTTCTCCTCCAAACGACAACAAGTACAGCATAAATAAGGAGCCTCTAGTATCAATGAAAACATTTCACAACACACTCGTTAATGTATCATATGAGAGTCATTATGTTATAGACAAATATGAATAATAAATGTCATTAATGAGCGCAATGTCGAAGTTGAGAGAATGGCTGTTGTTCTTATCATATGTGTAATTCATTCATCATTTAATTGATAGAATTGTTCATATGATTATATTGAATAATTCTTATAGCTTTTTGAACAAAAAGTTTTATATAAACATAAAAGATTTGTATGGAAAGTGTTCGACTGGTCTTTATTATTTTCTGGTAAGAATAATTTTGTTTTTCGTTTTTCATCTACAGCGCGAGATAATATTCGTTCTTTTCTTCTCAGGTAAAATCGTTTTGTGTAAGAGACGACCAATTTCACACGTTGTCGCCCATTTTCTTCCTTCGTCATCTTTGTTTTAATAGTAATATTTATTATATAAATGACAAAATATTTTCGAAGAAAACTACATAGTGATGTATGAATGCTGTTGTTTTATAATAAAAAAGAAACGATCAGAATGCGAAGTGATGTCGAGCACAAACAAAACTGAGTTTATGAAAAACATCGAGAGGTTTTGTACATGAGTAAATAAACGCGAAAAGGCGTACCGATGTGTTTTATTTCCATTATGTGACACATTTCATTTATTTTAAATGTATAAATCGATTGAATCATCGGATTAGTAAAAATGACTGTTAAACAGTGTTGAAAGAATCTATACCAGAATCTTATTTTGGGCAAAACTAAAAAGTTTGAGTCATGCAAATAGAGGAAAAAACCTAATTATCGTTATGAAATATCCCGCGAAGATATTTGTTTAGGTTGAATACGTGTTAAAAAGTCCAGGAAAGCCAAAAGAGTTAATCATTATTCTCGGTGAACGAAAACTGAAATGGTGGGTTTTAATATTCGAAATAAAGATTCTGTTCCACATTTTTGTATATGTGGGAAATGTATGTTATTTTTGCGGAAACCTATTCAGTTAAAATGTGGCCATCGGTTTTGCCAAAGTTGCTTAAATCTCACTGATTTGTGAGCACATTTTTATGTGAGATTGGGCTTTTGAATTATAACGTTGTTAATTATATTTAGATTGTTGTGCAATTGTGTACAATGTCAGACGGAAACAATGCGAGATATGGTAAGTCTTACGTTTTATTTCTAACATACAAAACCTTTATTTTATCTTCTATTTAAACATAAAGGATGATGGAAACAATGAAGAAAAGATGAAATTACAACCTATCGTTTGTTATCTCTGTGATTGGAATGGTCTCTTTCAAGATTATCCTGTAAGACAATATTTTTGTCACAATTTGTTAATGTAAAATTCTTAATTTTCCAGAATCACTTAGTTACTATTCATGCCGTTGAACTAGAAGACGAGGATGAACAGAAACATCAAAGTATACCGTCACAACATTCATTACCAACTTCTTCCGTGTCCAATGACGAACGAAATATCTCAATCAGCGCTCTTTCTGGCCAATTGTGTGCCGCGAATGATGGCACACAGCGGACGAAATCACAGTTATTGCAAAATCGGCAATTGGTCAACGCTACAGTAGAAGATCTATTACATTTAAAACAAGCTACCGAAGAAACAGGAGCATCTGCTAAAATGTTCGCCATTAATCAACAGATATTCCAACAAAACATAACTCCATTAGCTGAAGAGATCAATAACCGGTCAAGAGCGTCTTACGATGGAACACTCCTATGGAAAATTACGAATGTTCAAGAGAACATGAGTATGCATTCTGAATCGAACATTTGTTTACTCTTAAATTTGAATTTGTCAATATTTTCTAGTGGATGCAGTATCAGGTAAACATCCGTCAATCTATTCACCACCATTCTATTCTTCACCAAATGGCTATAAAATGAGGATGCGTGTTTACTTGAACGGCGATGGAAATGCTAAATGTAAATATCTATCTGTTTTCTTCGTACTCATGCGTGGAGAATACGATGCGATTCTTTCGTTTCCATTTAATTATAAAGTAACATTTTGCCTTTATGATCAATCAAATCAACGCAGACACGTTATAGAATCATTTCAACCAGATACACAATCAACTAGTTATGAACGACCCCGTTTTGATATGAATACAGCAAGTGGTATACCAAATTTTATATCTTTAGAAACGCTTCGACAACCGAATAATTCATATATTCGTGATGATACTATGTACCTGAAAATTATAGTTCACTTCAATGATTCACCGGAAGCGATTTTACATGCTATACGCCATCTAAATCCGAGTTTACCAAATCATGCACAAGAATTTTGTGCAAACAAAGAAGCTGAAGAGAAAAATAAACAATCTTAAGCTCCATCAAATATCATTAATCAGCTTTTTTCATTGAAAATGGAGCAATGTTCTTTTGAAAATCTCTCGATCACTTGCAAATCACTAGCGCCATCTACTTCACAAAGTGTTCTATCGATTGAAAAGAAAAGGAAACTAACCAAATAGAACAATTTCATAATAAATGTGATCAGACAAAAAGAATTTTCTAAAAAAAAACCGTTCAAATTGTTTTCATTGGACATGGCTTTAAGCCATTGATGACAAGAGGCTTTGTCTGGTCGTTGTTTGTAATTGTGCTCATTGCATTTTTTTTAGTACTGACGTGATTGATCGATCGTGTTCTATTTGTAAGATTAATCATCATGGAACCTGACTTCGAACGTCGTTTAATTCGATCAATGTCAGGATGTTCATCACTTTCATCATCCCCATTCTCATCTCCGATATCTTCGCCATCGCCAATCAAACATAGTGATCGTTTTATTCCACTACGGAGCGTTTCACAGCCATCCGCATTTTTCATTGATCAAGAACAAATTCATAAAGGGCCAATGTCAGATAGAAAATCGTCTCGCGAAACTTCAACGTCTAACACAGCAAATACAGGACCAAATCCTACGACGTCGAGTGGAACAACAACGACAGCAGCTGATCGTGCCAAAGACCTCCTAACTTATCAAGCTTTGTTGCAAAATGAAATCTTCGGAACACAAATTGATTGTCTCTACGATGAACAACATATGAACAATGCCTACTCAAGTATAAACAGTAACAATCAACATTCGACGGGCATGACAAATCAAACTGGCACGAATGATGCAACTAACGCTGGAGTAACGACAGCACTGATTAATCAAGGCTTAGGAGGACAAATACACACAACAGCTGTTTCAAGCGTTAATGTATGAAAATGACGAAGTTTTGTTTTGAAAAAATATATCTTCTGTGTTGTTATTGTTGTAGGGCATTCTAACACCATCACTTGGCTTTCTTTCTCATTCATCTCAGCAACGTTTGCCATATACGAATTCAAATTCATATCTATTACGCTCACGTGATCCAAATACGATATTTCGTTATTCTGCTCGTCGTAATACAGATGATTTGCATTATTCGCCTTATTCTCTGTCGCCCTTATCTCCAGCTTCAATTCGGCTTCTACGATCGCCGCGTAAACAATTACGGAAAATTCCAAAAACGCCATTCAAAGTTCTGGATGCTCCTGAACTCCAAGATGATTTCTACTTAAATTTAGTTGATTGGTCGTCCACAAATATTTTAGCTGTTGGCCTCAATGCATCTGTTTACTTATGGAATGCTAACACGAGCAATGTGACACGATTATGTGATTTACAAACCGAATCAGATACGGTTACCAGTGTAGCTTGGAGTGATCGAGGACAATATGTTGCTGTGGGCACTCATAAAGGCATTGTACAGATTTGGGACGCAGCAACAAACCGTAAAACGGTTTCATTTCCACGTCATACAGCTCGTGTTGGTGCATTAGCTTGGAATGATATGTGTATATATTCAGGTTCTCGTGACCGATTCATTCTACAAAACGATACGCGCTCAAATAAGCAAGAACGAAAACTAGCTGGACATCGACAAGAAGTTTGCGGATTAAAATGGTCACCGGATCGACAATTGTTAGCTAGTGGTGGCAATGATAATCGTTTATTAGTTTGGAATCAATCATGTTCAAATCCAATTCAAGTCTATACAGATCATACAGCAGCCGTGAAAGCCATTGCTTGGAGTCCTCATCAACAAGGTCTATTGGCAAGTGGTGGTGGAACAGCTGATCGCCATATTCGATTTTGGAATACACTAACAGCACAAAATCTACAGTCAATTGATACTGGGTCTCAAGTAAGGATTTGCTTTAATATTCAAAAATGCGAAATCTATGTTTGAATTCAATTTGTCTTAGGTATGTAATTTAGCCTGGTCGAAACATTCGAACGAACTTGTCTCAACACATGGTTATTCTCAGCATCAAATTGTTGTGTGGAAATATCCTTCAATGTTACAACTGGCTCGATTGACTGGTCATACATTTCGTGTTCTATATTTAGCAGTATCGCCCGATGGTGAATCCATAGTGACAGGAGCGGGAGATGAAACATTAAGATTCTGGAATGTATTTACGAAATGTCGCGCCAATAAAGAATCTGACAGTGTACTGAATTTATTTAACAAAATGCGTTAATAGAAAACATTATTTTAGTCTTTTTTTTTCGTTTCCTTTGTCATTTATCTATGTGTCAGTGCTATGAATATCACAACAGTCGAACGTTTCATTATTTATTTGTTGTCTTGTAGTTTCATGATCTTTCTCTTTTGTCCCGTTTTAATTCTGTTTACTTGTTTCTCCTTTGTTTCATGATCTTGTTTCTTTTTAATCAGTTTGGTTTTTCCTTTCATTCGGTCCTACTTCCATGTTCTTTTTCGCTATGAGTGTGAATGAAAATTTAAGAAAATAAAACATATTATGACAACTAGAATCAGATTGCTCTCACTGTATATCACATTAATATCGATGCGGATATGAATGAAAAACTACATTTTTAGATGGCGGACAGCAATGAAAATCAACGGATTTTAATTATTCCTGGAATGGGATGCACACCGGTGAGAGAATGTAACTGGTATGCATGGTTGGAGAATGAATTAAACAGCTTAGGTCGGTTTACCGTAATTCTCGAAGATATGCCTGATCCTCATGGGGCACGGGAATCCCAATGGCTACCATTTATTCGCAATACACTTAAATTTGATGATAAAACTATTCTGATTGGACATAGTTCAGGTTGTGAAGCAATCATGAGATTAATCGAACACGATAAAGTACGAGGAATCATACTTGTAGCAGCATGTCATACTGATCTTGGTGATGAAGGCGAAAAAGCAAGCGAATATTACAATCGACCATGGTAAGTTCGATTCTTTGTGATAGTGATAACGATTGAAAATTGAAATGAAATATTCGAAGGGATTGGGAGACAATGCGAGCAAATGCGGAATGGATCGTGCAATTACATTCGCCTAGCGACAAACTTATACCAGTAGCTGAAGGACGTTTTGTAGCTGAGAAGTTGAAATCGGAGTACATGGAATTGAAAAATCGCGGTCATTTCATGGGTGCGCAACTTCCAGAAGTACTCAAAGTACTCAAAGAAAAATGTTAAAATTTCGAATAAAAATTATCATTTTAGAAGGATGAGCACGGATTTAATATCGTTTCAATGCTCATCCACTCTAATTGACACGCACATACGTATATTACTTTTGTTCACGTTTATATACGTAAAAGAAAATAATCAAACAAATCAGTATTAACCTTAATCAGAATGATATATGACTTTTTCGTATTACGTTGATGTTTGAAGTCCTGTCACTGAGCCACAACGATAACCACCGTTGTTAGTAGTAATCCAACACATACGTTCACTTGGATTTGTAGTAGATATATCACATGGATTACGATTCACTGTGTCTGTTCCACTAGCAAAGCCCCACGAGAGCATATTTGAATAGTACCATGACACGCCATTAGCTACTCTCTTACAAGACGATGTAACACCACAATTGTATAGAACATCACTTCTGTCACCCATCGCAGCAACAAGTAAATTAGAACTACCGATTGCACGACAGCCAAGCAATAATCGAGATTTATTGCAAGTTGCTAATGTAGTTAGAAGAGTACTCGAACTCATCAATGTGGAATACGTTCTGGAATAACACAAGGTCCAACTATTACCTAAGGATGAAGATATAAGATTTTTACGCATACCGTATAATAAAACTCCTATTGTACAACAACGAAAGAAACTTGTAATAAAATTAAATGAATACAAGAAATAATACGATACCTGAGCTACTCGAACCACCTATGCATAATAAGAAACAACTTATAGAACTAATGAACGTAAGATTTCATAGAATGTTTACCTGAAGTACTACTAGTTGAATTGCTACTACTAACTGTAAAACAAATCTTACATTAGTATCGTCAAATGTTCAAATGATTAGAAGAATTAAATACCTGATGCAACTGTAACTCCAACTGGAATCACCACAATAGCAATAAGTACTGTTGCAATTCCAACACCAATTAGAATTTTGATAGCAACATGCATATTTTCTGAATATGATGTTCTATAAACAATGAAAATTCGCAGTTTAGAGAAAATACAAAGAATAATTGAGTAGAAATCGATGTATGCCGATTGTTATCACCATCTATTTTCAAAGCAAAAGAGTACAGCAGTAATGATTGCTGTTACGTCAGATTTATACAAACAACTATTTTCCGTACGCCTACCGCTTGATCGATAAAACATTAATCTAGGCTTTTTTTCGGGCGAACAGATCATATATTTACGTCATTTCGAGAATTTTTTAGCCAGAAAGTTTACTTTCTTTCAAAAGTAAACGACGACGTCACATATTAAAATCGATTTCAGTTACTTTGAATGACGTATAACAAAGCGAAGAAACAAAAATCTTGTACTTCAAATTCACAATACATCGAAATAGTTATACAAACATAAATCTGTGCATAAACATACAGTCGTCATTGTAAATATTTTACATTAAGATCAAGAATTTGATAATTCAATCAACTGTCAATGCATAGATTCGGAAATATTTTTATACTTCGGTATTTTTGAGCTAGGTCACCCAAAAGGGCAAGAAATCACTTATTGATTAACCTTTCCTATTGACAATCTTCGATATTTCTGTGCTTTACTGCATATAAACAGTTGTATTAGTCTGAATTTGTCGTGCTGGCCTATATTGTCGTACGAGAATTTCTCATGTTATTCTCTATTATCTCCAACTAAGAATGAAGGAGAACAGAACAAGCACGTTATCGTATTCTCTTTTCTTCTCTTCGATCTTTCCATTTCATGTCTTGACGTTCGTAGCAACTTTCTGACCGTAATTGCATACTTGGAAAACGAAGGAGAATCGAGGAAAAATATCCATCATCTCAGTCGTATGTATTTTGTCATATATAATATTACAGAAGAAGAAGACGGAGATAAAGAAGAATTCACGTCATACATAAACAACTAGAGATGCCCGGATCTTCAAAGAAAATCACACGACTAGAAAAAGAAGCTTTTCTACGAGTTAAAGTGAGTGTTTTTGTCTTGGAATTGTATGTAATTATATATATATATCATTCTGATAATAACAGGATTCGGAATATAAACGTGAACAATCTGCGTATTTATTAACAAATGATTACGATGACGATGAAGCATTTGAGAACGAACGTCATCGACGTTTCACAAAAATCCGACAAACGCATCAAATCGAACGAGAAATCGACCATCAAGTAGGTCTGATTGACAAAATGAAAGACCGACGAGAAGCTGAAGCACACAAAAAGCAAGTTGCAACAAGTAAATCATCTATACTCGAATGAAAAGAAATCTTTTCAACGTTTCATTTCAGCTCGAAGTTTCATTGCAACTTTACCTCCGCCATCAAAACCATCACCATCGGCATCATCATCGTCGTCATTGGCACCTGCAGCAAAAACCGAACGAATACGTCGTAGCGTGCAAATAAAAGAAAAATATTCTACTGAAAAGTAGATTCAAATCAACCAAATCTGGCTGAACTTTTCTCTCTCTCTCGCTCGCTCGCTTATATTCACACTGCGAAAAAAACAAACAATCTGATTGCTTTACTGCCACATATTTGCTGATAAATATACATTAGTCAAAAAGAAGATAATTCTAATTCATCTAAATTTTCATTGATTTGATCCATGTTTCGAGCACAACAAAAGATTGATATGACATCATCAAATCAGACAACAACAACAACAAACATCGAGAAACTTTAGACAAATTCTCGTTGTATTTTCCTAATTAGTTTCTACATGCTCTAATCAAAATAACTAAAGAAAACACTTCGCTCAGGAAAACACAACAATCTATATCAGGTTTTTCTCTTCTCTTATTCACAACGATAATAAAAAAATCAATTAGATCATTTCAGTGATCATTTTTATAAACATTCCAATCATCACACATACCATCGTTGCCCAGTAAACGACAGATTTTAGCTCGAAGGACTTCATATTTTCACAGATGGTTTTAATCAGTCCTTATATATAAACAAGTCTACGGTCGTGAAGCTTATTTTAATTTTTGTTTTAGCTTAAATTCTGTAGGCGTAGATCAAATCGCGTCCATTTGATGCGATTCGTAGGTTGTAAAACATCGTTTTATGATTATTAAATAGAAAAAAAATGTCTCACAACTGATTCATTACGACTATAAAGATAAACGAAAACGAAAATATTTTTCTTTTCGAAAGATATTATATCTATTTGGTTTTTATCAGTAGTTGCAGAAGTTCGTCAAACCGAAAAAAACATTCTGTGTTATTTTTCTTTCTTGCATGTGTTGAAATACATAAAAGACGACGAAGAATTTGAAAGTTTCTTTTGTGATAAGATGTTCGACAAGGGTTTTGTGTACGTGGGACTTTTTTTAGTGAGTAACTAAATAAAAACGTACATCAATTAACGATGACAACGGTTTTCTGTTTTTATTTTTTGGTTGAATATTCATATCTGAATAAATAGAGTAATCATGACACTTTTGACCTTTACTTTGTACAGGTTTATTGCGGTTATTAAATATGTCGTTATAAAAAAATCATCGAGCAGAGTTAATTCAATCTTTTGGTTTATTTTAGAAGACGAATTTTTCATTAAAATAAAAGCACAACACGATGAATCCGTATCGGAATGTTCGAGTAAGTTTCATTCGGAATAATAAGATATGTGCAATAAGAAATCGTCTCTTAGCAAAGTGTATTGGAAGCACAAGCATATCAGGAAGATGTAATTACATCTAGTTGGGTACCTGCTCCACCTAGAATGAGTGAACGACGATCGTCGAATCATACATTTACTCATCCAACTGATAGAGTCTATAAATCAGAACTTACCATCGCACCATCAAATTCAATATCAACAAAAGTAAGTGAAATTGATGTACTAGATTCATGTTTCAATGTTTTATCTAGAATCCTGTTGATAAGTGTTACAAATGTAGTGGTATCATCAGTCGACAAACTGATAATGACATTAAATTCAACAATCGAATTTATCATACTTATTGTTTTTCATGTTCGATTTGTCGTGTCAATCTGGGTTTAAGTGATGAAAAAACATTTTTACTAGACAATAACGGTGAACCAATTTGTAAAAGTTGTTCATCAAGTAAAATCAAGCAGTGTCAAACGTGTCGACAAGCAGTTATATCCGAACGATATATCCATTTCGATGCGAATGATTATCATCGGGAATGTTTCAATTGTTATCAATGCCGTCGACCTTTAGTTGATCAAGTAAATATTCGTGTTCAGAATAGTCGACCATGTTGCGATCGATGTTATGACGAAAAATTTGCATCGCGATGCTACGTATGCAATCAGACAATTCCAGCAGGTCAATATACAACGTACAAAGGCAATAAATATCATTTAGATTGTTTCAAATGTTCGTTTTGTCAAAGTGTTATTCGAGAAATGGAATTTCCAGCGTATAATAACAAACCTTGTTGTGAACGATGTTATCAGGACAAATTTGCACCGAAATGCATGCAATGTTCCAAATCGATTGTTGGAGAAAAAGCGGTGATTTTCAATGACAATAAATATCATGCCGATTGTTTTCGTTGCAGTCAATGTTATCAACCAATCACGGAAAGCAAATTTCATATGCATAATTCTAAACCATGTTGTAATGAATGTTTTGACAAAAATATTGCACCGCAATGTCAACAATGTTTACGAGCGATTTCAGTGGGTAAATCAGTAATTTACAATGGAAAAAGTTATCATCCCGATTGCTTTCGTTGTGGTCAATGTCGAAAGATTATGTACGAAAGTAGATTTTATCAAGTTGATAACAAACCTTGCTGCAGTGAATGTCATGAGAAAAACTTCACCTCGAGATGTGCAAAATGCGATCGATCTATTGTTGATTTTTATACAACATATAAAGGCAAACATTATCATACTCATTGCTTTGTTTGTTCCAAATGTCGCCGTATTATTGAGGAAAATGAGAAATTTTATGATGATAGGTATGGAATTTTATGTTCGCGATGTGGTCTTTAATATTCTTGAGTGATTCATTCATTCCAGAGATTTTTTGCTATTCGATGATTTTTTATCAATAAATATAACTTTATTTCAGAATAAAAATTTACGAAAAAGGTATGGAAGTAAACTTCTCAGTTGATTGGTAGATAGGCAAGTATGCCATCAGCAAAAACACCAATATTATCTTTGCTTTTAACTTTAATATTCCCATCAGCCACAACCATGTTTTCTACTCCGACTGTTTCAAGATTCCAAAGATAGACTTTATCTGAATTACCACGAATTCGAAAGATTCCATCTTGACAGTATTTGTTTTCAGGAGTTCCTATACAAGCTGTACTCCAATTCTGAAAGAAACTGTATAAACCTGCATTATAAACATAAATATTGCTTCCATTGATAATGTCCAAACCCCATCCTTTTGTACAGCCACTATCACCTATTGCGCATCCGTCGAAAACAGGATCCGACCAAGCAGCGAGAGATGTAAATGGTTCGGGCGCTGGTGGTTCACTCTGAAAATAACCTGATTCGGTTTGTGCTTGTCCTAAGAAGACATTTTTCGCATTGAGAAATTGATATTGATATAGCACAGAGTGTTCAGCTGATGTTCCATACATCCACAATGGTCCTTCACTTTCGACTAGAATTGTTCGAGCATTGAAAATATCGATTTGGGAGTGATCGGGATAATCTAAATTATGATCAGCCACCCAAAGCCAAACATTTTCCATGTATAGAGATGTTTGAGAACTGATATGAAGTTGAAGAAATGCACCTTGACATTCTGGTCGATTATATGCACCGGTTAATTTCACACAGTTGAGCGGTGATTGATTGGTACCTTTAGCTCCACCAGTTCGAAAGTGGGTTGACCAAAGACCTGATTTACCGTGACACGTTGACTTCAAATTCCATTGCATCATAATCGCACCTGGTACTGGTCCTTTGTGTGAGAAGAGCATATCAACTATTTGAACGTTACCTGTTTGACCTTTTTGACCAACTGACCATACTGGTTTAGGATTTTTTGCATCACCGAAAAATGAACCTGTGGCCATAATTGTTGATTCAACTTCACCAACAATAACTGCATATGGTGGAATGACAACGGTGCTTGTGTGAATATAAGCACCAGCATCAAAGAAGATGATTTTCGTAGCTGCATATGTATTGATAATCTGTTGAATAATTGCCGTATCATCAGTTACACCATCACCTTTAGCACCTAGACTTTTCACTGTCACGAATTTCTCCGCCGAGTATTCAAAAAATTCAGGTCGAGAATGTTCAAGAAATCTTGAACCATCGAGTAGAACAGCTGCCTTTTCAGGTGGTGTCAGCGAACCTTGAACATACGTGTATGTATTTGACGATCGTGTGTAAACGTGACCTTGGCCCCAGGAACGAATTCGTTGGTTTCCTTGTAGTATAACTTGACCTGATGTACTTTGCACAGCGACAGAAGTCTTTTCAAAATTCACATTATCTAAAAGAATCTGTCCGGCACTAGCAGGTACTGATTGTGCACTAGCTGATGTAATGATTCCTACTGTAGTATTGTAGAAATGTGAGTCTAATATAGTCATTCCTCCTACTGCTTCTTTGTCTCCTGCTTTTACCGAAAGACTAATTCCAACGCCGCAATTGTTAATCGAAAGTGATTTGTATAACCAGTTCCAGTTCCATATTTGACTGATAGCAGTTTGACATCCGAAGAATGCTAAATTTCTCGAAGTGAATTGTTGATTACCTAGGAATGCACCAATTTTTCCACCTTGAAAAGTAATATCGCTCATAAAACCACCGCTACCACTTTCGATGAATAAACCTTGATGTTGCGTATTGGCTACTGAGGACATTTCAATAACGATATTCTGTAAAGCAGTTGCCTGTCCTACTGGCCAATGAATTGCACTCGTACCAAGTGTTGGACTCATACTAGTCATATCAATTCGTAGATTTCGAATTTCTCGAAAGAAATTATTTGTTGAACCCCATGCTAGATTTCCCCATGCATTGTATGGATCACCATCGAGTACATAACCATTGTTAAAATTACTTGAACATTTGATTGTTGGAAGTCGATCTCCAGATGGATCTCCAACTAGTTGTGTATAATAGTCTAATTGAAGACTCGAACTAATCAAATATGTTCCAAGTGGAAAATAGATCAGACCAGGTTCTGAAGTTGAACCTTCACAGGCCGAAACAGCCGAACAACGATTATTACTAGAAATAGCATTTTGAATAGCTCGTGTATCATCTGTTATACCATCACCTTTAGCACCAAAATCTTTTACATTACGGTAGACTTTGTAATCAAGACTATCGGTGAATGGATTAGTGCCACTTGTTTTTAGAGTTTCACGCCAAAATTGTTTTGGATGATCAGGAACGATATGCGTCGGACATTGGCATGAATAACAAGAAGAATTGGATGCTAAATGACATAAATCGATAATTCTTAGTTTTTTCCTTCTCGATAGTTTACGTGTCAGTGGAGGACAAAGTGTGTGAGTTATCATTGTTTTTGGATAACAAACAGGATGAAGATGGCAACGATGCTTGACACAAACTGTATTTGGACGTGCACATGTATTGTCATCTGTACAAGCAACTAAACTGCTACATGTCGCATAATTATAAGCGCAGACAACTGACGTTCCATCACCAGTTGGAAGATTAACACACTGACTATTTGTTGAGCATATATCTTCTGCTTTTCCAATTGAACATAAGTAAAATACAGTAGTTATCACTAACAAGTGTCTCTTCATGACGACAAAATTTCAAATGAATGGGTAAGCGTTGCATAAATATCAAATGGGTATTTTGATATTATACATGGGAATAAATTGACATCTGTCAGCGTAATCCAGTCCATGATGAGATAAGATTGATTATACGTGTTTTTTTTCGAGAGATCAATGCACTTTTCATTGAGATAAAAGTGCGCAAACACTACCATCTTCGGTGTGTGCGTGGAATTAAATCAGTTTTCAAATCAATTGTGTAAAACCTTCGTTATTGAGCGAAATTTATTCAAATAGAAAATATTCAACAAAAAGTGAATAAACAATGACATGTTCGTTTTTCGCGTCTACACATATGAAATATTGATTGGATCAGCATGAATGACGATGACGACAACGACGGATATACACAATTCAATTGCTCGGTAATGAATCATCTGCTAATAATAGACCTAAAAAAGACGTACGTCATCAAAGGTACTTGTTAACGAAGTATTTTTACATATATACATACCTCTTGTCGATGGGAGTGCATTTTCAGAACCTATACCATTACAGAGATTAGATGCGCAAAAATACGTTTGTCGACCTTCGTATTGTTGCACCGTATTTGCCGGTCCACAATTACTATAGCAACAACGTCGAACGATCGTGTCTAAAATATAGTATAGTATTTGTTGAGTGATTCGTTTATCGGATGAACGAGAAAACCGGAGTAGAATTTTCAAGCGTTAAAATGAAAAAAGTCTAACTTACTTCCGTCCCACACGTTTTTATAGACCATACACATTCGACAATTGTTTATAATCGTATGTGGAGAAGTTCCGCATCCGGAATAATGACCAGTACATTCATGACAACTAACCGTTGTCGTTTGACTTGTTTTTATGGTTACTAAAAGGAAGAGTTCATGATATAATTTGATTTTCCTCACTCTGTCACATTACTTGTCGTTGATATCACAAACACTGGCGTTGTTGTTGATTGAATTTCTTCTCCGCTTCCTTCTTCTACTGTTGTAGTAGTAATACTACCACCTGACAAAAACGGGTCAGCTTGATCACCATTACACATATCCGTTGAACAAACATATGCATCTCGTCCTTCGAACTTATTCAATCCTTCACTTCCACAGTTACTGTAGCAACACCGTCGGACGATCATTCCTTAGAAACAAAGTTACTCTTCAATTGAGAAACTTTAAGACAATACTAACCTTGATCGAATTGATTCTTATAAACGACACATTTGCCAGGGCAGTTGACCAACAGGTTAGTTTGACCACTGCCACACGGAACATAGCCTGTGCATTCATAACATTTCAAAGTCAAACTGAGTTTATTCAAAAAGATTAAGTAAAAAAGAATTACAGCTAATACGCACATAATTTCCTTCGCGACTGAAAAAAACGACGATTTTGACTATCGAATAAGTATAGAATTGCAAAGCAAAAATATCATCAATTCTTGACGTCATTTTTGGTATTCGATAACGATTTAGTTACACAATGTAATGCGCAAATTTTTATATTCTCTCGCGTTTATTTAACTTTTCTCAAATTTAAAGCAACTCTGTCTGAGAATTTCGTCTTTATCGACACGAAAATCCTTTTAACAAAGTATTTTACAATTTTCTAATTATATCGCAAAGAAATCTTTCGCATAATAACGCGATTTCCTAGAGAATAATATTATGACGAAAGAATATTTTTCGATCGTACCCGCTTACATCTTTATTGACCCCTGGAAAGTAGGGAAGTGAATCACATGATCCATACAGACGCCATTTGCAGTCGAACGGAGATTAATTAATTTGCCTGCAAACTACAAAAGGTGTGTTATGTGTGACTTAGTCACACATGTGCTCCTTTAGATATGCCTAAGAGTATCTGTTAAACAAAATAGGAGAAATTGAAGAGTAATCTTTTTAAGAGACAAAATGCTGTTAGTGAAAATAGACATGTGATAATGAAGTCATCCGTTATTTCATATGAACAGGCATTGAAACCTATTCAGTATGAAGTTTAGTTCAGCAACTTCAATAAAATGAAATGATGAAGTTTCAAGACAATTGAGTTTGGTGTATTATAATTTTACAATTGTTTTCACTTTTGTATTATTATAATTAGTTCAAAAGTTCATTTCATAAATGAGATAAACCATTTCGGCTTCTGTTTTATAGACATCTTGACAGAAATCATTGGTAAAGGTATTATTATTATTATCAATCTTTGTGTAATGAATGAGAATGATGTACGCCTGAACCCCTTCCTTCCTCCTCTCAACGATATCAGCTACATTTTGAAAGATTGAAGTGTCGCGTACTCATATTGAGAAGATATTTTTAAACATTTCCTAATTATATCAAATGTTATGAAAGGATGCATGGAAACTTGAAATACAAAAGGACATCCTTTAAGCTAGATGATGTCAAATTAAAGATTTTTTTCTTCGTTCGACGACTTGAAAATAATATACTTGATCATGCTTAATCTATCTTTCTCTCTCCAAGTATAAGTAGACGAATTTCATCTATGTGTACTGTGTCACAAGTTTACTGACTAAAGCAAGTTGATTTGTGGCTGCTTATTGAAATATTCGATAACTTTTCATCTTCTGTAATTACTGTGCATTATATTTACGTAAGAAAATGTCCTCATCCGACGCAATTCTCATCGCTTCTATTAATAATACAACTATCCAAATGAATCGTTATTTACCATTGATAATTTTTATTTTTGGAATTGTTGGTAACATATTGAATACACTTGTATTGTCACGGCGTACCCTTCGTACAAATCCATGTGCATTACTTTTTCTTGTGTCTTCATTATCTGGTATAATAGCCATTATTTCCGGCTTAACTACACGACTTACTGCTGGTTGGGCCGTTGATTTGTCAGAAACAATTGGATGGTTGTGCAAACTTCGAATATTTGTTCTGTTCGTTTCTCGAACGATGGTCATTTGGTTTCTTGTCTTCGCATCTATTGATCGATGGTTATCATCATGTAAAGATGTTCAACTACGACATTTAAGTTCATTAAAAACTTCTTTTCGAAGTATTTTATTAGTAATACTCTTTTCCATTGCACTCAATGGTCCTCTGCTCTACTGCTATGAAGCTAATTTGGTTGGTACTCCAGCAAAATGCTATGGATTTACTGCACCATGCCGCCTGTATACGGACCTTGCATTTACTTGTGGAAACAATGTTGTACCTTCGTTGACGATGTTATTATTTGGCTTATTAACCATTCGTAATATCCATTCAATGCGCAGCCGTGTCAATAACAGACAAAATTCAGTATTAACTCAGAATAGTGGTGCTAAAACTCAACAACAACAACAGAAAAAAACTGATCGAAGTCTGTTTCGAATGCTCTGCGTACAAATTCTTTTCCTCATCTTATGCACTGCTCCATATACAATTTATCGATTATATTCAACTTTAACACCACCTGCCGCATCCAAACCTGCGTTACAAAATGCCATTGAAGTTTTATTATTCAATTTTTGTACTAGTTTAACCTATTTAGCAACTGCCATGCCGTTCTACATTTATACATTATGTGGTGGAAAAGTTTTTCGCAAAGAATTCTATTCTGTAATTGCAGACACTTTTCAAAAACTAAAATGTGCTTAAAATCGATGATTGTGTTTATCTTCAATAAAACTAGAAAATATATTATATTTGAAAATGTTGACGTCATCATTCGATGAATAGACATTATGACATATTCAGAACAATAGATGATTGAGATTGCAAACGTTTCGAAAACATCTTCACATGAGAATCTTCCATCGAAAGCAATTAATGTCCTATAGAAAATTTTCCGACGATTAATACTTATAAGTGACATGCGGAAAAGTAGGTCGCCCAAATACTTATCAGAATTTCTATTACGGATAAAGATAGCCGGTTTTAATCTTATTAATAAATATGTATTCAATTATTTATCAGCAAGATGCCATACCATGTCAGCAGTTGCCGTCTACACTCAAACGATCTCATGCTGTTCGTCGGAATAGAGAACAAAAATAGATCAAGTCCGTCTCATATATTTGTCTTCACTAAATTTTCTTATCGTATTGGCAACAACATTAGTGTGTTCTTCAAACATTTTCTCAAGTGTTCCTAATGAATTGTATAAACATAAATGACGAGTACTCGGCACTCAGAATGAAATTCATCGTCAAAGAGCTATTTCCTACGTGCGCCGTTTGGGGGTATAGACTGTCGTAGTAATGTTTCCTTTGACAAGATCACGAATACCATTATCATCAACAACGCTATCAGGTCGGATTAAGAACACACGTACTTTGTTTCTCTTTGAAGTTCAATGACAGAATAACTAGATGAATATTATTAGAAACGACAAAACAAATCCGCAAATAGACATATGTATCTCTTTCTTGTTTATTAGTGATTATGATTAACAAATACATATGTAAAAACATTAACTAGAATAAGAAGTAAATCAATAATTATGTATATATATTTAAAATCGAAATACAGCTAATCCATGTTGATCTTTAACAACAAGTTGTTGTTTACTTTCTATCACACAAATATTGTATCCATCATGTTGAATTTGTTGTCTTACACGTCCTTGTCCATCTACTAATGTAACTGTTTCTGGTTCCGATGTATTGTTCATAATTAACCAATAATTCGATCGATATGAAGTTAATAAACAACACCAATAATCTGGATGTACAGCCTGTCCAAGAATTTCACCTTGGATCAATCGTTGTAGTTGAAAATTAAATACATCAACACGCCATTGATGTGTTGTGGAATTTCTTATAGTCATTGCAAGATGATGATCATTTGTTCGAATGCATCGTGCAACTTCGATAGACGATGCCGTGTTTATTGAGAAAACTTGATCGCGAGTATACTTTTGAATTAAATGAAACGATGGTAGTGAACGATGTTCAATCAAAGGTGATTCACCCATAGCATACAATACATACAGATTGGTCCTAGATAGGAGAATAATGCAATTGTTTTTTTTCTTTTGTGTATATTAAATTTATGAATAAAAACTATACTTATGTGTAGTGATTGACCAGATGTGAGGATTTTCTGGTGTGAAAATTTGTTTGATTTCATTGGTTTGAATGTCAAATGTATGTAGAGCAGCACCGGCAAGAAGAAAAATATTTAAATATTCACACCAAAGAATATCGTGAATCGATATGAATGCTGGTTCAACATCAACACGCCTGGTCAATCCATATTCAGAATCGAAAATTAATAATGTACTTGGTTTCATCCATGTAAGGATTATGGAATTAGAGTGATCGACCGTTCGAACAGCCAAGGCTGGTGTATTTGATGATAATATATCAAATCGTTTGGATAAAATGATTTGATCTAGTGACGGAACAGTTTCAATTGAATTCGATGGTAGTTTTGGTGATGGAAAATGACCACGTGAAATATTGATATCGCCAGCTAATGAACACGAATCAAAATTAATTCGAAGAAGATCACGAAATGTCAATAGGTCTGTAATTTGACTTTGAATTGAAATAAATCGTCTATGAATATGCCGAACATCTTCAGGATGAATTTGCTTTGGAACTTGAAAACAACTCAACATGTATTTCACATCATATAAAACAAAATCCTACCTCGAAGTAATCGATCAATAGGTTCTTGTACGAAATTTTCTAACGATTGTAAATATTCACCTTTGGTGATATTCCATTGTTCATTCAATCGGTTTTGTGCATGTTCAATATGTGATCGAATTTGCTCGCTGTACTGATCAATAAATTGAAACATTTTATCTTTCCATTCATATAGAGATTTATAAACTTGTTCGATAATTGCTTGCACTGGTTGATAGTTTTGAATTGTTTGTTCAAGATTGACGGCATGATTTTGTATAGAATGAATCTGATTTTGAATTTGTTGTTGATATTCTTGACCATGTTCAAAACATAAATGAAATGAACAGTGTGGACACATGAAATATTGACGAGCATGACGTGGAGATATTTGAAAAAGATTTTGGAAATAATCGATATCGTTAGATCCGTTCATTTCTTATTGAAGTTTTATTTTAGATTATTCGTTCATCGTCATTCGTGTTATTGTTGAAACAAAGGAAAAACAAACAACATTTCGACTGGTTCATCTTATTCGTACAAGTAGAGACATCTGATATATTTATTAAGAAAAAGAATCGTATAGTCAATCTTATGATTAATCCATGAATATGTGATTATTACTGTTCCACTTGGATCCAGGTTAAGATAAAGTATGAATTTTCAATAAATAATTCAAGTTTATTCACATCAATCCACGATGTGAACTGAATCACTTGGGAAATATCACGTTTCAATGAAATAGTCTTCGAATAAATGGGTAATTCATTTTTCCGACCTATGACGTTGAATGTGCAAGTTTCATTAGGATGATGAACGGACATGACTTCACAAGCATGAAGTGTGAAGTTTTGCGTCGTTGATGAAATTATTAGAGGGTTTTTCCAATCGTTATAAATAATACATAGATAACCATGTAAAAATACACTCAATCGTTCAGTTCTTTTATGTGGACGAATAGCAAGAGCCTTTTCTTCATTTGTGTATCGAGCATTGTGCCAGTTTAATCCAGCAAAGCCATCTGGAACAGAACCGCATTTGTCTCGTTCAAGTAATGATGCGAAAACTATTGTTTGAACATGTGGGCGAACTAGAAGAGAGAGAGAGACAAAAAAGCATTTATTATCTACAACATCAATGATATTATCTACCTTCATTTCTTGTAGATCTCGTATCTCGTACTTGTTTTTCATTCGTATGTACTTTCTTCCCAAATTGTTCAGTTATTTCAGCAATTTGTTCTGTTAATTGTTGATTTTCTGCAAGAATCTTGCTAAGCACTGGACGTAATTGTTCATAAGGACATTGACTAAGATGCTCAGATAATTGATCTCTCAAACCAACCCATGGGCATCGAATATCTGCTGCTGCACACGAATAAGAATGCAGACTCTTTCGCTGACATACCTTCAAATGATCATCGAAATTGCCACGCTCAATATTTGTTGACCCGCATGTTTGACATTTAACACGAAGACTATCGAGCATATTTAATATCAATCGTGTTTTGACTACTTGTAATTGTTGCATATTCGAAATTTTCGAACGGCAAGTTGGACAAGATTTATTTGAACTAAGCCATGTTTCAATGCATGCATAGCAAAACGTATGATCACATTGAGTATTGACTGGTGTTTGGAAAGGATCATTACAAATAGAGCATTTTAGATTTTCATTGATGGCCGTTTCGTTCACATATTCATAAGTCATTGTAAATGTAGTGAAAGAGATGTTGCGCAAGAATTTATTTTCAAAAAGTAACAGAGAGCAAAATCCTATTGACAAAGATGACTAATTTCTTTTTCCTTTTTATTTCATCTCGTACCGACTACTTGTCTTGTTTTTCGACTATTTTTTCAAGCACATGTCTGTTGAATAACTTGGAAAAAACCGTTTGAGAACAGAAAATCAGCTATTGAAAATTACTCGATAAATTGGCATTCCTCTATTATTTGTATATGACCTAAGGTCTGTTATTTCACCTCTGATATCGGTAAATCAAATAACTTTCCGCTCGATAGACTTACCTGATATTTGATCGATCAGGACAAAAAAAAAGCGGAATTTCTCTTACCTTGTGTGATACATTTACATCAAATACAATTCATTTCTTTCATGTTCTTCTTTACTGGTCATAATTTATAGGTTTATTATGTTTTTCTCTTTATTCAAATTTCATACGAACAGTAGTAGAGTCGAACTATGCATGCATTTGATTCTATCAACGGAAATATAACTTGCTAGAAGGAATACTAGATTTTATGTACCGTAATGTGTCAAGGTAAAGTTTGATTTGTATCAAAAATATTTGCTCTTATCATACATTTCGTCATCAAACGCTCAGTTTTCTCAAAGTCTTCTGTAAAAGAAGTTTCTATTTATATGTATCTTCATACATTCAGTTTGATAACGAATAATATATATTTAATGGTTTTTCTCTCTCTTTCTTCTTTTATTCTTGCACTCCATCATCGTTGATTTCCACCTTGAAGAGAAGAATATATATGTACACTCAATCAAATAAATAACGACATTAAGAAAATGCGACGAGCTAGAAGGAAAATGACAGAACGATCGAAAACATCGAATGATCATTACACTTGTAATTTTTATGATACATATATATGTGCATCATCATCACCAGTAGTTATACAGAAGAAAAAAAGTCAGTCAACCAGCACGCACTTTTTTCTTGTCAAGTAGTTTTACCTAATCGTACTTATTCTTTATTGTTCTTCTCAGATCATTTCTAATATTCTTGTATAATTGTGCATATGGCATCCCCCAGTGGTGGTGGTAGCAGTAGTAATAACAATCCTAGTGAAAGAAAATTAACACGTATGTATTTATAATCATTTGTTTGTGCGATGAAGCGTGTACGTTTATCGATTTGTAGGTGACACTTCTCTAGATAGCCATGCACGATTTAATCTCTCTCCGGTTCCGAGTGTAGAAGATGATGAAGATGATGGAGTCGGACACGAAACTCACCGAGGCTTGAATCGCATCAATCAAGATGATAGTGGCGAAGAAGCTGATGTAGCGGGCAGTGGACCGAGTGGAGGAACAACGACGGTGACATTGTATGATAAAAATGATGGGATTAGTAGTCCACCACCAAGCAGACATCAAGAACAAGGTTTTTATTTTAATTAGTAGAGTGAATTGAACAAAAGAACTTCATGGATTTTTAGTAACGAATGTAACATATGTTGTTCGAAAACATTATGAAAATTTTGAAACAATCGACTGGTTGAAAGATTTAATGCGAAATCGTATTCGTCATCGAAATACACGTGCTCACAGACGTGATGGTTGGAAAAAACGATTTGCATTTTGGTTTGATACATGGAGTGGTTGGATTTGTGTACTATTAGTCGGAGTATCGGCAGGTACGATTATAAATTCTTTGATCAAATGCTTATTTTAATACTTATTGATTTCAAGGTCTCGTCGCTGGTTTTGTCGATATTGGTGCAAAATGGATGAGTCATTGGCGAACAGGTATTTGTGCACCTGCGTTTTGGCTTAACCGTGAACAATGTTGTTGGGGATCTCGACATGTCGAATTTGATGATGTACATAATGAAATTTGCGAATATGTAATAGCGAATATCAGTCGTTTTTCAATCTTTATTTTGTGTTATTTTGATTATTTAGTGGAAGTCTTGGTCGGATTTATTTGGATTTAATGAATTATCAGCAAGTGCATGGTTTTTGCAATATTTTATGTTTATCTTTTGGTCGGTTGTGTATGCAGCATTCATTGTGGTACTTGTTGTTGGCTCAGCACCATATGCAAGTGGATCAGGTATTCCAGAAATCAAGACAATTCTATCGGGTTTTATTATGTATGGCTACTTGGGCAAATGGACATTTATTATCAAAAGTATTGGTATGATCTTTGCGACTAGTGCAGGTCTTATCGTGGGTAAAGAAGGACCATTTGTACATATATCGTGTTGTTGTGGAAACCTATTCTCAAGTAAAAATAATGACAAGATATTCTTCTGATTTTGAGAAAAGAATTTAATAATTCATTTAGAACTCTTTCCTAAATATGGACAAAATGAAGCACGTAAACGTGAAATCTTATCGGCAGCAGCAGCAACAGGTGTTTCTGTCGCATTTGGTGCACCAATTGGTGGCATTCTTTTCAGTTTAGAAGAGATTAGTTATTATTTTCCCTACAAAACTTTATGGCGAACATTTTTCTGTTGTATGATTGGAGCATTAGTCGTCCGCACAATAAATCCATATGGAAATGGACATGAAATTCAGTTTCCTGTAGAATACAACGTTCCATGGGCAACATTCGAAGTAGTACCATTCATTGGTCTTGGTGCACTCGGTGGATTATGGGGAACGCTATTCATTAAAACTAATATTCGGTGGTTAAAATACAAGAAAACTAGTCGAATTGGACAATATCCTCGAGCGGAAGTGATCCTTCTAACAATTATTACAGCTTTGGTTTGTTTTCCTAATCATTATTTGAGATTAACTATGCCAGAGTTAATTCGACGATTAGTCGGACAATGTCATGTTGACGATCATATGGACCTTTGGTAAGTAATCTTCATTATCATTTCAAATTCTATTTATTAAATTTGACCTATATACAGCGATTATGAACGAGAAATACCAATTGGAACAGCTTCAGCCAAATTATATGCAGCAGTTGCTGGACCGGGTATTCATCGTGCACTTTGGCAATTATTATGGGCTTTGATTGTACAAATCACATTGGTCATATTCACAATTGGCACGAAGGTTCCATCTGGCCTAATCATTCCAAGTATTTCAATTGGAGCTATAGCGGGTCGTATCATTGGAATTATTACTGAACAAATTGCCTATCGCAATCAACATTTAGCTATATTAAGACATGAATGTGGTGTTTCAAATGAACATTGTGTCACACCTGGACTCTACGCCGTCGTGGGTGCATGTGCATTTCTAGGTGGTGTTAGTCGAATGACTGTTTCGTTAGTAGTAATTATGAGTGAAGTGACAGGTGGATTATCCTATATTGTTCCACTGATGGTAGCAGCATTAACAGCCAAATGGGTTGGTGATGCATTCGGAGAAGGAATTTATGAAGAGAATGTTAAACTAAGCGGTTATCCATATCTCGGTAACGAAATGAATTACAAGTAGATCAAATTGTGTGTTTTTATTTCTCTATAGAAAATCGTGAAAGTTATCGATTGACACGTAAGGCTGGTGAAGCAATAGTTGATAAACGTACTGGTGAAGTGAGACCGTTAATATGTATCGTTCAAGATGGAATGACTATTTATCAAATCGATAAATTGATTCGTCAGCATCCACATTCGATCTATCCTGTTGTTCTTAGTACAGATTTTCCCTGCATTGTCGGTCAAATCCTACGACGAGATTTACTAGCGGTTTTGAAGTCACGTAAAACTCAATTAACTTATGAACAATCGAAACCGGTCTTAAATCGAAAAATCTCCGTAGTGTCAATGTCAAATTTATTGAATAAATCAGGTCAACCATCTTCGTTAGGAATGCGTCGAGCATCATTAGCATTACAAGCATCACGAGTTTTGCAATTACATAAACTAGTCGATCGAGCGCCGATTCTCGTAACTGATCAAACACCAATGGAGGCGGTTATTGATATATTTAGAAAACTGGGTTGTCGACAATTATTCGTTACAAAAAATGGGTAAGTTTATTCATTATTCGAGTATGTAACATCACAATTCTTTTTATTTCAGTCGTCTACAAGGAATTTTAACACGAAAAGATATTATTCGATTGATGCACGAAGCGAACGTTTCAGAGAAGATGGAACACTGAAATAACAAACTATGTATACCTGTATAGTACATGTTGTCTTTCAGTTAGCGAACTTTCTTTTTTTTTTGTAAGCTTAGAAATCTTTTTGAATATTTATGTACAAAGTTCATAGTTCAAAATAAACAATGATATTCACATTCTGTTTTTGTCTTAATTTGCATGTGTTTTCAACATCATTTGTCGGTATCGATTCGATTTTGTTATCCCATCAGGTATTTCAAAAAGACGACCTGTTATCGTGTCGCGCCGGCAACATTTTTCTCCACAACAGTAAGAACCTGACGAACAACATTGCGTTGAACAGCAGACAGGATATCGTTTTGGACAACAACCTTTTCTAGTCGCACAACAAACAGGAAAATCCTTCGTACAACAATTTGTTGGGTCATTCGGACAACATACATTACTTTTGGCTGGACAACAACCGAGATTATAACAACATGTTGAACCGATTTCCGCCAAAGTACATTGAAATTGAATACAACTACCGTTTAGTGAGGAAATAAAGAAGATAAACATAAGATTTATACACAAAACACGTAACATCATCGTTGGTTTAGTTTTTGAAACAGTGTACACAGCTATTTATAAAACAAAGAATGAATCATTGTCAAAGATAAGATGTATCACGTTTATAAAAACAAAAGACGTAGTTAGTCGACTAATTCCAAGCAATACGACGACGACCATGGAACTAAGAATAAAAAGAAAATGTGGAGAAAAAGAGAACAGGTTTTGTTTTACTTGTGAATCGGTTGTTGGTATCAATGGAGGTTGTTCGAAAGTTTGTTTTGATTCTTCGTATTCAATCGGTTGTTCTGGTTCCTTACGGACGATGAATATCTGAGAAAAATGATTTAGATAGACAACAACAACAACAACAAAGTCATTTTACTTGTGGCTTTTGTTCGATTGGTGTCGTTTGCTTTTGTTTTTCGATCAAATCGTATTTTCGTGCTTGTTCCATTTCTTCAATTAAAGTTCGTTGTTTTTCGTAGATTTCCTTTTGTTTTTCTTTGAAAAGATGTAATTGTTTAATTAATTGATTTTGTCTTTCAGTTAGTATCGGTCGGAGTAATTTCATACGTGTTTTTTGTTCATCATTCCATTGTTGATCATATCGAGACCATTGTTTGGCAGCATCTTCTCTTCAATATTCATTTTTAGAAAGACGAATGGAAATTTTCGAAAGAAAAACATACGGATACATGTCATCAACTTCTTTTTCTTTGTTTTTCTCAACTCTCATCTGTTGTTGAAATTGCTGAAGAACATTGGAGACATTTTCCTTTAATTGTTTTTGTTCATCGAATTGTTCCAAACGAGATTCGTATTCGGGATGCACAATTGATGTAAGAATGTCAATGTCCATATCCTAACAATCGAGCATAAGCGAATATGTAAGTTTCAAGGATATGTTACCAGTCGTTGTTGAACTTCTTTTGATCGTTTATGCAATTTTGCTTTATGTTGACGAAGAAGTTGACGTCTGAGAAAGAAAATATTGAATATATTTCATACTCATATGCTTATACCCTTGATCTTGTTGAATAGGAAAGTTTTCTGTTTGTCTTCTAATTTCTTGAAATTCTTCTAATCTTATTTGTTCTTTATACCAATGTTCTTCTTCCTGTTTGAAAAGTTCCGCCTAAATATAAATTCGTTTAGAATAAGATGGATATACATGTGACATACCTGTTTCTCTAATTGATTGAATTCTTCCATTTGTTGTTGAAGAATCAACTTCAATTGTTGGTGTCGTCGTTTCCGTTCGTTTTGTTTGTCATCTCGTTGTTCGAAAGACAAATCTTGCAATTTATGGATTTCCATTGTTTGTAAATCGAAATTATTCGTTGTTTCAGGTTGCGGCGAATGTTCGGATGCTGACTGAAAGAAATCGATTGGCATGTTCATTGGAGGTATCGCTTCATGCGAAGATCGACGATATGAAAGCAATTCTGACTGAACAAATTCAATAAAATACTGAACTAGAAGATCAGAGGTTATAGATTAAACCTGGTATTTATTTTTATCTGCTTCAAGTATAGCAGATAAATGGTTACGACGTTGTTCAAGACGTTTTGATTTTTCTGCTTTTTTTTGTTCGAGACGAAGTTCTTCATCACTAATCAAAATAGTAAATTGAATAGAAGATGCGTTGATTGTCAATTTAAACTTCTATTACTTGAGAATACCGGAAATAGGTGATGCCCATTTACTATTAGCAGCACTGTAACGATTTTGATTTATGTTATGAGTGACTGTCTGTGACTTTTCACTTCTAGAAAGAAATATTCCAGTAGAATACTTGAAGAACATCATACAGTCTGGTACTTTTTTTCGTTGCTAATATCTGTCGCATTTAGCAGTTCTTTAACTGTTGATTGAGAATGCATTTTCGAAATTGAAAGGGCACACATTAACGTTCATTTGCTTGCAAAACTATACAGCCATTAGGAATCACTTAGCCATGGTGAAATTACCGTATAGGATATTTTTTCGTAAGATTTCTCGATAAATATTCAACAAAATCATTAGTTGGTTCCGTCTGATTACTTTTCTAATTGATAAGATAAATCCTGATTATGTACTCCTGTGTTCGATAGATGTCAGAAGTCTATTTATCACAGAAAAACAACTGTACGTTTATAACTAGAAAGCTCCCGTGGAAACTACACGGCGATTTTTCTCAAAAACAATTGTAGTTCTTCTATAACCGTACGTTAATCGAGACAGTTGTGGTAACCGATTAATAGGCTTTTAACCGTTTAAGGGAAAACATGGAATTCATGGCGGAGGCGCGAATTCTGGAAATCTATTGGTTAAAAATAAAACGTATAGAAATTATTCATTTTAATTTGAGTATTATGGTTATTCTTGTTACTTTCACGAAAAAAAATCTATCACGTCAATTCAGCTGAGAGCTGCAAAGCGAAAGTAAATCTTGCTTGATTCAAGATAAAAATATCACGGGAAAAAAGCAAGTTGTCTGATGGGTCAAGTCGACTTGTCTCATTCACATGAATCTTCAACTGCTCGGAATGCAAATAACACGGAAAGCGAGTTATCCCACAGGACAATTCGAGTTGTCTCATTCATATGGATTTTCATCTATTATACATTTGAAACAGCATGTAAAGCGATTTTTCTCTTTAACACGGGTCTTCATCTTTTCATGACGCATATAATACGTAAAGCGAGTTATCTCAGAGGAAAATAATACAGGTTTTATGATCATTACGTTTTTCTAAATAATTTTGTTATATATTTATTATTAAACAGTGTTCCATGCACTAAATTTAGCTGAATTATCATTAACCGACGTGCGTCACGATCGACGTTCAATGATACCGCGGATGATACACGAATATCGAGTCATTTCTAAATGTAAGGTACGAAGTAAATTAAATGGCTTCAGCATTTGTTTAGTTTTTTGAATTGTTTTCGTGTAAGTTGAACTTGTTCTTCAATCTTCTTTTGTGTCAATGCTTATTCATCAACGAGTTCTGCACATTTTTTCATATATAGACTTCGTAGGTCAACATTTTTCATATGTATTTGATTCATTTTTCCTATATAACGCTGTTCGATTTCCAGTGGTGTCAATTCAATAACAAAAGTAAAGAATATTGATTTGATACACTTAGGAAGATACTTTATCAATCCATGGTACTTTTCACCTTATCCTGAAGTGAGTGTTCAGCAAATGAATATTCACGAATGAAATATTCTTCGCTTTAGGAATTGATATCGTGTTCAGTTCTTTATATTTGCGAATTTTGTTTGAAATATTGTAAAGATACTGATGCATTGAAGCGACATCGAGTAAGAAATTACTTCTTGAAAAATATACCTGATTAAATTTCTTTCGATAGACAAAATGCACATTGACTCATCCACCTGGTAATGAAATTTATCGTAATGGAACTATTTCATTCTTCGAAGTTGATGGACGAAAGAACAAAACCTATTCTCATCATCTTTGTCTCTTGGCGAAATTATTTCCTGATCATAAAACTTTGTATTATGATACAGATCCATTTATGTTTTATATTTTAACCGAATTTGATGCACAAGGTTTTCATATTGTTGGTTATTTCTCTAAAGTGAGATTCAGCAAACTGCAGCGAGAGAGGCGAACTTTGAATTTGATCTTGTAGGATAAAGAAACCAATGAAGATTACAATTTGTCATGCATTTTAACACTGCCACCTTATCAAAAGAAGGGCTATGGACATTTTATGATTGACTTTAGTAAGTTCAGATGAATTTTGATGGTCAGAAAAATCGATTTCCCGTTCTCTAGGTTACACGCTATCAAAACTCGAAAATAAAATTGGTACACCAGAACGGCCACTGTCTGATTTGGGTTTACTCTCTTATCGCCGGTACTGGTCGGAAACGATCATTGAGGCTTTGTTAAAGCATCGATCAAAAGATGGTGAAAGCGAATCACCTTCACTTTCAATCAAGTAAGATCGAATGAAACACTTTTCAAAGAAATTTGTCTTTGTTCTTTCTAGTGATTTAAGCGAAATATCTGCGATTATGAAAGAAGATGTTCTTGCTGCACTTCAAAATTTGAATATCATCCGTTATCAACAAGGTTCATATGTTCTGTCAATAACAAAAGATCTGTTCGATAGTTATCAAGATAAACGTCGTTTACGCGTCGATTCGAAATGTCTGTTTTGGACACCGAAACTGTCAACTAGACAAATTAATCAACTTCAAAACAAATAAATATCGAGATTTTATTGTTTATTTTACATATTGTACAGAATATTGTTCTTCTGTTAGATTGAATTCTTCTTTTCTTTTGTTCCTCTACATAGTTCAATATTGTCGAAGTATGAATGAAATAAATGATCGTTCAAATTCTAACGTTAGTGTTAGGTTGAAGTCCAAGTTGGACATTAGAGTTGGAACTGGCCCAGCGATCCGGCTCCGGACCGAACGAAACCGGATGAAAAAAATTCGTCCGGTTCTAACTCTGTTGGACAGACTTCTTGATGATATGTCGTTTGTTGGGGAAACGGACAGTTGCTCGTATGGACAGTTAGGCGCGGACACTTGCGCGCTAGGACAGTTGCTCGCAGAATAAACTATTATTAGAATTATGAATAAAATAATGGAATCAAGATTAGTTAAATAAATCAGGAAGATTTCGACTAGATTCAGTGAAAATAGGGCTTTTAAAAGTCTCATATCTCGGTCATAATGATTTGGTAACAAGAATGTTTTGAAAGTTGTACTACTCGAGTAAGGCTGTAAACTCAGAGTGATCCATTGATAAACATGTTCTTCCACAGTTCCATGCACAACTGAGTACGCTAAAATAGTGACTACGACCAAGCTACATATACCTGTAATCTGAGTAAAACTCAATCGACCAGTATAGCTTCAGTGAGCTTGATGCCATTAGAATTACTGGTGTCACAGGCTTAGTGAGACCGTATCAGCTCCGTCCTCTATCCACGCTACGCATAGCCAGTATTAAAATTTCGTAAAAAATTTCGCTCAGAAGTCGGTCAAAATCTTCCTGATTTACTTAACTAATCTTGATTCCATTATTTTATTCATAATTCTAATAATAGTTTATTCTGTGAGCAACTGTCCTAGACTCTTCATTGGGAACGGACGTATCGGACGTGTAAATTGTACATGTGTGTGAATGAGAAAGAGAAGAAGCAGAATAAATATGGGTGAAAACAATTGTTTTCCATTTCATTGTCCTCCATTCACTTAGTCTAACCAAATAGATCAATGTCACGAAGCGATTTGGCAGATTTAGCACGGTTGACTGTCGAAGTATGCGGTATTTTGAACTATGAATTGATAGATATTTGTAATTGTAGATCAGCCAACACACGGAGAGAAAGGCGACGATTTGTGCGGCTATTGCTAGTCGCACATAACTCGGTCTCACGCATTGGGATTTATCGGTACAGTTACATTTCTGCGAGAGATCACTGCAACATGCGATCGACTAGAAAAGTAAGGAATAGATGAATATTCGCTTTAAGCCATTTTGAAAATCCTTTCAGATTTAATCCTAATGTACATGCGTGAGGCTCGAGCGGAAAACTAAATCAATATTGTAAAATAAAATTAATTTCTTTGTAAATAAATTGAATTAATCAGTAGAGAATTCGGTTCTGGTGAAGGTGGTGATCAGTGTTCGCTGAATACTGTTTCGATATTCTTTTACCTTAACAGACAAGCGCATTTCACATGTCGTCTTGTGAATCACATAGAGAACGCAAAAGATGTTTCATTCATTCATTCTGTCGTTCTATGATATTCGATCGATCAAGTTATAACACGTCTTTCGTCTTTTACTTCTCCTTGCGCATTCTTATTGGTGTCAAGAGATTCCAATACTGCACATTGAATACGAAAAGAGAAATGTTCTCTATTTTTCATGCCTCTTCTGAAAGGCNTGCTGCACTTCAAAATTTGAATATCATCCGTTATCAACAAGGTTCATATGTTCTGTCAATAACAAAAGATCTGTTCGATAGTTATCAAGATAAACGTCGTTTACGCGTCGATTCGAAATGTTTGTTTTGGACACCGAAACTGTCAACTAGACAAATTAATCAACTTCAAAACAAATAAATATCGAGATTTTATTGTTTATTTTACATATTGTACAGAATATTGTTCTTCTGTTAGATGAATTTCTTTTTCTTTTGTCTCTTTACGTGGTTCAATACTGTCAAAGTTTGAATAAAATAAATGATCGTTCGAATTCTAGCGTTGATGTTATCGTGGACGCTTTTTATTACAATTCATTGGAAACGGACATATCGAACGTGTAAACGGTACGTCTGTGTACGTATGTATGTGTGTGAATGAAAGACAGAGAGGCAGACTGAGAAAGAAAAAGAATGAAAACAATCGGTTTTCATTTCACTGCCCTGCATTCACTTAGTTAACCTCAAACATCAATGTCACAAAGCGATCTCGCCGATTTGGAACGGTTGACTACTGAAGTATGCAGTATTTTGAACTATGAATTGATAGATATTTGTAATTGTAGATCAGCCAACACATGGAGAAAAAAGTGGCCATTTGTGCGGCTATTGCTAGCCGCATATCAGTTGGTCCTAGCTATTCTGATCTATCGTGGTGTTTAACTAAGTGTGAGGAATCACTTCAAGATGCCATCGATCAGAAAAGTAGAGAATAGATGAAAACTCGATGTAAACTATATTGCAAGTTCTTTTAGACTTGGTATTAATGTACATACAACAGGCACAATAGGGAAATCAATGAATATTTAAGAAAAATAATCTAATTTTTTGTTTTGTGAATAAATTTGATCAAATAGTAGAAAATTCATTTTCGATGACGATGGTGAACAGTGTTCGCCGAATACTGTTTCGATATTCTTTTACCTTAACAGATAAGCGCATTTCACATGTCGTCTTGTGAATCACATAGAGAACGCAAAAGATGTTTCATTCATTCATTCTGTCGTTCTATGATATTCGATCGATCAAGTTATAACACGTCTTTCGTCTTTTACTTCTCCTTGCGCATTCTTATTGGTGTCAAGAGATTCCAATACTGCACATTGAATATGAAAAGAGAAATGTTCTCTATTTTTNAAATAAATATCGAGATTTTATTGTTTATTTTACATATTGTACAGAATATTGTTCTTCTGTTAGATTGAATTTCTTTTTCTTTTGTCTCTTCACGTGATTCAATATTGTCAAAGTCTGAATAAAATTAATGATCGTTCGAAATCTAACGTTGATGCTATCTTGGACGTTTTTTATTACAATTCTCATTGGAAACGGACATATCGGACGTGTAAACGGTACGTATGCATGTGTGTGAATGAAAGACAGAGAGGCAGACTGAGAAAGAAAAAGGATGAAAACAATCATTTTTCATTTCACTGCCCTGCATTCACTTAGTTCACCTCAAACATCAATGTCACGAAGCGATCTGGCGGATTTAGTACGATTGGCTACTGAAGTATGCGATATTTTGAACTATGAATTGATAGACATTTGTAATTGTAGATCAGCCAACACACGGAGAGAAAGGCGGCGCTTTGTGCGGCTATTGCTAGCCGCATATCCGCCGGTCTTAGCTATTCAGATTTATCGTGGTATTTAACTCAGTGTGAGGAATCACTTAAATGTGCCATCGACCAGAAAAGTAGAGAACAGATGAAAACTCGATGTAAACTATATTGCAAGTTCTTTTAGAGTTGGTATTGAAGTACATGCGTGAGGCACGAAAGGAAAATCAATGAATGTTTAAGAAAAATAATCTAATTTTTTTTTGTGAATAAATTTTATCAAATAGTAGGAAATTCATTTTCGATGACGATGGTGAACAGTGTTCGCCGAATACTGTTTCGATATTCTTTTACCTTAACAGATAAGCGCATTTCACACGTCGTCTTGTGAATCACATAGAGAACGCAAAAGATGTTTCATTCATTCATTCTGTCGTTCTATGATATTCGATCAAGTTATAACACGTCTTTCGTCTTTTACTTCTCCTTGCGCATTCTTATTGGTGTCAATCGATTCCAATACTGCACGTTGAATACGAAAAGAGAAATGTTCTCTATTTTTCATGCCTCTTCTGAAAGGCAAATTCTCGAGGTCGAGAAATAAAGTTCAATTCGAGAAAACAGATTAGTCAAAATGAAAATGTTTACTTTGACAATAATTACCGTTGATATGACTTGTTGATAATGATTTAGACTTTTCTTCTAACGAATCTTTTCATGAAACGGCATTGTTTTGTTCCACTTCCGTGAAATATTCTCAGCGAATATTTCATTTTTATCCGATGAAGTTACAAACTAGAAGAACAGTCAAAAGTCGTGGATGGATGAATGTGAAAATGAAAGAAAATGAGTTTTTCAACTCGATATCGTTCAATCATCTATCTAAAAAAAGTTTTGCTCGTCGACGAGTTTTCCAACAGATTGAATATGAAACAATAATCATAAGAAAACAGTTCCATTTGAATATGTTCAGAACTTTTCTACTGACAACTATTTCACATCATGACATTAGAAAATTGAGCAGGTCGAGGAAAAAACGTTTAAATGGTTCTTGATCGACTGAATTTAATTAATTCAAATCTAGCTATTACAATTACACCTTCCTCTGAAACGAGCACAATCTTGCACATTTTCTCTTGTTTCGATGAATCTAACAGATTGATATGTTTGACGAACTTCCACAATCCTGATATTATTACGAAAGAGAAACGTGGGACGAGAACAGATGACCATTTTGACTTTGATTAGTCCCGACACGACGATGAGATAAGGGTGTTTGTATGGTGCGACATTGGCTTACAAAAGATTCTATGCGACGACTTTTGAATGACAAACTTTGTCGATCATATTTTACTTCTATGGTTAACGATTGAGTTTGAAGTCACCATGCGAGAGATTGTTTCCATTGTAGTGCTCAAATCTTTTCTAACGACANTTTTCTTCTAACGAATCTTTTCATGAACGGCATTGTTTTGTTCCATTTCCGTGAAATATTCTCAGTGAAGATTTCATTTTTGTCCGATGAAGTTACAAACTAGAAGAATAGTCAAAAGTCGCGGATGGATGAATGTGAAAATGAAAGAAAAAGAGATTTTCAACTCGATATCGTCCAGTCATCTATCTAACAAAAGTTTTGTTAATCGATGACGTTTCCAACAGATTGAATATGAAACAATAATCATAAAAAAACAGTTCCACTCAGATATTTTCAGAACTTTTCTACTGACAACTATTTCACATCATGACTTTAGAAAATTGAGCAGGCTGAGGAAAAAACGTTTAAATGGTTCTTGACCGACTGAATTTAATCAATTAAAATCTAGCTATTACAATTACCCCTTCCTCAGAAACGAGCACAATCTTGCATATTTTCTCTTGTTTCGATGAATCTAACCGATTGATATGTTTGACGAACTTCCACAATCCTGATGTTATTACGAAAGAGAAACGTAGGACGAGAACAGATGACCATTTTGATTTTGATTATTCCCGACACGACGATGAGATAAGGGTGTTTGTATGATGCGACATTGGAGAACGTCAGCTTACAAAAAAGATTCTATACGACTGTTTTGCAATGACAAACTTTGTCGATCATATTTTACTTCTACGGTTAAAGATTGAGGTTGAAGTCACCATGTGAGAGATTGTTTCCATTGTAATGCTCAAATCTTTTCTAACAATAGGAAGAATCACATGTGAAAATGAGTCAGAAAACATATAATTTTTGATAATAATCGACTCCTTCGACAGTTCATGAGCTGATTTATTGTTTGTTTTTCCTAGTTTTATTGAAACAAAAAGAAGATTACAAAAGAGGGAAATAAACATAGAAATTGGCAGAATGTACAAGTGACTTTTCAGTAATTAGTTCTTTTACTTTAGCACAATTGAGTCGTGTTGCATCTCTTGTGAAATTATTTGTTACACTGGTTAAATAATCATAATTGACTTCTAATTTTGTTAGACAAGGGAGAACTATTTTCTCTTGATTCAGAAGCTGATCGACATAGTCAATATTTGCATATACCAAGGAAAGAGAAGTAAGGTAAGGATATTCAATGGGGGGAAAGGATTGAGTTTCTTGAGAGTTCAATTGATCTGACACATTTGATTGTGACTCACGGTTTATTACGCTCAATTCTTTAAGTGAAGGAAAATGGCGAGCGAGTCGGACGAAAAATTCGTGTTCGAATGGAACTTCATCAGATACCGATAAAGAAGTAACACGATCGAAGACAATAGATGGAAATGAATTGCCAAGAAATTCGAAATTTTCGAACATAAATGGTAGCGAAAAAACATGACATACAGCCATGTACGGAAAGTCGTACCGAATACAATCCATATGTGGATATCCAATATTAGCAAAAGTTCGTCGAATTTCATCACTAGATAAACGAATTGAATCGTTGCGATAACTTCCAGTATGAATGTAGAAATTAAACTTTTGAAGTAACGGCATATGAATAAAGATTTCATTATTAATTTGGGTACCGTCGACAAGTTTGAATCGATTTTGAATAAAAATATTCAAAGTTAATTCTTGAAGATTTAGCATACGACGAAGAAGTGGTACAATTTGAGTATCATACTCATCAGACATACAAAGGCATTTTAGTGAGAAACACTTCAAATTAGGTAAATTATCCTAAAAGAACAAACTAGTATTTTCAAATATAGAATTATCATGCATCGAACTCGAACATTTGGGTGCAGCATATAGCATAACTTATTTGCAATTGTTAAATAAGAACAACTCAAAACTCAAACCTTATAATTGTGAGTTTCTTTACATCTTCTAATACTCAGAAAATACTTTGAAAACCTTCTGAATACTCAGTTGCAACTTAACTTGAGGAATAAGACTGAACTCGAACCCGAGCTTGAACTATAGTTCGGCTTGGATGCATGTCTAGGCGGCACAATTGCAATGAAAAAAAAGTGAAAGAAAAGCTGACCTTCTCGTTCCTACGCTTTACGCTGATAACTGAAAGAAGTGCTACTGTAAAATGATGTTGGTGAAGAAAGCGCAAACATTTCAAATCACGTTCATAACTATCGGAAAACAATGAAGATGGTTGGAAAGACATGAGTGAGAAAGTGTTTCTAATTATAATGTTACAAGCTTAGTTTGTCGTTCAGTATTCAGATAAGAAACTATCTGATCAAAAACACCTCATAAATTACAAATTCTACATGTCATAAAATCGTATTCGACTAAAGACAGATAATCTCGAGTGGATAAATACATTCAATACGCATTAGAACTTCATAATTTGTTTATTTTGAATGAAACACATTCATTCATTTCAGTCGCTCAAAACAACTTATCCGAAGTACAAACTAAGAGATACTCATCAATCGTCTTCGCTTCATTTTCTCATGTAATATTATTTACCGTGTTATACTTTGACAGTCAATTAAAAGCATAGATATTCTTACCATATTATAAGTTGATGAATGTAAACGTGTACTATCAAGAATAACAATCAATGTGGTTAACCCTGCGAGACGGCCATCAAGTAAAGCGAGACATTCTCCGAAACCATTCAAAAACACACATAATTTTGAAAGAGTTGATGAAGAGCAAGTGGTTAAAGGTGAATCAAAAAGTGTTAAAAGTGAAGGTAAGCCAGTAATAGATAAATCTTGCAGACTTTTAAAGAATGTCAAAACATGTCCGTGGACACCATTTCGATACAATCGTTCTGCAAGAATATCAATGCCATGCTTGTATACAAGACTAAGATCAATAATCTGTTCTTGAAAAATTCGTCGAAAAGGAGATGTATCTATATAGTTATCTTGTGAATTATATACGTTTAATTTACGTTTAGCCTTTTTACCTGTAAAATAAGACGCAGCAATTTTATCAAGGAAATTGTAGATTTTCAACTTAGTTAAATTCGGATAATACGCAGCACGAAGAATACGTTCCATGGACTGTGATTCAATGATAAGTGATGTGATGTTATGGTCAATTTTAGGCAAAATACTCATGCAGAATCGGTCAAGTATCAGATCAGTAACCGGCAAAATATCATCAGTCGATGTTAGTAATACGAAGTTGAGAGCAGCAGTGAAGACTTTATGTTGTACTACTGTATTCAGTCGATGAGTATCAACATCGAATAAGGAATAGAGAGCATCCATATTATCAAGTCTTTTCAGAATAATAAATAATATTTCAGTAGGTAAATCAAGAAGTTTAACATTTGACCGATTCATGTTAATGATGATTGAACGTTAACTAAATGATGTGCAGAGTTTCAAAAATAAATACGAAAGAAATTATCCGTTGACACTCTCATCTAACTGGTTGAGCATTAAAAGCTTAGAATACACAAGTCTTTCGTAAAAGATCTTAGAAATTGTTTAGTTAAGGTCGTTTTTCTCCATACGGCGCTTCCGCATGGGCTAATTTGCAAGTATTGACTTTGTCACTTACTTTCGTTTTGCTTTGATGCTCAAACTGCTGGAAACGTGTATCATATATTTCTACAGTTTGTTTGGATCTATTGTTCTCGTGAACAAAGAAAATGGCATCTCTGTTGAAGAAAGAATAACCAATCGATATATGGGTAGATATGTATTGTTTTTATTTTTCGTCAATCTTTGATTGACTTTATTTCTTTTAGAAAACTATTATGTTGTGTAATTAAAGTCTGTGAGAAGTGAACTAGTACCCTATCCGACAAAAATGTAACTAGGAATGCCGGTCACTAAGGAGTGGACTACACGTGGGGACACCTATTTTATCACACAAGGACTAAGAAATATAAGATATTAACTAAAGGGACTACCCACTGCGAGTAAGAAATGTCTATGTCGAACATCTCACGTGTTGAAAAGCTATAACAGGTAGAGAATCAGTATAATTCAAATTTCTAAGCTTCCAGTCCTTATTTTCCGCGCCGTGCATCGCATAAAATGGCAGTTTCGGCTATATTTTTTTATGCAAAAGAGTTACCGAAGCTAATTTCTGCCTCAGAAATTATGAAAAGTTCCTCTTTCTCTGATATCCATTTTCTACTGCAGCTATTTATTCATCAAACTCTTTCTCACTCTCACGTCATTTCATACCTTATATCCTTCGAATTCACCCACCCTCAACATTTAGATTAATCTTTTGAGATCCTGTAACGACATTAGTGAGTTTCGCAGATTATCTGTAGCATTCACCGAACTATCATAGGCGTAGAGAACTCGTGGATTGATGTCTTTGCGCGCTCAGACGGCCTTCTCTATTGATTTCGCCCACTTTTGAAATCTTGCAATCCTATTGGTCAGTTTCATAGATTGCCTGTAGCAAACGGCTGGTTCCTTTGTTCTCGGGGAAAAGTAGATGTCGACCTTCTTCTAGGTCTCAGGAAGCATTGTGGAAAGTTTCACGCCGATAACTAATACAGGGATTGAATGCATAGCGAACAAACAGACAAACTTTCTTCTTTATATATATAGAAGATGAGTGGATAATCTGTACTTCATTTATCACGATTGGTTCAACGATGAGACCTGCGAAGATAATTTACTAGGAAAGGGAACTGTATCAGAAACGCACTATGAACAGCTTATCAGTAAAAAAAACATAGAGCTTATTTGAATTGCTTTGTCTTTTATTTTCAAAATCATAGATTTCTTGCTGTCAATCTTATCTAGTAACGACTGGTTTAATTATTTTGAGAAAAGATTCACATTTATGCCTGAATGATTTTCTAAAAGTAACTTTCGACGTCAAACAAATATTTTTTCTCATTTATTGTCCTCTAACCATGCGAGCAAATATACTGATTCATTCACTCAAACAAAAGATCAAGAAACGCTATACAGATTGTTTGTTTGCTTTTTCTTATTTGCGTCACTCATCATTAACTTTTATACGTAAGAAGTGGAGTGTTACTCGGTACAGTTTATCGAATAATCAATATGGGACTGCGTAAACTCCTGCTAGTACATTTTCTCGTAATTCTTGTCTCTCGCAGCAATGCTGAATTATATTCCATAGAGATTCCGAAGAACATCACATTAACAATGAAAATTATCAAACTTGAACTTGAAAGTACGAAAAATGAACTTTTAACAACAATCGACGATCTTGAACAACGCAGCGGTATCAGCGATATTACCAATCATCTGATTGAATTCCAATCAAATGTCAAACAAATTTTGTCTGGTAATNGACAATAATTACCGTTGATATGAATTGTTGATAATGATTTAGACTTTTCTTCTAACGAATCTTTTCATGAACGGCATTGTTTTGTTCCATTTCCGTGAAATATTCTCAGTGAAGATTTCATTTTTGTCCGATGAAGTTACAAACTAGAAGAATAGTCAAAAGTCGTGGATGGCTGAATGTGAAAATGAAAGAAAAAGAGATTTTCAACTTGATATCGTCCAGTCAGCTATCTAACAAAAGTTTTGCTCATCGATGACGTTTCCAACAGATTGAATATGAAACAATAATCATAAAAAAAAACAGTTCCACTCAAATATTTTCAGAACTTTTCTACTGAAAACTATTTCACGTCATGACTTTAGAAAATTGAGCAGGCTGAGGAAAAAACGTTTAAATGGTTCTTCACCGATTGAATCTAATCAATTCAAATCTAGCTATTAAAATTACACCTTCCTCAGAAACGAGCACAATCTTGCATATTTTCTCTTGTTTCGATGAATCTAACCGATTGATATGTTTGACGAACTTCCACAATCCTGATGTTATTACGAAAGAGAAACATAGGACGAGAACAGATGACCATTTTGATTTTGATTATTCTCGACACGACGATGAGATAAGGATGTTTGTATGATGCGACATTGGAGAACGTCAGCTTACAAAAAAGATTCTATACGACTGTTTTGCAATGACAAACTTTGTCGATCATATTTTACTTCTACGGTTAAAGATTGAGTTTGAAGTCACCATGTGAGAGATTGTTTCCATTGTAATGTTCAAATCTTTTCTAACAATAGGAAGAATCACATGTGAAAATGAGTCAGAAAGCATATCATTTTTGATGATAATCGACTTCTTCGACAGTTCATGAGCTGATTTATTGTTTGTTTTTCCTAGTTTTATTGAAACAAAAAGAAGATTACAAAAGAGGGAAATAAACATAGAAATCGGCAGAATGTACAAGTGACTTTTCAGTAATTAGTTCTTTTACTTTAGCACAATTGAGTCGTGTTGCATCTCTTGTGAAATTATTTGTTACACTGGTTAAATAATCATAATCGACTTCTAATTTTGTTAGACAAGGGAGAACTATTTTCTCTTGATTCAGAAGCTGATCGACATAGTCAATATTTGCATATACTAAGGAAAGAGAAGTAAGGTAAGGATATTCAATGGGGGGAAAGGATTGAGTTTCTTGAGAATTCAATTGATCTGACATATTTGATTGTGACATACGGTTTATTACGCTCAATTCTTTAAGTGAAGGAAAATGGCGGGCGAGTCGGACGAAAAATTCGTGTTCGAATGGAACTTTATCGTATACCGATAAATGAGTAACACGACCAAAGACAATAGATGGAAATGAATTGCCAAGAAATTCGAAATTTTCGAACATAAATGGTAGCGAAAAAACATGACATCTAGCGATGTGCGGTAAGTCGTACCGAATACAATCCATATGTGGATATCCAATATTAGCAAAAGTTTGTCGAATTTCATCACTAGATAAACGAATTGAATCGTTGCGATAACTTCCAGTATGAATGTAGAAATTAAACTTTTGAAGTAACGGCATATGAATAAAGATTTCATTATTAATTTGGGTACCGTCGACAAGTTTGAATCGATTTTGAATAAAAATATTCAAAGTTAATTCTTGAAGATTTAGCATACGACGAAGAAGTGGTACAATTTGAGTATCATACTCATCAGACATACAAAGGCATTTTAGTGAGAAACACTTCAAATTAGGTAAATTATCCTAAAAGAACAAACTAGTATTTTCAAATATAGAATTATCATGCATCGAACTCGAACATTTGGGTGCAGCATATAGCATAACTTATTTGCAATTGTTAAATAAGAACAAATCAAAACTCAAACCTTATAATTGTGAGTTTCTTTACATCTTCTAATACTCAGAAAATACTTTGAAAACCTTCTGAATACTCAGTTGCAACTTAACTTGAGGAATAAGACTGAACTCGAATCCGAACTTGAACTATAGTTCGGCTTGGATGCATGTCTAGGCGGCACAATTGCAATGAAAAAAAAGTGAAAGAAAAGCTGACCTTCTCGTTTCTACGCTTTACGCTGATGATTGAAAGAAGTGCTACTGTAAAATGATGTTGGTGAAGAAAGCGCAAACATTTCAAATCACATTCATAACTATCGGAAAACAATGAAAATGGTTGGAAAGACATGAGTGAGAAAGTGTTTCTAATTATAATGTTACAAGCTTAGTTTGTCGTTCAGTATTCAGATAAGAAACTATCTGATCAAAAATATCTCATAAATTACAAATTCTACATTTCATAAAATCATACTCGACTAAAGACAGGCAATCTCAGGTGGATAAATACATTGAATACGCATTAGAACTTCATAATTTGTTTATTTTGAATGAAACACATTCATTCATTTCAGTTGCTGAAAACAACTTATCCGAAGTACAAACTAAGAGATACTCATCAATCGTCTTCGCTTCATTTTCTCATGTAATATTATTTACCGCATTATACTTTGACAGTCAATTAAAAGCATAGATATTCTTACCATATTATAAGTTGATGAATGTAAACGTGTACTATCAAGAATAACAATCAATGTGGTTAACCCTGCGAGACGGCCATCAAGTAAAGCGAGACATTCTCCGAAACCATTCAAAAACACACATAATTTTGAAAGAGTTGATGAAGAGCAAGTGGTTAAAGGTGAATCAAAAAGTGTTAAAAGTGAAGGTAAGCCAGTAATAGATAAATCTTGTAGACTTTTAAAGAATGTCAAAACATGTCCGTGGACACCATTTCGATACAATCGTTCTGCAAGAATATCAATACCATGCTTGTATACAAGACTAAGATCAATAATCTGTTCTTGAAAAATTCGTCGAAAAGGCGATGTATCTATATAGTTATCTTGTGAATTATATACGTTTAATTTACGTTTAGCTTTTTTACCTGTAAAATAAGACGAAGCAATTTTATCAAGGAAATTGTAGATTTTCAACTTAGTTAAATTCGGATAATCAGCAGCACGAAGAATACGTTCCATGGACTGTGATTCAAGAATAAGTGATGTGATGTTATGGTCAATTTTAGGCAAAATACTCATGTAGAATCGGTCAAGTATCAGATCAGTAACCGGTAAAATATCATCAGTCGATGTTAGTAATACGAAGTTGAGAGCAGTAGTGAAGGCTTTATGTTGTACTACTGTATTGAGTCGATGAGTATCAACATCGAATAAAGAATAGAGAGCATCCATATTATCAAGTCTTTGCAGAATAATAAATAATATTTCAGTAGGTAAATCAAGAAGTTTAATATTTGACCGATTCATGTTAATGATGGTGGAACGTTAACTAAATGATGTGCAGAGTTTCAAAAATAAATATGAAAAAAATTATCGGTTGACACTGTCATCTAATTGATTGAGCATTAAAAGCTTAGAATACACAAGTCTTTCGTAAAAGATCTTAGAAATTGTTTAGTTAAGGTCGTTTTTCTCCATACGGCGCTTCCGCATGGGCTAATTTGCGAGTATTGACTTTGTCACTTACTTTCGTCTTGTTTTGATGCTCAAACTGCTGGAAACGTGTATCATATATTTCTACAGTTTGTTTGGATCCATTGTTCTCGTGAACAAAGAAAATGGCATCTCTGTTGAAGAAAGAATAATCAATCGATATATGAGTAGATATGTATTGTTTTTATTTTTCGTCAATCTTTGATTGACTTTATTTCTTTTAGAAAACTATTATGTTGTGTAATTAAAGTCTGTGAGAAGTGAACTAGTACGCTATCCGACAAAAATTTAACTAGAAATGCCGGTCACTAATGAATGGACTACACGCGGGGACATCTATTTTATCACGCAAAGACTAAGAAATATAAGATAGATAATGGTATCTGTATTATGATGTGTACTCTGATCTACGATTGTTGTTTGAACTGAACTAATCTTATTTATCGCGAGTGTGAAAGTAAATGGAGATATTTTTCATCAATAAACATCTCGGCTAAGATTACTTGATGAAAAGTTTTTCTGCAACGATTCCGAACATTTCAACTGACTAGTTTTGATCACAGTTCACGTACACGTAAGGATAGAATCTATTTATTTATTTATCGTACGTATCTCTTATAGGTAGTATACCAAGAATCGATCAATAACTCTATTAGCAAGTAGAATTAATCTGACTAAATCTCGCTTTATAAATGCCAGTTTCAATCTTGACGTTGAAAGAGTATACTCAACGTGACTTTCGTATATGTAATTGTATAATTGACATTGACAAGTTTCCTTCCGTATGACATCGTGATTTAGAAATAATTAAACTCTCGAAAGACAAGAAATGTCTTAATATATGATCAAGCGGAACAGTGAATGAGTTGTAGATGTCGCTAAGCACCGATTTGCGGAACTCGTAAGTCAAACGATCATTGGTAAAAGAAGATTTTGCGTGAAGATATACTAATGCTGAATCATTCTACGCATAAGGCAAAGTTTTATTATTCTATCATATAGCCTAGTTCTGCAAGAGAACCGAAATTGCGTACTTTGTTAAGTTGACCGGAATGTCATTGTTCTTTTTTTTCACCCGTAACTATCGTGTTTATATATTCTACTTTCAGATTTCATAGATTGATACGTTTACACAGTGATGACTTCAGTGCTTGTAAGTAAACAAATCGAGGATTTCGATTTGTATTTTTGTTTATTTTGTAAATCGATATAGGATAAATACAAGCGTAAGAAGAAAGAAAATCAAGCGGCAAATAATTCAAATAATCCATCGACTGATGTTGGAGTTATTCGTATTGGACATTATATTTTGAATGAAACTTTAGGAACGGGAAGTTTTGGCAAAGTTAAAAGTAAATCACATTTTTTTCTGAATTCTCCTTTTGGTTTGTTACTATACAAATTATGTATATTTTATAGAGGCCTATCATCAATTAACAAGACATACTGTAGCAATCAAAATTGTCAATCGTACGAAGATAAAACAGTTAGATGTTGTTGGCAAAATTCGACGAGAGATTCAAAACTTACGACTTTTTCGACATCCACATATTATTAAACTGTAAGAGAAAAATAAAAAAGAAATTTGTAATCAGGAATATCATACTTTAATGTTGATTAGATATCAAGTGATTAGTACTCCAACGGATATATTCATGGTTATGGAATATGTTGCTGGTGGGGAATTATTTGATTATATTGTTAAAAAAGGAAAAGTAAAATGACTCGAATAGACAAGGAAACGAAATATATGATTGATTGATTTAGTTAACCGAAGCTGAAGCTCGACCATTTTTTCAACAGATCATTTCCGGTGTTGATTATTGTCATCGTCATATGGTGGTATGTGAGATAATTCATATATGTTTCTTTTTTTTTCATTTATTGGTTTAATTTAGGTACATCGTGACTTAAAGTAACATTTGCTTTTTTGAAAGGAAATGCGTGCCAAGTAATTACGAACTTTTAGACCGGAAAATCTTCTTCTTGATGATGCATCTCATGTTAAAATAGCCGATTTTGGTAATTAAATAGATTCTTCGTCGATAAAAAGAAAGTTTCTATGTCTTAGGTTTGTCAAATATGATGAAAGACGGTGAATTATTAAAAACATCCTGTGGTTCACCGAACTATGCCGCACCTGAAGTTGTTTCTGGAGAGTAAATAAAATCAATCGTATCATTCTCGTTTCTATTCTTTATGTCATAGACTCTATGCTGGACAAGAAGTAGACATTTGGAGTTGTGGAGTGATCCTTTATGCTTTACTAACAGGAACTGTATGTAATTCTGTCTCTTTCATATATTTTCATAAATTTGTATTTTATGAAACATTTTAGTTACCTTTCGATGATGATAATGTTCAGATATTATTCAAGAAAATTCGATGTAAGTAAAAGAATGTGTTTATATCTTGAAGAATCGGATGATGCGGACAAATATGCGAGAAATATTTCTTTGAATAACTGATAACGAAATTCTTGTCTTGAGTAGTTCACGAAAAATGATAAGAATTTGATTGATGTGTATTTTGGATGTTTTCCAGCTGGTATCTTTCCAATTCCGGATTATCTAAATCCATCGGTTGTGGATCTACTTCAAAAAATGCTCACAGTTGATCCAGTTCGTCGTGCAACAATTAAAGAAATTCGGTAAGAAGAGTTTCCTGTGAAATAGTTCTTCTTTTCAACCATATTGGTTTTTCTAGAGAACATGAATGGTTTAAAGTCAATCTACCTGATTATCTTTTTCCTAAAACATGTGAAGAAAGTACAAATATTATTGATCTCGATGCTATACAAGAAGTTTGCGAGGTAAACTTAGATTAACGATAACAAAAAAATCATTGTAAAACATTAAAATCGATAGAAATTCGGTGTAACAGAAGCGGAAGTTCAAGATGCTCTATTACTCAATGATCGACATGATCAGTTAGTAATTGCTTATCATTTGATCATTGATAACAAACGGATATGGAATGAAGGTTTGAAAGAATTGAAATGTTTTTCAAATGAAAAATTTTTTCATTTTACTTTCAGCACGGAAAGTTGAAATTGCGGACTTTTTTGTTGCATCAAGTCCACCTCATGCAGCATTTCTGTCTATGACTGTAAATATAAATTCTTCATCTTTTTCTTTAATCAAATCTGTTTGTTTTTTAGCCAAATTCGGCTTCTACTCGGTCACCATCACCATTTGTAAGTTTAAGTGTTGTATCTTCTCTAAATATTCAAACATTTTCTTCACTATAAAAAGTTTCAAAAGCCGGTTTATCTCACACAGGTTGTATATTTTTTCATTTCTTAATCTTGATTTTTCTCTACCGCTTTAATACGAAGCATACATTGACTTTTCTCTTTGAAATTCTCATATATATTTGTGCTGTTATTTAGAAATCAACACCAGTTCGTCCACATCCTGAAAAAATGCCAGGTACAAACATTCCGATTATTTTGGATATGAAAATCATCTTTCTTTCCTTTTCAGCATTGAAAGATCTCAGTGTTACATTGGATCCTCTTGATCTTAATAGTTCATCAACTACTGGCAACACTTCTGCACAGCATCGTAAATCATCCGGTCCATCGTCATCTGGATCTTCCGCAACAGCATTGAAAAAAGCCAAATGGCATTTAGGCATTCGATCTCAATCGAAACCTCAAGATATCATGAATGAAGTATTCAAAGCAATGAAAGATTTAGGAATGGTACGTTTGTCACTTTCTTGTCAAAATAACTTTTATTCCTCATTGAGTTTGTTTTTTTTTGTGTCAGGAATGGAAATATTGTAACAATAGCATGTATAGTGTTCGTGCACGTCGAAAAGTAGCAAATACAAATCGATATGTAAGTAGAGAAAAGAAGGAAAAAAAGTTCGAATGCACTGGCCGGGAATCGGACCCGGGTCGCCCGCGTGGCAAGCGAGCATTCTACCACTGAACCACCAGTGCTTGTTTAATATGTAATCTTTTTTCAAGGTTAAATTGGGTCTACAATTATACCAAGTTGATCATCGATCGTATCTTCTTGATTTTCGCAATTTGAATATGAATACAGATCAAAATGGTATGTTGACCTTTATTTAAAGTTTCTTTTTTTGTGATTCTCTTTTATTTTCTAGGTCTTTTAACGAGTGGTGATGAAGAGGAAATGGAAAATACCCAACCGCAACGTTCATTAAGCTGGGATTTTACTGATAATGATAGTTCAGTAAATACTTCTGAAGATTGTGCATCGGAAGTAATGGAATTCTTTGAAATGGCTGCCAATTTAATTCGTACATTAGCGCCTGATTCAACTTCAAAAGCTACACCAACAATTCCGGCAAATACTTGAAAGATGAATTCTTCTATCCCGTGTGTATATAAATATTTACTCATCCTCTTCTTCTTTCTAACCATCCCGTGTCTATTGGTCATTTTAATTCATTTATTTTCTTTACGTTCTTATCATTTTATTCATTTCTGTTCGAAATTCAATAACATATATCATCACATCTTGAAAAGAAAACAAGAAATTTGTAATTTCAAGAGAATGTTTTATGTTAATTGTATGATTAGTTGAGTTAAGAGTATCAAATGCCTTTTTCTAAAAATAAATATTTGAGTTGTAGTATTGACAGATACAATTTGTTTCACTATTAACTTGATTGGATACAAGATTATCATTAACTATACAAAACTGTACTGTTTTATTTCATTTATTCGATCCATTGACACACGTTAATAATTCAAACAATCAAATACACTTATAACATAGGATCTCATTACATAAACACATTCGAATATAATCTGATAAAAACGACTATTAAGTTGGAGAGGCAGGTTTCCACATTAAACTCGAAGTATTATGTGGAAAAACAAACCACGGAGGAAAATAATGTTCTCTAGGACAATTTTGAAAAGGAACTGGATAATTCAGATCATGAACAACATCTCCACCAGCTAAATATGCAGCCCACCAACCATATGTTCCTGCTGTCACAATTGTATGTTCACATAAAGCTAAGGCAGCCATATCTTCACCAGAGAAAAAACCGGACGGTGTTATAAAAACATCTGTGTATTGTCCCAGATGTGTCTGCACGTACTTCTTATCGTCACTAGCGATTAAAAACCGGCAATTAACATATTTTCGTCGATAATAATTCATTGACCAAACGAGATATTCCACACTTGTGTCAATTTTAAAAAATGTTAAGAAATCACCTCGACGAATATGAATTCCAATCCAAGTTACAGGCGTGAACGATGGTCCAGGATTCGCTAGTATGGATTTTAAATAGCGATGTGGTACCGTATCTTTCGTATAATTACGCAGATCCAATGAAATATTCCAAACAGCTAGAGATAGACAAAAAAGAAAGAAAAGAAAATGATTTCAAAGAACCAACAGCGTGACATTTACAAGTTTCAGTCTCATGAACAAGAAAAAACTAATTTAGTAAATTTTGAACGCTCGAAAAGATGAATTTTTTTACTATGACTCAATATACTTCAAATGGTATTTTTTTTCTCGAACCTTTCATCAATTGTTCCACCATTGGTACATTTCTAACGATTGCTCCTTGATTAAACTGAAATAAGAAATTGATTTCTTCACGATACTTATCAAAATATCCATATGCTTGATAAAATCCATTTAATTCATATCGTTGGAATGTTTTATTGAATGGTACACGGAGTAAATCAGGATAAAACACACATGAACTATATCGACTAAAGTAATCTGTTCGATTAACAACCAGTCTATCATCTTTTGTCAATTGCACCTTAGTTTTCTCGATCTCAATACGAAAGACTGATCGAAGATCGATTAAAATCCATGGTGCAACATAGAGTTGACATTGATGAAGACGAGCGAGACCATATGCACTTGCAAATAAAAACATTCGATTACCCAAAGCGCCATCCGCTGAACGAATAAACAGAAAACATGTTGGTGGTCCTTGAGCTTTGTCATGCATAGTCAAATTAGGATTCATATTTTCTAAAACCGATTGTCTTAATGAAGAAAAATAAATTTTCGTATCTAATACATTTGGAAATAATGACTTAGTAGGATAAAACCAGATCACATAGAGAATAACTAATACAATCAATGAGATAAGAAACACGGGAACTTTCTTATTCATTAATCGTGATTGAGACCATCTTGAATAATCAAGAAGAACGTACCGATAAGATTCAATGGAATTTATATTATCTGCCATAATAATAACTACAAGAGATTTCTTTCGTCATTCATTTGATCGGCTTGTTTTTTCATGTCTTATTTCAAAGTATTATACATACAGCGACTTTTTTGTTACAAGAATGCATATATTGTAACCTACAAATTTATTTACCTGAGAAGAAACAGAACACCATGATACGCAGAACAAATTTTACCTCCCTATGTGAAAACGACTTTAAAAAAAAGAGAAAAAGAAACATGGTGGCGCTATACAGCCAGCAGAATCAGAATAAAAACGGTTTTTTTTATTCTTTCATAACAGTCGTGCTCTCCAATTAAATAAATTCCAGTTCTGTCAACAAAGAAATCTCGTATAGATTCGTTGTGAATATTTTGTGCGAGAAATTCATCGAACAATGTCAATTGATTTTTCAATTGAGAGAACGTTATTTAAGTAAATTATAGATTTGAATATGAACAACAAACGTAATGTTTTTTTACTAAGAAATTCTTGATACATTGATTTCTCTAATGATGACCTTTTCTTCTTTTTTCAATATTGATCATTCATACGAAGAAAATATCGAAATGATGTTGATTATCGATCGGATAGAATATTCTTTGTCCCTCATCAGTCAAGCTTGACTACAGTGAAAAAAGCCACTACCATGAACGATTAATGAACAAGATACATATTATGAAGGCAAGAAGAAAATATATTTCAGTATCTTTTTTGATGATCTCCTTGAACATACATATATGAGTATATATCAAGGCTTTTTAGCCACATATATAGAGAATATTGAACTGAACCATAACCTTTCATTAATTTCATATACATATCTATTGAAATAATGTCCGACCGTAGTGAACCATCCTCATCGTCAGATTATGAAGAGGAACCATCATCATATACTGAAAATCTTCCACCACTACCAGCAGCAACAACCACGTCAACAACAACAACAACAACAACAACTACGACTACTACTAGTAGTACTGCTGCAGCGACTGGAACTGGAACAACAACCGTAACAGACAAGCAAGAATCACTTAAAAATTATGTAACTAATCTATTAGCTCGACATGTTCTACGTGATGATGAACAATCTGATCTAACTGAAACTGAAATAAGAATTAATCCACGAGACAGTCCATACCATGATTATCATAATGTCTCAGCTTTTCGCCAGTATCATTCGAATGCCGAAGGAACTGTAAGAACAGGTGCTCAACGACGACAAGATACAACAAGTGATGAAGAAGGAGGATTAAGAGATGGAACATCAACAGAACAAGTTAGATTTTCTTTCATTGTCTCTTTAGTCGAAAACAACATTTCTTTTTTTTCATTCTTATGTAGTCCGATGAAACCGGTACAGAACTAAATTTAGATCCCGATCCGATTATTGAAGAACGTGAAAGTGCTGAGCAACGATATAAACAAAAAGTTTATTTACGTCAATTACAACCACCGACTCCCCAACCAATTGAAATTCAAGTTCAAGAAGTTTTACTTCAAGGACAAACACCAAAACCACCAATACATGTTCGAGTTGCCAAACCTCAACCAAGAACTCCATCACCAATTGTGATTAAAAGTGCACCACCACCACCTCCTCTAGTAGAATCTGATCAACCAATTGTCTATAATAAATATGTACCTCCTCCTAAACAGCCACCACAGCAGGTAGTAATCTTGTATCAGTTAGACAATATTTCGAATAAAAATTTCTAGATTATCATTCATCGACATCCAGATTTGCCGCCTAAACCACGTAAAATTTTCTCGTTTCAAATGATGAAATTTTCATTTAGTCGTTTTCACTTAAGGTCCGATCGTTGTTGAACAATGGTTGCCATATAAACCAGCTCCTAAACGTATCATAAAACACTCATTACCACCGGAAGCTCGTCAAACTCCACCTGCTCCACACAATATAGTTGTCTCCTATGCTAAACCACGTGCTCTAATTGAAGTCGAATTAGTTCGTTTGCCCATCGTTAAAATTGACCCTTATACATATCAACAAATGACAACGGCTGGTCATGAACAATTAACACAACATCCATCATTTCAACATGAACAACATCTATTCTTTGGCAATCGAGACAGAAGCCGAATAGCACAAGGATCAGAATCATCTACTGATATTAATTGGCGAATTTAAATCAAATTCATATTTGTTTTACTGTTAATAATTTGTATTGAATTTAACCATGTTTGAATTGATTAAAATTATCTTTATTGAACATGTAGATAATCCAATCATCACGAAGGAGAACGTGCTATAAATATCTCGATGTAATAATTATTAAATACTATTTTTTATATGCAAGATAAGTCAATATATCTCTTGTCAAATAAACGATAGATAATTTCAGTACAGAGAAAAAAAGAAAGAAACATTTTATTTTGCGTTCTCTTCTTTTCTCATCTAATCAAAATGCTTACAAAAAAATATTTTGGCGCTTTCAACCATTGACTTTCTCGTATTTATCATCACATCAAATATTCGCTTTCGTCTATGTGTTAATCGTTAACCACAATCCTCTTGTTTTAATACATTGGAAAAGTACAAAGGTAAAATAACTTTTGTTTAATTTGATTTGTTCACATGAATGACAATGAGAAATTTAGACAAGACCTTGAAAATTCTACTTGTCAAGGTAATCTAAGAACGAAAAAGAAAAAGATGAGTAAATAAGCAACAAAAAATACAAAGATTCATAAACCTTGTTGGATTCAAATCGTTTCGATTTGTATCTAAAAGTGATTATTTGATAGGTTTTGTTAATGAGATCTGTAGAAATGGATTCTGAATCATTAAAATTGGATATTTGTGAAGATAAATTATCATGACTGAGATTAAAAATCATTTGCCTTGTTAAAATCTGTTCTGTATTGAATTCATTATCAATCAGAAATATGAACATTCACTACAAACAAAAGTAATAATGAATAGTATAGTTAATTCTGTTATTTTGTTGATTTGCACAAAGGACAACAAAGATCATAACATAAAAACAAGTTGTTTGACAAGAACGAAAATATAAGATTTAGATATATGAATTTGAAAATTGAATTTCAATGTTATTTAAAACAATGTACTTCGTATTATCTTTCGTAAATTCATATTAGACAAAAGCTAAATAAATTGTCCATGATACTACGTTTTATACTTTATAGTCGTAATAGTACGCTTATCATAACAGTAACAGGACTGTTTTATCACATCGGTTACTTTCTCCTTGACAAAACCGCAGATGATTATCTTTGACTTATTTTTACTTTCTCAAACATATTTTACAAAATATTTCCACGTATCTAACATTAACTAGCTTTCATTAATAATCATCATAATACATTCTTTTCTTTTCGATATCATTCGTACATTTCATATAATATACAAAGCGCTATATGTAAGTTTGCCTTCTGTTCATTTTATGTCTCTTAAGAGAAGAACAGATAAGGATATATATATATAATCCAATAGTATGATGTAACATACTGTTCATTCACCGTTCTTTTTCTTCCAATGAGTACACGACAGAGAAGGTCAATGTATATAATATGTAGAAAATATTCTTCTATTGATGTATACGTAAAGGATTTTATGTTCGTTTCGATCGATGAAGAAAATGTCTAGTTTTTTGACTATGATGTATTTGATTTAGTTTGTAATAATGTCATCGCATCGAGATCGGGATTATCCGGATGGTATGATGAGAAATTCGGTATTTTTCTCTCTTGAAATGATGTATCCTTTTTTTTTGTTCTACACAGATGATGATCGTCGGTCATCAAAACGCCGTATGTAATTTTTCTTTTCGTTTACTTTGAAAATCTCTTGTAATATTAATTGTTTACAATTTACATTAGATCGATCAGGTCGTAGTCATGAAAGATTATCATCTCATCCTCAACGTCGATCGTATTCATCAGCAGATGTAGAAGAAAAGCCATCGAGTAGTCAGTTAAGTCGAACTGTTGAATCTGGTTCTACTTCCACCGTTCCGAAGACGACAACGGAAACAGAAAGTGGTTCAAAAGCACGTTCACGATCATTTGTTCGTCCGATAATTCGTTCTGCTGTTCCAGAATCACAATTGATTTCACTTGCACGACGACCCGCTCAATCTGGACGAGGTAAATTCATTGTTTTCAAAATTTTCTTTCATTTTGCATTGATAATCACACTTACAGTTGGTCAACGAGTTGAACTTTATACCAATCATTTTAAAATCGAATTTGAGAACAACTCTCAATCATCAAATATTTATCAATTCGATGTCGATGTCGAAATTCTTATGCGTGATGGTTCATGGCGTTCATGTAAGCGAGACGAACGTTTTCAAGTTATAAAAACAATTATTGAACGGGAAAAATTTCCATTGGTATGGTATGATCAAGGAAGAAGTTTATATGCCAAAGAAAATTTAACTGTGAACTTTAATAAAGAATACGAATGCGAGATAAAACATAAGAAAACTGATCGAACGAATCGCTTTCGATTTCTATTGATTAATTTAGTGAAGACATATGATTTAAAGATAATTTTTGATTTTATTCAACGAAAAATTCCACTAAGACCACATGATCCGGTGAGAATCTTAGAAATTTTATTAAAACAAACACAACGCCTTGATATGGTGAATATTAAAAATCGATCATATCCAAAACATCAAAAATTAGATGATCTTGGTATAGGATTTGTTCGAGAAGATCAAACTTCATATCTCTTGAATTGTTGTTTAGGTGATGGACGTGGTTTAGCATCGGGATTTTATCAAGCAATTGTGTTAGGTGAACGTGGTCCAACATTAAATGTTAATAATACATTCTGTTGTTTTTATCAAAATTATAATTTAGTAGAATTTATTACATGTTATCTTGGTAGCGATATTCGCCGGTCGGGTGCGGTTTTTCAACGATGAGTTATTTGTAGGAAAACAGTTTGTTTTTTGTTCTTTCAGGTATATCATCAAAAGATCAACCATTGTTAGTACGGAAAATTCTTAAATCGATATGGTTTGTCACAACTCATACTAATCAAATTCGTAAATATCGTTTAAAATCATTTGGTTCTCCAGCAAATCAACATACATTTATAAAGGATCAAGGTTCAAAGATAAGTGTTGCTGATTATTTTTATGAGAAATGGAAAATTCGTTTGCGACATCCACATTTACCTGTTGTGGAACTGTTTAATCCAGTTGATAAGAATAAATCACATTTTTTACCGATGGAATTGGTTATTGTTGATGACTGGCAGAGAAGTTTAAAACCTCTTACAATAGAACAACGTGCAACGGTAACGAGGAAAACTGTTGTCAAGCCAGGCGAACGATATGGATTGATTCGACGTATTGTAGACGAACGTCAATATGATAAAGATTCATATTTACAGAGTTTTGGTATGAAGATTCAAACGAATGATATGTTAGCAATTACCGGTCGACTTTTAACTCCACCTGAAATCAAATATAAATCACCACATGATGAAAGTCGAGATGTAATCGAAAGAGTCAGTATTGGTAAATGGTATTTAAATAATTATTTCAATAAAACGCGTGAAATACGTTCGTGGGCATTGGTTCTTGTCAGTCAAAGAGCACCCGACGAACGGCAAGTGGGTTTAGCAAAAGATTTTGCAAATAAACTTCCACAGGTTTTGATGAAACTTTTTCAAATGAAAATTATTCGAAATACTACTCTTCTTTCTGTTATTAAGGCTATGTCAAAGTATGGAATTCGACTCAATTCATCAGCTATTGAAAAATCTGATGCAGCAAGTCCAGATATTATCCTGGCACGAATGAATGAATTGAAAACACTTGGATGTGAAGTGATCATTTATATTCTGAATCAAGTTGGTGATGATATTTATCATGCAATTAAATTCTTTGGAAATGTTAAACTTGGTAAGATAAAAGTCTGTTAATCATTTTAAAGAATTGTTTTATTTTCGTAGGAATGGTAACACAATGTACACGATTTGATAAACTACAAGCAAATAGTGAACCACGCAAGATGGATATGTACATTCAGGTATAGAAATTGACTTTAGTAGAATAATACTTTAGATTTTGACTTTCCATTCTGATATTTTCAATAGAATTTATCTCAAAAATTCAATGCAAAATTAGGTGGCATTAACCAATTTGTTTCACTTATGCGAGCATTGACATCTCCATCAACTCGTTCAGATGTTTTCATGTTTTTTGGTATTGATTGTACTCATGTAATGTGCTCACGTGAACGACCATCAATTGCAGCAATCATTGGTTCCAAAGATTCAACAAGTTGACTATTGTGATAATGTATTCTCTCTTTGGAAACGAAATTCTATTATTGTAGGTACACAATATAGTGGCCGTGTTGTTCAACAATATTCACCAAAAGGAAAAATATCAGTTGAAATTATCAAAGATCTTCATATTTACGTTGGAGATTTAATACGAAAATTCTCGGAACATAATTCACGTTTACCAAATAAACTCGTCTTTTATCGAGCTGGAGTAGATGATGGAGCATTCCAGAAAGTCTTGGACAATGAAGTACAAGCTATTAAACAAGCATGTCAAGGTAATTCTTTCGTATCTTATTTAATAGGAAAACTTCATTTTATTGTCTTACATAGAATTCTACGGTCATAATCAATTGCCAAAAATTTGCTTTACTGTGGTCAAGAAAAATCACAATACTCGTTTCTTTATCTATGACAAACAATCAAATCAAACGAATAATGTTCAACCTGGTATAACAATCCCTTCTTCTTTTTCTTAAATCGACACCTTTTTAAACATCTTATATTATATTTATTTCTAGGTACAGTTATTGATACAGATATTGTATCACCCAATGGATTTGATTTTTATCTCAATTCTCATGCAGCCATTCAGGGTACATCAAAACCAGCACTCTATCATGTCTTATATGATGATATCGGTTTTACATCGGACGAAATTCAACAATTAACGTAAGCTGGATATTTCAATTGAAAGATTTTTCCTATAGATATACATTCAGATATTATCTTTGTCATACTGATGTTCGATGCACGAAAGCTATATCGATTCCATCACCTGTGCATTATGCATCAATCTGTGTGTCTCGTGGACTTAATCTTGACTATGAAGGACAAATGGCAAATGAACAACGAAGTATAGCAACGTAAGTCGTAGAATGATTTATATAAAAGAAAAAAGGAATGAAAGAATTCGAATTTTAGTTCTGATATGGAAGAAGGACTTGTTGATGAAAATATTGTCGTTACATTGGATGATGTTCAAACATTAAAAATTGATTTCAATTCAATGATTGAAAATACAATGTGGTTCGCATGAATATTTTTCTTGTTAAAATTTTTTGTACAGAATCCGATTATATTTGATCAAATTGATCAAGCATCTTGATTATATTTTCGTGTGCCGTTTTTCTGTGGTTTTCAGATGTTTTATTTTATAGTCTATTATGAAACGAAACATGTTGAAGAATATATAAATTGCATATAATCAATGAGTTACAAAATCATTTGATCAAGGACAAAGAAAAAACAATAATGACTTGATTTCGTGTTCTTATGTAGTTTACCATACCAAAAGTGTAAAGGAAGAGAAAGGAAATATATTCCTTTTAGTTTAGTTGGACTTATATTCACATATATCATCAAAAGATCCAGATATATAACTGAAAGAATTTTTTAAATATCATTTATATTAGGGGAAATTCGGTAAGTTAATCAATGAATTGACGTCCTTGTAGAATCTTCTACGAAATTGAAATCAATATGAGAGATAGACCTATCCTTATACTGACTCATTGTTGATTTACTTGCTGGAGGAGAAAGTATTTCGTAGTAAAATATATTTATCGTCTCAGAGGAAGAAAGAGCATTGGTTGGATTTATGTATGAGAACGAACACAAATGTGTGTAGTGCAACGTGGTCGGACAAAACGGGGTCATTGAGAATACTTTTCATATTTGAGAGGAAAGTTATTATTTAAAGACAGATAATAACCACAAATTAAACTAAGAAAGAAACAACAACAACGCATCTACGAGGAAGGTTTTGTTTGTGTTATTATAAGTTCTAATAAATGTTGAACATCTTTAATGCAATATTTTGGTAATAGATCTCTGTCGTTCGCTGTTTTCTCCGCTGATTGTTTAACCATATCTAATTTCTTTTCACTAGTTGCTCCACTAAAAACAAGTAATGTTGTTAAACCTTGACGATTACCAAATAGTATATCTGTTTCTAATCTAAATGTAATCAAATCTCGTCAAATCATACAAGATGAAGATAATGATCTTACCGATCACCAATCATAATCGTTCGATTTGGTTTAACATCAGGAAAAGCTAAACGAATCGAATCAAACATAGGTGCTCGCGGTTTACCGAGAATTGTCGGTGAACGACCTGATGCTGCTACAATTGAAGCTAATATCGTTCCTTCACCTCGAATTAACAAGAGAAATGTTATACAATTTGATATTTTTGTCTATATTGTAAATTACCTGGTAGAATAGCTACATCATTTTGTGGAGTAGTAACATCATCATTTGTAGCTATGAAGAGAACATCAGGTCGACTCAGATAAGTTGCCGCTTTGATAATTTTTAAATAATTAACATGTATATCAAATGCTGAGATGACACAATTGATCTAAATTATGACAAGAAAAAGAATATTCTTTACAAAATTTAGCTATTTTTTTTTCTTACCTGATCATCAAATTTAATTGTATTAGTTTCAATCCAATCCGTTTCAGGAGATACAGGATCAGGCTAAACGAATAAATTCAATAATATAAACAAAAATATAAATGGAAATAAATTGAACTTACACCAATACCATCTGAAATATGAAAACCTTCACGTGATAATTCTTCTACCATAGATTGCATACCAATACAATAACAATGACCTTTATAATTAATTGATTTTAAATATTTCGCTGTAATCCATGCAGTCGAAATGACTTGTTCCTTCGAACAAAACCACAATCGTATTGAATATGTAAGAAAAAGATAATCATACTGGTTTAGCTGGATATCCAATTTCATTGAGCCATTGTGAAAATCCTCGTTGAGTTTTCAACGAATTATTAGTTACAAAAAGTACACGTTTACCCTATAAGAATATGTGTTACAAGATAAAATCATCATGATCAAACACTTCGACTCATACTAGTTGTGTCAAAAGGTTAAGTAATTCAATAGCACCCGGAAGAACGATTGGTGCACACCAAAGAACACCATCACAGTCAAATAGAAACGTATCATGATCATTTAAAACAAATTCAATATGAATTTCGTTTAACCGAGTGCAAACTGCAGTCGACATCTGAAATATAAAAAAAGTATGGATTCAGTGTCGATGATATTTTCTTGACATTCGTTGAAGGAAAAAAAGTCAATTGATTGACAATGGATTTTTTCTTTCTTTCGTTACTTTGTACTTTCTCCTTTCGCTTTTCTCTTGTTGTGTACACGCATGTCTTCATGATTATTGCCTGATTCTCACCCATCATACTATCATTATTGTACTTAAAATCCAACGAGGGTGTAAGTCAATGTCATAATGAAGATTATTTTCAACTGATAGTACATATTTCATATGCAAAATAAACAAAAAGTTATATGATGAGAGTATATAGTTTTTTTTGTTTGAACTCGTATAAAACTTTCATCATTTGAGCAATTAAGTTGAGTGAATTGTAACAACAGGTATCATACTGGATGTTCCATTACGTTGATCAAAAGAAAATTTTGTATTTAGGTCTTGAATAAAAACCTTATAGAGTTGAAGAGTGATGATGAGAAGATTTGTATAATGTTCAGAACAAAAACAAATGCAAGAGCAATGTTATGAATGCGTATTGAATACTGATAATGGTTTTAAACTTCACTTTTTCATTCATCAGATGAGAAAAGAAATCAATCATCACTGATAACCATATATATAAACATTATTTTTATCTATTTTCTTTAACTAATATAATTCTTTCATCGTTACAAATCTATTGAAGTTACTTTTACATTAACTAAAGATGAATCATATACGTTGTTCATTGTAAACAAAAATATATTTATTTGAGAAACAAAAATAACAATTTTAAACGTTCGTTACTTTACTCTCATTTATTAATACTTTATCTGTTGTCGTTTTTTCTTCTAACGTGGAGGATTGATCATCAGTTGGAACGGCAGTGATGCGATGTATCGTTTCACCTTTAGCTTGCAACATCTGAGCGATATTTCTGAACAGAAAATCAAAAACATGAATAATTTCTTTTCAAATCAATACCAACAACGAATTTCTTACTTGAATTTTCCATTTTGTGTTATATCTTTAAACCAACCTAAATTATCGGCGATTAAATGGAGATTTGAACATGAATCACAGCGAATAATAACAACTCCGTGTTCATATGATTGACGAGTAAATGTTTTTTGTAAAGTATGATTACATACTTTACAACGAAATTGAATTCCCATTCGTTTTGATGCTTCTCCTTGATGAATGCTCGCTAAAGGAATTTTTGTTGGTTGATGTTTGATATCATTCAATTCTGATGAGTGATTTCGAAGAAAACAACGTGAATAATTGATGAGAACTTTCGAAGATTGAACTGAAATTCTCGTAGTTGATACGAGACGGGTTAGGGCAAGACGAAACATTGATATTAAAGTTCTAGTAGAATGTAGAAGAAAAATTCACATGCAATGATCATTGTTGATTGGTTTCAAAGAACGAAACGAATCAGATTACTATACAGTTGATGTCGCTTTTGTTCGTTTCTTAGACTAACCATCGAGTTTCCACTTCTTTCTCTCTGTGAGAGGAAATATTGAATGGAAACACGTACAAGTTCAGCAGGTAAGATTCTTTTACTTTCGATTCTGATTTCACACGTTAAGTTTCTATAATAACGTAGATCGATTAAAAAAAAGAAATGCATATATGTGTGGTAGGACAAGTTGTTCTTAATTTTCTTTAATGATTGATCTAGATAGTGACGTGTTTTAATTTGCATAGAATACGGTCAATTATCTTAGTAAATATTCCCGTTCAGTAAATTGAGTTTCTGTAATCCGTTATAAGAAGGTATGTTTTCTTTCGACATAGATATTTGACTTACAGAACGGTATGTTAAAAAGCAAAGTGATATACAATCTAATCTAGTTCATGGTGATCAAATGTATTGAGTACATTCGTTACACTAAGAATAACTGGAAGAATTCGAGGTACCAAATTGTCATTTATAATTAACTAGTTAAGTGCCTTGTGTTAGTACTCTTTATAACCTAGGAAACGTATTTTACGTCTTCTGTTTATTATGAGATAGACTTTTCTCAAAACTTCTTGAATAATCTATTTGAATCAATGACAGTTTTTTTTCGGATGTGAATAACACCACATCCAATTATTTTACATGAAAACTATTGTCTATGTCATATGTCAGCATTTTCATTCAATGTGATCGTGTACTTCAGACACGACATCACGAATAGAAATTGCATTAATTATCATTGTATATATGTGTGCATGCGTGAAATGATGTAGCAAATAGTCACATTATGTGTATAAAGATCGATGTTTTCCTTCTTTTCTCATAACATCTCTAGATATTCAATTGAAAAACTTCGGTAATGTCGGTAGCTGATGTTGTTACTCAAATTAATCGTTATTTCGCTTCGTGCATTTTCATTTTCGGTTGTGTGGGAAATATTTTGAATATTCTCGTTTTATCACAACGAACACTTCGGTCAAATTCATGTGCATCGTTATTTCTTGGTTCATCCATCGCTGGTCTATGCTCACTTATTGCTGGACTCACACCTCGAATGTTAAGTGGTATTGCTGTTGATCTTTCCGAAACAAATCAAATATTATGTAAATTTCGTGGTTTTACATTATTCACATCTCGTGCGATTGCATTCTGGTTGATTATGTTAGCCACTATTGACCGATGGCTTTTATCTTGTCCTGATGTACATCGTCGACATCTTAGCACTATAAAGAACTCTAATCGAAGTACAGCCGTTGTTGTGTTTCTTTCAATTATACTTCACTCCGAATGTTTCTATTGTTACAATTCAAATCTTGTTAATACTCCAGGCAAATGTTTTAGCAATGGAATCGTTTGTCGTTTGATAAATGATATGTTATTTGCTGCTTGTACTATTCTCATACCTCTATGTGTAATGACAACTTTTGGTTTTTTGACACTTGGAAATATTCGTCGAGCTCGAAATCAGATTCATTCGGGTCAAATTTCAGTTGCGAGTCAAAATAAAGGCACTGCTGCTATACGCTCGAAAAGATCGAAGAAAACGGATCATCGCCTTTTAATAATGCTTTTAGTGCAAGTAGTGCTGCTTGCTATGTTAACAATTCCGTCATCAATTGAAAAATTTTATTCAACGTTAACAGCAGATGTTGTTAAATCCACATCCCGTGCAGCAACGGAGAATTTAATCTACAATTCTGCTCTTCTGTTAACATATCTGGCAAATGGAATACCATTTTATGTATATACTCTCAGTGGTGGAAGTGTTTTTCGAAAAGCATTTTTCGATTTGATACGTACAATTACTCGGAAGGTGATTGGACGTTAAAGAGAATTAACTGTCTTCTTTTATTTCAATCAAATTGCTCTACTTTGAAAATGTATTATATTACAAACAAATTTCTTTTTTTTTCGAACGACAAAATGTAATTTACAGAACTAGGAGACAATGAATATCCACTTTTTCTCAAGTTATGCATCTAGATTGTAACTTACGAAAGAACATATTTTAGGCATTCAAACAGTTTAGATCCCATGTTTTGGTAGTAAGTAGTTCTCATTGAGGTATGAAAAACCTCAAAAGGATCTGTGTCCTTGTTCCTGAGTTGTGATCATTTTACTCGATTTTTGACTTGTTGCAAGGTGTTTCGATAAAATGCCAATGAGATTTTGTCTATAGATAGGGTTTTGTCGATACCAGATTGTTCTACAAATATCAACCCGAACGAACATTTTCTTCATGTGATAAGAATTTCCCAGGCAAATCAGTTTTTTTTCGAATGATTGATAAAATACAAGATGTTTTAAAATTCTGTTATCATATGAAGAAAATATTCGTTCGGGTTGATATTTATAGAACGATCTGGTATCGACAACACCCTATCTATAGACAAAATCTCATTGGCATTTTATCGAAACACCTTGCAACAAGTCAAAAATCGAGTAAAACGATCACAACTCAGGAACAAGGACACAGATCATTTGGAGGTTTTTCATACCTCAATGAGAACTACTTACTACCAAAACATGGGATCTAAACTGTTTGAATGCTTAAATATGTTCCGTTGTTAGACATGTTTTTAGTAATTCACATTATACGACTTGTAAAAACATGTCAATTCAAATTTGTGTTTATTATATGTTTACAACGAGTTGTCTTCATTTTCTTGATTGAAAGATATGAAAATGTAAAAATAAATCCAAAAGATCTTCACTGATGAGTAAATCCTGTATATTATCAGCGACGAAGAGCCGTAGAATCAATGGTAAATGATGAAAATCTCTGAAATGGAAATATTTAGTGATGATATATATTGTCCTTTAACATTGTTCAACTATTCGAAACGCAGTCCAGTCGAGAATGATTCTCAATAAATAATGACACACATAAGGAAGGATTAAATCCTGCAATGAATTCCGAGAGAACTTTATTTCTAAATAAATCAATGTTTATAAATCAGATAGAGTTTTGTTTTCTTCATAAGAGTCATACATTTTACGATTGATTTTATTTAACAGACAACAATCATATCAGCTATACATTTGCATTATTTGAACATTTATTTTCGTTAAAATAACTTATATTCTGCGATGATTGTTTTTAATTGTGTCTTATTTAAATTAACATAGGTGAACCCGTACGAAGTGCTCATAATATAATATACTGATATGTTCAGAATCAGAAGAAACCATACATATACGGTTGAAAATAGATCTTGTTTAATGTTATATCGATAGAAGCCTACCGAAAATAGTACGATAATTAGTTTTTTTTGGATGAGCAGAAAAAAGTAGATCACATTCAGTTGACTTTTGTTTTTAGTATATAAATATTGTTGCTTGATTTCAATGAGGATTTCTTATAATTTTCAAATCTTTTCTAGGTATCAATTAGTGGTCAATATCCAAGAGAGAGAAAATGCATTCGCCATCGGCTGAGATCATAATCGTTAATTATATGAAAAGTATTCTTGCTCAAATCAATTTCTATTTTGGTTTATTTATTTTTGTGTTTGGAATTTTTGGAAATATGTTGAACATTCTCGTTTTATCTCGAAGATCTCTTCGTTACAATCCATGTATTATTATTTTTATTGCATCATCCACTACTGGTATCATTGCTATTCTCTCTGGTCTAACTTCACGTGTTATATCCGGAATTACTGTTGATCTATCTGCAACTGTCAATTGGATTTGCAAATTTCGTGGTTTTATTCTATTCACTTCTCGTGCAGCAACATTTTGGTTAATTATGTTAGCCACAATCGATCGATGGCTCTTGTCATCGACCGATGCTAATCGTAGACACAAGAGTTCGAAGAAAAACTCCTTACGAGGTATATTGGCTATAACATTCATATCGATTCTGCTTCATGCTCAATTATTCTATTGTTATGAAGCTAACCTGACCGATACACCATTGAAATGTTTCTCAAGAAATGTCGCGTGTCGTTTAGTAAACGATTTAACGTTTGCAATTATTGCTATTCTTTGTCCGTTAGTATTGATATTAGTTTTTGGTTGGTTGACTATATTAAATACACACAAAACTCTTTTACGTGTTGGACCTGCAACTTTAACGGTTAATGCAAGAAATAGTCAAGTCATTCGAAATAAAAAACGATCAAGAAAAACCGATCAACATTTGTTAACAATGCTTTTCGTTCAGGTTATTTTTCTTGCCATATTCACACTTCCACTTGCTATTCAAAAACTTTATGCGACGCTGACAACAAATGTACCAAAGTCATTGTTACAAACAACAATTGAAGATTTTATCTATCAAATTGCTTTAATTTGTACGTATTTTGCAACGGCAATGCCCTTCTATGTCAATACACTCAGTGGTGGAAGTGTTTTTCGAAAGGCTATGATGAGCCTGAAAGAATCTGTTATTCAACAAATCTTATGTCGTTGAATAATAATTTTCGAATTTTTTTCTATCATTTGGTTGGAACTAAAAACACTCGTTCAAATACATATTCTCCAATTATTGCTGTTGTATATTTCATTCTAAATGTAAATATGTTTTAATCTACATATGTTCAACGTTCTAGTAGAAGGCTACGACGTGGTATCAATCATTTAGATTTTCTACTTTCATTAGTCTTCTAAATAAATTTCCGGCCATGTAACGCACTTCATTACTAAGAAGCTACTTGTTAACAGTAAATCCTTGTTCTGCCATTGAATATATAGATGTCCTGTTTTGATGATAAGTTTAACACATGAAATGACTATTTCTACGATGTTTTCAAATAAAATATGCATGACTACAATCTCTGCAGATTGTTAAATCACAATTTTAACTAGACAGATACTTGAAATTTTTAGATATTCTTCGAAAAAACCCAGGAGTTGTGCGTAGAGGACAAACAATATTCAACTCAATATGGCCTCACCAATCGAATTTTACGTTGCTATATATCTATCAAAATCTTCTTCATTTTATAGAATATTTTGATTTTATTCAACCATGTTTCTTCGAAGTTTAGCTCAAAGAGCTGGTAGATTAACAACACGATCTTCAGTAAACTATTTAGCATTGTGTTTTAGTAAAATACAACATAATTTTTCTTAGTTTCGATGTCTGACAACTGCAATAAAAACAAATCCATCAGTAACACAGCAACAAACTCTTCTCAATGTTCCCGAAACGCGTGTAACTGCAATTAAAAGCGGTTTACGTATAGCATCGGAAGATTATGGATTGCCTACATGTACTGTTGGTGTATGGATCGATGCTGGAAGTCGATTTGAAACAGCAGAAAATAACGGTACAGCTCATTTTCTTGAACATATGGCTTTCAAAGTATTAGATAAATCGATTTTGTCAAATGAAATACGAATTCAGTACTTAGGGAACCAATAAACGAACACAACGTGAACTTGAGCTTGAAGTAGAAAATCTTGGCGCTCATCTTAACGCGTACACGTCAAGAGAACAGACGGTATACTATGCGAAATGTTTTAGCAAAGATTTACCACAGAGTAAGTTCGAAATTTGATATGGTTTATCCTCAAAACGATGTATTTTATGATAGTTGTGGAATTGCTTTCTGATATTGTGCAAAATAGTCGATTTGGTGAAGAAGAAATTGAACTTGAACGTCATACAATCTTGCGCGAAATGCAAGAAATTGAAAATAATCTTCAAGAAGTTACTTTTGATCATTTGCATGCAACTGCTTTTCAAGGTACACCTTTGGGTCGAACTATTCTTGGTCCATCAGAAAATATCAAGTAAATTAACTTTCGCAAAAGTCTTTCTTTTAATATTCTTTCTTTTTCAAAAAATTCAAGATCAATCAAAAAAGCTGATTTACTGAAATATGTTAAAACACATTACCGAGCACCACGTATTGTCTTGGCTGCTGCTGGTGGTGTTAATCATGAACAATTAGTTCGTTTGAGTGAAGAACATTTTGCCAAATTGAATGCCAATCAATCAGGAGAAACACTTGATCTTACACCATGCCGGTATATCTGTCAAGATATCTTTTGCGATGACAGAATATCAGTCATCTTTCATTTCTTTTAGTTTTACTGGAAGTGAGATTCGTATTCGAGACGATGATATGCCATTAGCTCATATTGGCATTGCTGTGGAAAGTACGGGTTGGGCTGATGCTGATACTATCCCATTGATGGTTGCATCGACAATTATTGGCAATTGGGACAGGTATAGATAGACACTCGAAAGTATTTATTTTAAATTCGTTTCTTTAGATCGATGGCTGGCGGTGGTCATGTTGCAACACGTCTCGGTCAACAAGCAGTCAAATACAATCTATGTCACTCATATCAAGCCTTTAATACATGCTATACTGATACTGGTCTATGGGGGACGTATTTAGTAACTGACCGAATGAAAATTGATGACGCTATGAGTGCCATACAAGATGAATGGTATTGTGCTCTAGATGTGATTCAAATTTGTTCAATAAGTTACGATTTTAGGTGTCGCATTGCAACAGCATGTACAGATATTGAAGTAACAAGAGCTAAGAATCTTTTGAAAACCAATATGTTACTAATGCTTGATGGATCAACACCAATTTGCGAAGATATCGGACGGTTCGTTTTCCACAAAACTGAACTATTAATCAACGACATATTAACTTTGATCTTTTTCAGTCAACTACTATCTTACGGCCGACGTATTCCTCTCCACGAACTCGACGCGCGCATTGATGTAAGTGTCTCTTCGACAACAATGACAAAATCAGTTCAATTTCAAATCTAGGCCGTAAATGCAAACACAGTAATGGCGGTTATGAAACAATATGTTTATAATCATTGTCCAGCTATTGCTGCCGTCGGTTAGTTCAATCTATTATGAATGTCAGCATGAAAAAAGAAAGACTTTTTTTAGGTCCAATTGAACAATTACGTGAATATAATCGAACACGTAGTCGAATGTACACCGTGGCACATTAAACAAACAGTATCATAGATACTTTTGATGATATACGAGCACCGATCCTATTTATACAGACTCGATAACAGATGGTTTTCTTTCTCGTTAATGTTAACAATAAATGTAGAGATTGATCTGTTACTTTGTTTATCGAATAAAAGAACGAAGTTTTTCATTCTCATCTCAATATGTCAATCTGAATTCTCTTCAACATGTCCAATCGATGCAGTCACTTGTTTTTTTATTGTGCGTTCTCTTTCTGCATCGCCATAAGAATACTTCACTGATGGAGGTAACCGTTCTTCAATTCCCATATGGTTGGCCGTTAGATGCATTGACTACCGTAATGGCAAGGCATTCTTCTTTTCTTTTGAAAGATTTACGTGGTCGATCATCTAATTAAATTTTCAAAAAAATGAAAGAGTCCGTTTATCTTCCAAGTCATTCACCACGTGTGTGTATAAATGAAGTAGTAATTCGTCATCGCTCATATATTATTTCAATGTCGATTGATAACAATTCTGACCGATCACGAATCAATATTCAAGTTGAAGCAAAAGAAACTGCTGAACAGTGGAGATCGAGTTTTGATGTTAATGGTAAATGTATTTCTGTATTGAAGTTTTTCTGTTAATCTTTGTTTCTTTCTTTGCAAACAGCAATCGAAACAATGACGGCGAAAACTGGCAATTATAAGCCATTTCTTGTTTTTATTGAAATGTTAGAAAATTCGATCAATAAAGTAAATTCTGTAGATTTCCTTTAGTTTCTAGTAAAATAATCTCTTTTCATTAGACAAGTCCTTCGGTTAGTCTTGATTTTTTAACTTCTGCTGACCTCGATATGATACGAAAAAAACGTAACGAAGAAACGAAACGATTGTCTACTAAGCGTTATTTAATTTTGATATACAAAACTGAATATGATTCTACTAATTACGTTCTGTCACTTCGATACTTCGACAAAACAATTCCGATCAATCCAACAGATCGAATCCATCAATTAACAATCGAAAACCAGTTGTTAAAATCTCAAGTAAAACTTCCCTGAACAAAAATCGTTCTGTGATATGATTCTTTGTTTAATTTAGCTTCGTTCCGATACTGAACGATCTGATGTACAATTAGAGTAAGTTCAAATGATTTCATCGACTCATGTAAACTACTTTCGAATAGACGTTTGGATTTGAGTAACATCTTTAATGATCATCACTATTTATCAATGAACCATTTAAAAGAAAAAGATGAACAAATTGATTTTCTACGTCAAATGGTTCGTAGAAATGAAGAAGCTTTGATCAAAGCACGAATTCGTTTACAACAAACAAAAACGATAAAAGATACTCGTTGTAAAACATTCTATGATCAAGTTCGTTTCGTTTTTACGTGACAATCGACGAAAGGAAAACACTCACACTTCTATCATATAGATTGACTCTTTAAAGACATCAGAAAGACAATGGAAAGCAAAAGTGAAAGTTCTAACAGATGAAATTTCTTTCTTGAAACGAAAGTGAGTTTGATCAATTGGAAAACTAAGTTTTCACTTGATTCTTAACCGCTTTAGTCATTCTTTGAACGATTCTCAACAACATCCCAAAAGATCATTTCGTTTGACATCGAATAATCAATCTCAACGTCGTTGTGTAACCAGCTGCCAACGATTACCATCAGCATACGGTACGTTTTCTACTCACATCTTTTCTTATCTAATCAAGTTTCTACAGACTCGTCAAATCGGTTCAACCCAACTGCCTATATCAATGCGAAAAATGAAAAACTACAACAAATTGAACGACAAAAGTAGCAGCGCTATTTTACTATACTAAAGATGAAACAAATATTATACATTTCAGAAAAAAAGACACTCGTCGAGCACTGAGTGCCGGTCGTTCTCGTTCGGATCCCGATCTCAGTGGTAAAAACACGACGTTAGTATTTATCACATTCTCTTTCCTCTTTTCAAGATGTTACACTAAAACATGCAAACAATACTAAGAGTCAAAACTTAAGGTATTTCTACCATCGATATTTCATTCTCTTTACAAACTTATCTTTGTGTATCTACAGTCGAAAACATTCGAACAATCGTGATTATTATCAATCAAACGATTCTTTTGATTCCGTATGCTAATTCGAATCGGAATTCATATCTTTTCAATGTTAATTATTTGTAAAGGATATTGAACGTTTATCATCGCCTCTCGTTTTACATGGACCTGCATCACATAACTCTACAATTCTTCATGTACCTGAACAAAGTATTGATCTAATTTTTGTAAATGTTAATCTTATTTTGGCTTTTGTAGATGAAATTTCCACAATTGTCAATCACATCACTGATATTGATCAACATTTGCACTCATTACAAAAGTTTTATTCACAAAATGTTTCTATTCGTTAATTGTTTCTTTAACAGATTGTACAGGAAAATCATACTAAAAATAATATATTTATTAAGACTTACAAAACGGAAATGAATTATTCAAATAAAGGAAATCATATCTCCGAACTTGAATTCATTTAATTGAAATTAAACAATATATCTATTTAAAAAAATAGGTTTATTCGTGTAGAAAATCAGTTAATATCTTTGATCTATACACCAGAAAGCGGGCGATGTTTTCATTCAAAAGAAACAAAGTAAAATACAAAAGACACCAAAATAAAACGAAATAACATAAGATGGAATTGAGAAAATTTTTTTTTAAGATACTGGATATGGTTGGGATTGTTGTTGTTGTTGTTGACAATATTGTTCTTCCTCATCTTCATCTTCGCGAACAAGACGAATAGCTTCCGTTGCTAATCGAACAATTAACGGACCTAAGAGAGCGCCCCATGCACCAAGCAATTCTAATCCACCAAAAATGGTCAATAGTAATAATAAAGTTGACATCTGTAATGAACCTAATTTAGAGAAAACAGGTCGAAGGAGATTATCAACTGAACCAATCGCTAGAACTCCAACAGCAATCATAATAACAGCTTTAATATGTGCCTGTTGAATAAAAAGACCGATCGTAATCGGTACCCAAACAATTGCTGTACCAAGAATTGGAACTAATGAGCATAAACCAGTTAACACACCGAGTGCATACCAGCGCGGAATCTGTAAGCATAGATAAGCAATAGCTGCAACAAGGCCTTGTACAGCACATGTGAGACCAACACCAATGAGTAAACCACGACCTGTTTCTTGAAAAGCAGTTTCAAGACGTAGCATATGTTTTGCCGATAACGGACTATGGTCGATTGCCCAATTCCAAAGTTCAGGTCCATGCAATAAAAATGTATATGTTGATACCAAAAAGATTAATATTCCAATAATAAACTGAAATATAAAATAAAGAACAGAACAAAAATCGTATGTACGTGAGATATAATTTTATCGATATTTATACTTGTGCTGTCGCTCCAGCTACTGTAGATAAAACTGACAGAGCTTTACCACCGAATAATTGCACGACATCTGTAATGGAATCTCGTTGAATAACAAAACGTTCGAATAGATTAAAGGTTGTATTTTTTCCGCCTTTGATAAAGTCCACAAAACTTTGACTACTCGAATTCATTGATGAACCGGTTCCATTATCAGTTGATGGAGGCACAAGAAGATTAATTGCATTGCGTGCAGTTGTTGAATTTGAAAGACTTGAGACAAAATCCAGAGTTGAACCTGTTAAAGCTATGACAATTAAAACAATTGGTATTATCACAATAACAACAAGAGAGACAAGAAGAAACGCTGCAATTCCCGAACGAGAACGCTTTTCTCGACACCGATTCATCAGCGGACTAAATAAAAACCAAAACATTGCAATTTTTTTATCAACTTATTGTATTTTGACGTGTCAACAAAACTTACAGGTGGTTCACAAACCATTCTAATATAGGTCTACAGATTGACGATAACCAAATAGCAAGAATTAGTATTGAAACAAATCTCCATATAATAACAATTGTTCCAAGAGCTAAGAGCAATGCACACCATCGCATTAAACGATGTTGAGTCACAGCTTTGTGTGTAATCATAACTTGTGATATGTGTTTTTCGTTGTCTTCGTATTGTCGATTTGTCAGAGGTAAGGGAATATTGTCTTCCATTAAACTGATAGCTTCATCGGCTGTTGCCGTTGATGGGGGTGGAGGTTTTGTTTCAGTATTCATCGACACACTCTGTCTAAATATAAGGGCATTCGTACTTTTGAAATCTATCTCTAACCAGATGCTGCTGTTCTACTCTGTCACTTCGTTTTCTTTCTCTCGTCTGACTATTTTTCTGTTCGTTCTTTTTCATCGACACGTCAAAGGAGAAAGAACAAAAGAACACGTTATATTTTATAGTCAGAAGAAGAAGAAAAACATCATGAATAATCTTTTTCTTTCTAGATGTTAGTACCATTCTCATCTAAGCAAGAATAAAGAAAATCGTTGTTTTCTCACTCGACTCAATCGAATGATTTGAAACAAATTAGTGTGAGTGTTGATAAATAAATTATTAAAGAAAATAGGTGATATCCATAAAGTAACTCTCATCACATTTATACATGTACATGCAAGGATAAAAGACAAGGGCACGTTGTTCAAATAAATATCAAGGATTTTGAATAGTTACTGAAGAGATAGGGAGTCATATTCATAAAAATCATCTTATTTACTTTCAATAGAAGGAAAACTTTAAAGAGCAGAGAAAAAAAACGTTTATTTTGATATGTGTGTGTTTTCTTTTTATTAAGACGGGAATTATTCATCAGACATTTGACAAATATTTAAATGACATGAATCATAATCTGAGAAGAATTATTTCATTGGATTCAAAATCAACATGTTGATAAAAATCAAAAGAAAATTCTTTTTTTATTTCTACATATAAACAGGTACAGCAATAAATTGACTCTGTTTTCTATGTCTTCGAACAAAAAATATGATACTCATAATAATAATAAAGATGAATAAGACAATCATAATACCAGTCAAAAGTGTCATCCACGAAAAATAATCCGTTGTTTTCGATTTCTTTTGTTTGTTTTCACTGGCATGAGTTACACGAGAAAAGTTCACATCATCGGCATATTGAGATGCACTTGACGTTGATTGACTAAAATAAACAAAAACAAATATGTATACAAATCATTTCTTTCGATTCTCGTCTCTTTTTTACCTTTGACTACGAGCTATTTGTTCATTACTTGATTGATTCACAAGAAAACTCATTAGTGCCATGTCACTTGGATCAGAAAATAGATCGACTGATGGTAAATCATCATATAAATTACTAATTACTCGTTGATTATTGGTAATTAATGGATATTTCTCACGAAAATGTTCACTGATTATTGGACAAACACTAAATCGACATTGTTTCGAACATGTAGATTCTTGTGCGAGATGATTTTTGTAAATATGATTTGATTGAATATCATCAAGAATAAGTCGAGCACAATTACATTCAGTTAATGTTTCCGTTCGAGGAAAAATCAAATTTATTAAACGTTGTGAATTTCTGTACATAAATTCGATTAATGAACAAAGAGAATCAGTTGTCATTTCAGATAAATTTATATCGGCTAAATCTAAAAGTCTCAAACGAATCGGTAATGAATGTAACACTTGTGGATGAATTCGACGTAGACTTGGACCGAATTTCAAATAATGAATATGTCGAGCACCAAGTAATGTTTGTTCATTAAAATATTCAATATCTAATGATAAAGAATCTAAGCTTGGGATTATTTTATTGATTGACACTTCGAAACGTGGTTTAGTCAAATCTAATCCACGTAAATTATTGTATAAAGGGATAAATGACTGAAGATCAATTGAATGTGCTTCAATCGAATGAATATTATAAGATAAAACATGTGAATAATATGGAAATGCAGTTGAATCGATTGTATCAACATGTCGATGAAGTGTTAATGATCTCACAAAGCCTTTGAATGATTTTGGAAGTTGTGATTGATCTGGAGGAATGATCGATCCATCAAAATGAAGTTCACCAATATTCGTATTATTGAAAATGTCTTCAAATGTAGATGAAGATGAAAAACGATCGTGTAATGTATGAATATGTATTTTTAATTGTGAAACATTTAGACCAGCAAATGGATTTTTTGAAAACTGAAATTGTTCATTATTGTTCATGGAATTATCTTCACCGGTGAAGAACTAAATACAGAAAAATTGTTTTCAATTAATTGAAAACGTAGAAGAGTTAGATGGTGATTTACTTGATTAGTAGGGATAAAATGCAACTTTAGTCGAGTATTCTGATGTTTTCTTTGGAAAATATTCGATGTGATAGCTTGAGGATGAAATTGAATTCGTTGAAAACCATTGAAATGAAGGGCAATTTCAATCTGAGCATTACTTTCTGTCAATGAAAACAACATTGCCAGCGCATCGAATTGATTCGTAAGAATTTCGACTTTTTGTTGAAGAAAAAATTGAATTGAAATCGTTCGAAATCGATTTTGATGTTTAAAATCTGATCCGAAAGGAGATTGAAATGTATTTTGGTTCAACGAAGTTCCTTGACAATATAAATGCGAGTAAGTTTTTATTGGTAATGTTAATGTTAAGTCAAGATTCGATTGAAAACATGAACAATTCAACGATGGAAATATTGAACACGATGTTGAACTTTTTACTGAGGAACATATGATGATTAATACAATTATATTAAATATAATCGAATTAGATAAATTGATATTCATTCTAAAGAAGAAAGCCGCATTTTATCATACGCGATTCACGTCGAGTAGCTTGTTGAAATCGTAAAAGCACGTAATCGAATGATCATTACGAGTTATCAATGGTTCTTTTCTTGACATTTCTTCCCATAAAATGCAATGAAGATTTTCAGTTAGGAAAAAAGGTATTTTGTCTTCTTTTCTATGTTTCGTATCGAATAACGTGAAGAAAAATGCAATTTGTAAAGCTTATAAGAACTATGTTGTGGTTAAATATTTCTTCATATACTCATCACCTACGTACAACAAGGTCTTTCTTTCTTTCGACATAATCGAACGAAAGTGCAAGAAAGATTATGTTCTCTTAGCATTATTTCTCTTCTATACCAACTTTTTTGACTCATAAATTCAAAAACTGTGGTTTTGTATAATATTTTCTCAAGTGTCATATGACAGTATTTACAAAACTTCTTTTGACTCAACCAAAAAGAAAACATCGGACTAGACTTTTACGAAATGTCCTTCGTTCTGACAGATTATAGTTATTTATTAATAAATCGTGCATCAATCATCTCTTATTTACATTTCTATCCATCACGCTACATCTTTCCTCGACTAAAACGAAAGAGAAAGGACAAAAAAGAAGAAGAAGAATCTTTACCTTATTTAAATAAAAGTCATCTGACAATTACAAAACACACACGACTGTTCTTCAAACCAACGTAAAATAAAACCAGTAAATTATGTCATAATAGAATCTAAAAAAAGATAATTGAGTTGCTCTAAGAAAGCAAAATAGATAAGAAAGTTTGTACAAGATGCATTCAGTCATACGTACATTGTCGGTCGGTGTTATAGACACTTGTCAACGCATATGCGTACAAAAAATTACACCAGTGGAAGAAGGTCGCGCTTCAATGTTCTTCTCATTCGTCACACTCAATATAATAATGATTATCATCGTATCGAAGAAACGAACGAAAGAAAATTGGATCGATCACTCATCAAATCAAAAGACAAATGTGCGGAAAAAAAGAGAAAAAAAAAACTACCATCCATTCTTTTTGTTCATTGAAAAAAAAGCACTTCTCTCGAGTTCAATCGATTTAGAAATTTTTTCAGGTTAATGTCAAAGAATTGTCAGTACTTTGTCATGCATAAATATGGATCGAATTCAAGGTTCTATTCACTCGTTTTTTTTTGTTCGTAGTTTAAATTTCTGAGGAGCACGTGTATTGTCTCAAATGGAGCAAAAAAAACAGAAAGAAAAAGAAAAAAAACCCGACTAAAGGTTGGTGCATATTACGCGATAGCCTTCTACACGGCAAAAAACATAGTTGCATTCTTCTCGAACAAAATAGGATTGACTAGTAGTCGTCTACAAACAGATCGCGTTTTGCCGTTCTTTTGGAAAGAACACAAAGAGAGAGAGGAAAAAGAAAAGATTGCGTATGAAGAAACACTTGCTCGAGGAAAGTCGGCAATACATAGTCAAGACTATTTTCATATAAACAAAAGTGAAGACATTTGCCATGAACTACTTATTCAATTTGTCGATAGAAAAATAGCATATTTTTTCCTAACATTAAATCAGTAACGAGAAGAAATCTGCTACTTATTTAACTGTTATTCATCGAGAACAGAGATGAACTAATCAATCCGATTAACGGCATCATTATGTCGAGATGAATATTCTATAAAAGGAAAAAGAACCGATAACATTTCATGAGAAAGAAATGCAACAAGCTGATTATCGACTCGTACGTTCACATATACGACACGGAATTATGGTATCGATTAAACAAACTGTGTTTCCTAAAACTATCTATCGATTATGTGACGAAAAGAAATCTTCTGAACAAATTTCTAATGTTCCGCTGCGAACAACTGCTTCGGAAAAGTTTTCTTTACTTACAGTTGATATGAATCTGTTCTTACATTGTTTAACAGTGTTAAATAACGAACAATTATCGCTTCTATACTTATTATTCAACGACCGATCAACAATCGTATCAAAAATACTCTTCGGAAACAATATCTATCCCAAATAATGAAAACAATTTCGAATTGAGAAATGTGTTTTTCTTTCTGATATGAACACTGAACAATCGATGGTTCTATAGTCTAGTGGTTAGGACATTGGATTCTGACTCCAGTAACCCCTGTTCAAATCAGGGTAGAACCTTCTCTCTTTTTTTGTTCTGTTTTCATATAATTACAACATTTCGAATAGAGAATTTACTTGGTATTCTTTCTTAGATTATCATGTCAATAAAGACAAAGGTGACAAGATGGAAAATACACGAAGACACTGTGGGTAGTCTAGAAAATAAAGGACAAATGTGTTTATTATCCTGTGCAAAAAGCTATTTTTAGACGAAAACCTTCTCCTATTTTCTTCAAATACAATGAAAAATAAATGGTTATTGAAAGTGCTGATGAGAAGTCTATTTATATCGAGAGACATGCTTTGTTAAATGAAATTTATGCAATAGAAACGTACAGACATAGAAAAAAAGAAGTCTTTTTTTAAACAGTGACTTTAATGTTCACCGGATAGATGTCTTAACATTTGATTTCTTCGTTTCGATTGTTTTAGACGAGGTCGTTCAACCCAACAAACGTAAACGGCGAATAAAGCGAGAATTAACATAGCAATAATGATTAAACAAATTCCCGCAGCAATAATCGGCGCTTGTGATTTTGGTGGAATATGTTCCCATTGAACTGATTGGTAATTAAGTAAACGATCATAGTAACATGTGTATTCATTTCCAATCTAAACGAATGAAAAAGATTGAAATGTTTATTTGAGTTGTCAATACAAACAAGAAATACTAACTTGAATATTTTGTGGATTTGATGTATCGTGAACATTGATTGCACTGATGATTTCTGAATCATCGAATATTTTGTAACTCACTTTAAATTTTTCATCATAACAGATATTTGTAGTACAATTTGTACTATTACAATTGTAACATGGATGTGGAACAGTTAATCGTTGAAAAACAAAACATTTCGTTTCCCATTGATTGTCCAAATTATCAAAGAAATGATTTCGTGCTTGTTTAAGAAGACCAATAGATCCCAAAAGTGCACCGATGACACCAATCACAAGTGCAAATATTCCAATACCTAATAACCATAGAACTCTCAACAAAGCTCTAGTAAAACATAGATAGAAATCAAAGGAAGTTTATCTCACAAATAACATACGGATTACATAAAAATCGCTTTCGATTACGATGTTTTGCCTGCAGGTTGCGCATCTCTGTCCTTTGAATGTACAGGTTAAAGAGTGTTTATTGTATTTTCGTTTTTATTCGATGACGTCATCATATCATATAAAAAAGAAATTAACAAAAGAAATCAATTGACGGGTTAATTACGTTGTTAATACAAAAAAAACAAAGATTTTCGAAGAATGGAATAAAAAAGAAATGAGTTTTTCAAATAGAAAGTTCTAGTAATGGAAAGACAATGTATTGCTTGAAAAATAACATAAAATCTTTCTCAACAACATCAAGCGTAATTAATCATTTGAAACAATAGAATGACAATCGTATTTAAAACGATTATAATGCAATGAATGGATGAATCATAATGAGACACAAACAAAAGCAAATGGATACATGTAGAAACACAAAGTCAGTTCTAGAATTCAATAAATATCGGTTTTTGATCGGATCTTCTGCGAACAAAAGAAATTTTTGAAAGTAAAATAGTTGGTTTAACCATCCATTTTCGAAGGAATTGGTATGTGATTGATGTCATTATCAAGAAAATATCAATTCCAACAATACCATAACCGACACAGAGTAGAATCAGTCCAGTATGTTGATCTTCATATTCCCATTTAACGAACGTGACATCATGTGGTTCATCATAATAACATGTGTAGTTTTCTCCAATCTAAACGACGAGAAAAGCATTAAAAAGAAAAGAAAAGATCATTGAGCATTTCAAACCTTCATTGTTCGTTGAGTCTGTTTGTCATTGAATATAATGGTACTGTTGACAAATGTTCCATTGAAAATTTCGTAGATTATCTGATAAACTTGATTATAACAGGTATAAACTATGCAACCATCTTCACCACATGATTTACAATCATGTTTAACAACCTGATAATCAAGTAAAGTACATATTGTTTGCCACGGACGAAATAGATGTTCATCCTGTTTAGCTTGTAGATATAGAGAGAGTCCGTACGATCCTACAATGATTCCAGCTATCAATGAAAAGACAACAAATATTTTGAAAAAAACATTCCAAAATCGATGTGATATGATTTGTGTGTCAGTATCCATAAGATTTTAGTTTATGCTGAAAATTAATCTCGTTCTGTATGATGTGTTTCTCTCCTTCACATCCTAAGAAATGCAATCAATTGTACGTTGAGGTCATATTAAATATTGCTGTAGTCCTTGCAAAGAACAGAAAGAAAAATAGACCTTGTCAAATAAACTAAACGAACAAAGTTTGAATTCTATACTCAATAGAAATTACCATGAAATTTCTTCAATTGTTCAGTGTTATTCGCCGTGCGATTGGCGAACATATGATCGATAGAAAAATACATTTAACCAACGCATGTGTATATGAAGAATATTTACAAATTAGATTTATTGTTGTTGTTGTTGAGAAAACTTCGTAGATTGTTTCAAACAAGTAATGGATATATATCGACATAGCAATATGAGTTACAATGTGTAGAGACTGCGTTGATGCGCCATCTGAGAATTCTCTCGTATGAATATTGGTAATTGTACCATTCGGAGAAGATGATTCGTATTTGTTTCAGCCTACATAATCCTAATGAAAGAGCAATAGCTGACGTTTTATTCTTTTAGAATCATTTACTGATACTGTTAGTCAATGTCACGTTTACTTACTATGTGATGAATAATGTTCTGTTTCCTTCACTTCGTGACATGGACGAAAAAAATTAGAATCTGTCCGTTCTTACCTGTATATTTAAATAATAAAGTTTAGTAGATATTTTTTCTATTTGCCGTCTTTCTATAGGTGTATCTGTTATTGCAATAAGAAATAAACGTATTTCGAAGCATTATGGTAGTATCCAAGTTGGAAAGTTTACCATCTGAATTAGTTGTTGAAATCAGTGATTATCTGGATGCATGTGATTTGTATCGTGCATTTTATGGATTAAATCATCGTATAAACACAATACTTGAGTTAGTTTTTTGCTTAAAAAACAAATTTGATTGTATATTTTTCTTCTTTCAGTCACCAATGTCATCGTTTGAACGTCAATTTTATTCATATTTCAAAAAATCAGTTCGATTTCTGTTGTACACGAATTCTACCACGTATTGCTACTCGTATTACTTCCTTAACATTACCTGGAAGTAATTCTTCCACACCTGGATTACTTCCGCAATTTTTGGTGTATTTTAAGTCTTTAGGAACTATCTTTATTCACCTCTTATCATTTAAATTAGTTGAATTTACAAAATCCGATGTTGAAATTCTTGTACCACACCTTCACCAACTTGTGTATCTTAGAAATCTATCAATAGGTGGATACACACGGTTAATGCCGTTTAATATAAATACAAATGAACTGTTCCAAGAACATGTCGTATTGCCGTTATCGTTACGTAGTTTGGCATTTCCTTACGAAATTTCAGATCGATGGATTCAGACGTCAAATTCTACACTATCGATAGAACAATTACATGTTACTTCTATTTATATAGACACGTTAATATCGTTTATGCAGCGATTTCCAAGATTGAATCGATTGACTACAGTTCTAAGTGAGCCTGGCGAATCAGATTTAATAGCCGAGAATATTCCTGGATCTACTATAATGTTTCAATCATTACGATATTTAAATTTAAATATTGTATCAGATGTAAGCTTGCCATTTATAATCAAAAAAGTGAATTCTTTCATCTCCTTTAGGTATCATTTTCTCAATTTGCTTCTTTTCTTCGACATGTACCACAACTTCATACTTTAATTATTGAGGCACTCAATCCCGATGTATTGTTTTTGGACGCACATCAATGGGAAGCAAATTTGTCAGCCAATCTTTCTTCGTTTCATTTCGATCTGACGATAACATCGCTAGTTGGTTTTGATCATCTCTCCTTACTCAAACCTTTCAAAAGTGATTATTGGACGTCACGCGGTTGGTTTGTTCAGTGTCGTACACGAGATCGTGGTCGATTTTTTCGTCTATCAACAAGTCAATCGCCAATCATTAATCTTCTTTATTGGCCCGATGATGAAATTCTTCTCGATTCAAAGTCAATCATTCGATATCCTCATGTCACACATGTTGAATTATGGTGGAATTTATCTAAGTCGACTCAATCGATATGTCCACATGTACGTTCCATTCAATTCTATGGTGCGAATAATGGCGAAATTGAAACAATTCATCCAAATGTTCGTGACCTGCTTAATACATCATCATTCGAACATATCATTATTGATAACAATGTACCGATTAGTCCAACTAGATTAGCACACCTTCTAGCGAAATCATCTGATCGTGTTCATATTCTCACATGTTCAACACATTGGTTATATTCGTTGTTCAAGACAAAAGACAACGAATGGATTTGTCTTCTGCTAACGATGAGAATTCGAAAATTGATATTAAATAATACTAATTTGGTACTATCTTATGCAGATTTAATTGCATTCGCTCGAACATTTATCAATTTACAAGAAATATCCATAAAATTAGTTTCAGTAGAAGAAATGGCTTTTCTTTTAAATATTCTTCGACAACTCACTATGGCAAGTATTGAATTACCGGATACTGAACTCAGAAATATCACCAATCTGACTCAATGGATTCTAGAAAATACTGTATTTCGTGATTTCACAATCGAAAAACGCGCAGGTGGATTGGATTCATCTAAAATTCTTCTCTGGATTGGCTCACATAATAGAACTAATCTATACGGAACAGAACATCAATTGTATTCGAACCATCCTATAATTAAAGAAAAGATTCTAGAGAATTATCTATAGTCTATCTGATATTTTAAAGCAACATGGATCTCAACATTTAATTCAAAAGAACAGAACTTTTTCAATTACCTTCACTCTTAATAACAATTGAAACAATCTCGACTATTGTTAATCTATACTTTGTTATCTTTGACCTTAACTAATATTAATGACGTTCGTCTGTATATAGAATAGTTGTCTATTACTGATCGGAATCTCTCGATAGAGAAAATCTTTCGATCATTGATAATAACATATATATCTACTTCTTTCTTATTTTTTTATTGACGACATTTTCTGCTTTTCTGTAAACGGCATAGATTCTCTCTCTCTCCTTCTCTGTATCTGACTTGTATATAACAGGAACATTTCTTTATATTCAACTATTATATCTGTACTTGGACATTCTACTTCTATCGATTTTTCGAAATGCGTCCAGCTTATGCAGGTCCGGGCTCTACGCGTTGGAAACCTACACAAGATCCAGGCAAAACTGCACCAAGTTCAACTTCCGATGCGAACCGATCAAACGCAACTGATGTCAATTCGGCAAATTCAAAAGGAGGTCATACACAAACAAATGTCGACAAAAAAGAATAAGATTTTCATCAGACGATTTTCATTGTAGTATCAACTTTCCCTGTATGTTCATTGCATAGAGTCTTTGAATATTTTTTAATAAACCCAACTCATATCGTATAAATTGAATTTATAACTATCGGAATACTTTCTTTGCTATTTAATCATTCTGACCTTGAAGAAGAAAGCATCCTTTGAAAAAAAGCACGTCGGATTTTTTTCTATTCAGGAAAAGTGAAATATAAATCGAGAATTGAATCATTGTTAGCATTTTCTCGTTTTAACACGAAGAGTATGTTCAGGATTAATCATGTCACAAAGAATGTGACCTTTGCACTTGTCATATCCGTGTGTAATCGTTCTGCTCGTTGATAAAATTGTGCTACTTAGTATATAAGCAATCAAGAATGAAAAATCTTATTATCGTCTTGATTTATTGTCAAATAATACATCTTAATTGTCAATTGATTCTTCATGATATCGATAAAACTACGAATGAACATATTTGGCAATATGATTGTTTATATTATTATGTTACTCGTGAAGAACTAGCTTATCAAGAATTATCGAATTTAATCAGCGACATGATTCCATATTGTTTTCGACCGTTAACTAAAACTGATGAATTGATAAAAAGTGTTATTCATTCAAACGATCCACAATTCACTTTTGTAGAATTGCGTGATCGGAATATTACTGCGAAAGATCTCCTTCTTTGGTCATGTCCAATTGATTTAGCTGAAAAATATGAAGTGTACTTGAATACGAACGATTTGATATTATCGAATGAAATATTTTATAATTGTACAAAACCGTGGTTTGGTTTATTTTGTCAATACTCATTTGAATTTACTGAACAAATGTTAATCAACGATGTTGTTTACAATCAATTCCATCGAAAAAACTCATATCTAGGCTCATCGAATTCTCCAATCGAATTTCCATGTTATGTTCATATTGAATGCAATCGAGGTGGATCATTTCTATGTCTCGATTGGCGCGAGATATGCGATGGACATGTCGATTGTATTGATGAAGGTCTCGATGAGATGTTTTGTTTCGATATGGAATTGAATGAATGTCCAGAAAATGAATACCGATGTCATAATGGTTTGTGCATTCCATATCAATTTTGGGAAAACGGTATTGGTCATGCTGATTGTCTTGATCGATCGGATGAGTATAATGATGTGTCTTATCCAAAATCATGTTTTCAAGATCCAACATTTCGTTGTGAAGAACATTCATGTCGAACAAATTGGTATGAATTTACATGTGGCGATGGACAATGTGCACAAAAATTTGATCAATGTCATAATGGACGACATTTGTTATTGATTGAAACGATTACTAAACAAAAAAGTGTATCGGAGAGATGTTTAGTTGCAATGATATGTTTAACAAAATTAGTTAAAGAAACTCATGGATATTCCTGTGATTTTGTTGTGAAAAATATTCAAGATTATCTTCGATTTTGTGATACAATTTTTCAGTTTCCATCATTTCCGATTCATTTGGATCATATTCGATTTTTATACGAGAATATTTCTCTTAAAACGAATTATTCGTCCTTAATTATCCCTGATTATGTTTGTTATGATCAAGAACTTTGTGATTGTTTAGTTCCCAATTTGATCTATCAAAATCTGACCTGTGTATTCAGTTCACAACTTGATTTAGCATCCAGTATTACCGGTCATGTTTGGATTGATATAATTCTCACACTTAGTTCCCATTTTCGATCGTGTTTAACGTCAAAAATACGACGAATTAACCATATCAATTCGTCATCGTTGTATCAATGTCGAAATTCGTCGAAATTCATTTCTAAACATCGTATAACCGATGAGAATCTCGATTGTTGTTTAGGAGATGATGAAGACATAGATAATGAGTATAGCTGCACATACAATCATCGTTATCGTGTCAAATGTTCGGAAGAAAACAAATGTTTATCATCCTTACATACTGAAGACGATTGTATATTAACGGAAAAGCAAATTTCGTTCAAAAATATTTGTGATGGTTTGAACGAAATAACGTTTACTGATTTGAAAAACGGACAAAATTATACTGATGAACTCGATTGTTACCATTGGCCTTGTAAAACGATTTACACTACATGTGATGGATATTGGACGTGTCCGAATGGTGAAGACGAAGAAAACTGTTTCCCAAGTATATGCTCTAATGGAACGTATTCGTGTATATCGCCATCGAATTATTCTCTGATTTGCTTATCATCGGAGAGAATTAACGACGAAATCAATGATTGCATTGGTTCCATAGATGAAATGGAATTCTGTCGACGTGTTTATCCTTCACATTTGAATCCGAAACGTTTCCGTTGTCAAAATAGTGATATATGCTTGTCACTATCAGAACTTTGTGATAATGTTCCAGCGTGTCCTCTTGCCGATGACGAAATCTTTTGTCAATATGGAAAAAGTTTTCTAGACGTCTTTCGTTACCTTAATGATATTGAACAGAAGAAAATCAACCATTTTTCACTTCATACATCACCGAATTATCCACGATTAGAAACTACAAATGACACACTTTTGTGGACAGTTGAACAGCATACAATTGGACAATATCATTATTCACAAAAGATTTCTCCTATTTCACCGTGGTCTTGTAATCGTGGATTAACTGTTCGAATGAAATCTTACTATAAATATCGATGTATGTGTCCACCGAGTTACTATGGAGATCTGTGTCAATATCAAAATGAACGAGTTAGTTTAACGTTAGGAATTATTAGTGCAGATAGATACGATGTTTTTATGATTGTTTTGATGTTGATTAATAATGACAAATTCAAAGAAATTCATTCTTATGAAATGCTGGAATACATTGCAAGTCAAAGTTGTGATTTCAAACATAATATCTATTTATTATTTTCAAGTAGACCAAAAAATATTTCGAAGAATTATCATATTCAAATTGATGTATATGAAAAACATGCAATGAAGTATCGTGCAAGTTGGTATTTACCAATTCCGTTCCTTTTCTTGCCTGTCAATCGCATATCTACACATGTATTTATACCGTCGGAAGAATTACCTTCGAGTTCGAATTGTTCGATCCAATGTCAGAATGGTCAGTGTACAAAATATGTCAATCGAAACGACCTATCTTTCTGTCGATGTTTATCTGGATGGACTGGATATCAATGTGATATTCCGATAGATTGTCAGGATTGTTCGGAAAACTCATTATGCATTGGATCGATGAATAATCGTTCAATATGTATTTGTCCACTAACAAAATTCGGCCGTCGATGTGTCTTGACATCGTCATGTCCGGAAAATGCATGTGAAAACAATGGACAATGCATTCCTTCGGATATGCTGAGTATATCAAACAAACGATATTCTTGTATTTGCTCAGATCAATACTACGGTTCAAGATGTCAATATCGGAAAGCAAAATTAGATATTTATCTTCAAAATCTAGAGATACCATCGTATCTGTTAGCATATTTCTTTACCGTTTCAAATCATTCAGAACCAACATTAACGATAATGATACAAAAACTAACGCTTTTTCAACGTATGGTGACTTTTCGTATTTCAATTCCATATCATCTTGTAATTGTTCGTTCGAATCACAGATACTACCTTGCTGTTCTTCATACCATTCCAAATCTAGATTTAGTAACCGAAATCAATCCATCACAAGAATGTTTTCCTATTCAATATCTATTCAATTCAACCGTCATGTCTCTCCCACGTTTTCATCGAATAAAATATTATCACATCTTATGTCAAACAAAACATAGTTTACATTGTTTTCTCGATGAATATTATCTTTGTTTTTGCACACAGGAGCGTCATGCTAATTGCTTTGAATTTGATTCAAATGATAATAATCTTCAATGTTCATCCAAACACACATGTCTCAACGGTGGTCAATGCTTACAAGATCATCCGACATGCCCGTCAACGGTTATTTGTGTTTGTACAGATTGTTTCTATGGTAATCAGTGTCAATTTTATAGCAAAGGTCTCGGTTTAACATTAGATGAAATCTTAACTTATGAAATCAAGTCTAATGTGAATTTAATCGATCAATCTTTTGTGGTTAAACTATGTGCATTGATAACAACGATTATTCTTCTCGCTGGAATTTTCAATAGTATTTTATCAACTATTGTTTTTAAGAATAAAACATCACAGGAAGTCGGTTGTGGAATTTATCTCTTTACATCATCGATTGTTTCTCTATGCATCGTGATTCTATTTGCATTAAAATTCTGGTTTCTCATTTACTCCTATCGAGATTTTCTCGGACAGAAATTCATTCGTTTTTCAAACTGTATGATTATTGAACCACTATTAAAACTTCTTTTGAATGTAAATAATTGGTTAAATGCTTGTGTGGCCGGTGAACGTGCATTTGCAGTATTTAAAGGTGTTTCATTTCGAAAAGAAGCAAGTAAACAAACAGCTGAATGGATTATCGTATGTTTGATTGTGATCAATATCATTCTACTTATTCCTCAAACATTTCATTTACGCTTATTTTATGATCAAAAAGAAGATCGAACTTGGTGTGTCATTCTCTACTCGGAATTATTAAATAACTACAATTCATTTAGTTTATTTTTTCATTTTTTTTCACCATTTATTATTAATTTATTCTCTGCACTATTTATCATTATTGGTACAGCACATCAACGAGTTGTTTCTCAAAATCAACACAAATTCACCAATCATTTTATCAGTAAATTCAAACAACATAAACATTTATTGATTAGTTCGGTGATTCTTCTCATTTTATCTTTACCACGTTTGATCATTTCCTTTACATTGAATTGTAAAAAATCATCCGATCACTTCTGGTTATATCTATCGGCATATTTTGTTTCATTTTTGCCATCAATGTTNAAATTCAAACAACATAACCATTTATTCATTAGTTCGGTGATTCTTCTCATTTTATCTTTACCACGTTTGATCATTTCCTTTACATTGAATTGTAAAAAATCATCCGATCACTTCTGGTTATATCTATCGGCATATTTTGTTTCATTTTTGCCATCAATGTTGATATTCATCGTCTTTGTTTTACCGTCGCCAATTTATAAAAAGGAGTTTACACAATTTTTATCACGTATTCAACGACGTTATGCGCTATTCAATGGAAATATTTAACACGCTTTCGTTCTCATTGTCGGAATGGATCTGGTCTGGGGAAGAAAATTAACATTCATGACGAGAAAAACATGATTCTTTGTAGCTTTTGTCTTTGTTGAAAATGCAAATAAATAAAATACATGTGGGAAGCATGGTTTTCTATCAAATTTTTAATTAGTCTACATATTCGTGCAGAAATAATCTTGATTGATGTACTTTTGAAAACATTTATGAATGCTCTTGATTGGGAGATTATTAACGGATAACAAAAGCTGATATTATCTACTTTAGTACGGTTCAGTTATCAGTGTGGGAGTTGATAAAAATCGCATTAATTAACAAACAGTTTTTCCTCATGTTCCGTAAAGACAAAATCATGTTTAATCTTTATAACGCCTCGTAGTTTAATAGTTTTTGTTTTGTTCTATATAATTATTTTTATTAATAGGAATAAAAAACATATCTCTTTAGTTAAATGAAGGAAAAATACGTGACGATTTCTTTGCCGGTGCATTCGGTTGAACTCGATCAATGGTTTGTGGATATATGGATTTGATTGCCTGTGTTGGATCTTCTGGTTTCGTAGGTGTTTTCAATTTATCCAATGCTTCTAAGTATTCTAAATGAAGACGACGCATTTTGTCACTGGCTTGTTCGATATACGAGTCTAAATCAAACGAAATGGATTCGAATTCCGAGTCAGATGATGACGACGTTCTCAGCCAGTGTTCTTTCGAATAAGTTGGTTCAACTTCGAAAATACTCTTCATTGGTTCAACGGATAACGTCTGATGCTTATCAGTCGTCAATCTAAAATGACATTAGGTTATTAGAACAGTTTATATAATCATTGTAACACATACTTTTCTCTTTTATCTTCGATTTCCATCGGTTTAACATCATTTAGTTGTGAAGTATCTGTGGATGATGATGATTTGAAAGCATTGATAGGCATTGAAAGCAGTTGACTGACCATCGGAAGACGATGCGATGGTTCAGCAGATTTCGTTTCGACGGTCGAGTGATTGGGTGAACATGAAGCGACATAGGCACTAACTGGTAATGATAATAGATGACTAATCATAGGTAGACGATATTCATTTTTTGGTTCTTCTTCCTTTATGGGAACTGTTACTGAAGGTAACCAGATATTCGATGGTAGAGTTTTAATTGTATCAACACCTGTTGAACATATAGGTGTTGAAGAAGAGTCATTTGCTATGGTGGTGGTGGTAGTGGTGGCTGTTGTGGTTGAAGGAAAAATAAACGAACCATCTTGTGTTGATAATTGTAGAGAAGATATAAGATTTACTAAAACATCGATTTGTTCGGAATCTGGTGCCAGTAAACATGGCTGTGCTCGTTGTAGTTCAAGTAATTCTTTCTCTTTGGCATTGAGCTTAGATCGTAGAAGAGCGAAAATCTTCGATATATTCTAAATTAAAAAAACGAAAAAATATATATTTATTCTTCAAGGTTAATGATTGTTTATCATATCAATAATATTAGATTGCTTGTAGTGACATCTTTAACAATCTCTTATGTTCTTTCGAAGTCAAAACAAAATCCTCGATCTTAAGATTGCTTTCAAAAGAACAATAATAATGAAATTTCACACCTAAACCACAACTTTACGAGTATTTCGTGTTCAAATCATTGTTGAAAAAAACAAGCTGATGTTAACAAGAAAGAAAAGAAAATGAATAAGAAAAAACAATTACCTTATTATCTTGTTGTTGAAGATCCATGTTTGAAGTGACTGATGTATTAAATGAAAAATGTTCTTCTCCAAGCATCCAGATGCTTATTTATGTATTGCGATCGTTGTATTTCGCCTTCTTGTTCTTAAATAAAGAAAGAAAGAAAGAACAAGAAAAATAAATGACGCCATTCTTTGACCCATTTGAGGACATACCATGGCGAGAGAAAGAAATAGTGTGTTGAATGATAAGAACGCAAAAAAGTATATTCTGTAGAGGCACATTTCTCGCATATGTTTATTATATCCAGACCCTCCGACATGATTTCATCTTGCAAAAGCAAACATCTTTTCACATTTAATTTATTTCTGTAGTGTAACTAGCAAGTGAAAAACATCTTTGAATATTCATAATGATTGACACGGAAAATCATTTCTTCTATCAAATAATATCCAACTGATTTCCTTTGAAAACGATTTGAATAAGTGACAAATGATACTTATGTCTTACTACATTGTATTTTCATCACACGAACAGGTTTCTCTCGAATACTGACAGATCTCTTGTCTACTTAATGAATTTTTAATTAATATAAAAAAGAGCAAAGAGAAAACCGAACTCATCTTATTTAATTCTCCACTGAACACATTGCAATGCTAAATGATAATCTAACTATCTATCTCTACAGTTTCGTTATCCTCTCCATAGCTGTCATCATATTTTGCGCATGTTTCTTCTCTTTATCAACAATACTCGCCACCGATGCTTAAGAATTTGTTAAAACGAAGGTAAGTATCGTGATCTACTATCAATTTCATTGTAAAATTAAAATACACTTAATGTCGACGTCATCATCCTATTAAAAGCATATTTTGATACGCCTATAATATGGTCATGTAATGAAACGCATATTCGATCGTTGTTTCTGCATGACTCAACATGACGACGTACGAATTTGCTCAGACATATGTGTTATTACGAAAGACGATAGTCTCTTCACTTTCAAGAACAACGTCGAACAAAACCTTTGTTATGGACAACCAGTAGAAACTAAATGCGACATAGTAGAGGAAGAAAGAAAATGAGTGTGGATGACGAAATAACATTCTTTATATTTCTATCACGTAAGCGTGCTAGAAGATTTTCGCAATACTAGTTTAGTCAATTATCTTTTGAAGATCAAGTCGACAATGTCGTTGGAAATTTTAGCAAATGAATTATTGTTTGATCTATTCGAATATTTTTCAACTGTTGATTTGTTTCATTCGTTCAATAGTTTGAACTCACGATTTGATCAACTTCTAATTGACTATTTTCAACAAAAGAAATCATTTGATTTTCGATTAATTTATAAAGAAGATTTAAATCTTATCCGTCGACGATATTTATCATCATTTATCGACAAAATCACATCAATATCGCTATCAAACGACGATACAACTCCACATGCTATCGATACATTTCTCTCGCGTTTATATCCTTTACATCGGTTCGTTAATCTTCAGTCCATTACGTTGTATAAGATTTGTTCAACAGAAAAAGTTCTTCGTTTATTAAACGATTTACAACATATTTCTCAATTGAATCGTTTGATTCTCAAACAATGTTATATTCCATACAATCCTAAAACTCTTGTCGATGTTATGGATAAGATATGGCAATTACCAAATTTGACACATTGTTGTCTTGATATCACATCTGATGACGATTGTCCTTTAGTTTTACCAACATTTATTTCCTGTTCATTGAAATATCTCTCCATCGGTGGCTTCCGATGTGATCTTGATTATCTGTTTCATTTGTATGGACATACTCCTTATATCGAGTATTTATCAGTGAATTTATATGAATTATGTGATGAATATCCTCAATTACCGTTGTTACATACATTAACAAAATTAAAATTAAAATGCGAAACATCGTTTCATATGATTCAAGTACTTCTACGTAAAACTGTAAATTTAAAATATTTAACAATCGAATTAACAACAATTGGAATCGATGGACAAAAATGGCAAGAACTGATTCGAACACATCTGACACAATTGAAAGTTTTCAATTTAAAAATGGATTATAGATTATCAGATTTCGATGATGATTTGCAAGAAGAAATCGATGAACTAATTGATACATATCGAACATCATTTTGGATCGAAGAACATCAATGGTTCGTTCGATGTTTCGGTTTTGTTAAAGACGATAATGTTTTAATTCATTTACATACATTACCATACAGATTCGAAGAATTTCATCTGGAAATGAATGATGGTTATATTTTCAAATCAACTTGTCCGAAAGAAGATGATTATTTAATCTATAATCATGTTCGTAAACTTAAATACGATTGTAATCTTTCCGATGATGACAATATGCCATCGATACAATTTACAAATCTGCAATATTTAGCTTTAACATTTCCATATAATGATCAATTTCATGAATTTGTTCCACAATTGAACCAATTGACTTTTCTTGAAGTGCGAATGAACACTCGAAGTCATGATGACAATAACCTTCTTAAATTACAATCAATTCTTGATCAAGCGCCATGTCTTTATTATCTCAAATTTCATTCTTGGTTAGCAACAACTACGAAATCAGATAATAAAAATAAAAAAGTCAGTAGATATTAAACTTTGACATCGATCTTACATAGAAAATCTCTTAAGGGTCTAAATGCAAAAATGGCACCGTATGGAAATCAAAGCTCATCCGTTCGTTATCTTGATCTACAAGGATGGAATCATTTCGGTGATTATCAATTCTATAATGAACAGCAATGTTCAGCATTGATTCAATCACCATTGGGGAAACAATGTGAACATCTTTTGATCGAAGTCGATAAACGAACGAATATTTTAGATTTAGTTAACAAAATGAAACAACTAAAAACATTGAATGTTCGTTGTCGAGATAGAAAAAGTAACAGTGATGAATTAATGAAATGGTTACAATCTCGTTTACCATCAACATGTACTTTTGCTAAAGATATCAGATCTTCAAAAGATATTTGTTTATGGATCCGGTGACGAATCTTTTTCTTTTCTTTGTTTTTTTTGTAAACAGGGATATAAAAATATAGTTGGTTGTGTTCGAAATTTGTCATGGTAATCGTTGATAAGAACACGCTTATAAAAAGAAAGTATATGTATGTTGAGATGTTGATAAGATTATATTTTCGACACACGGTAAAGCCAAATGCAGATCGATTACACAATCACTCCGATTTTTGCTCCGATTTCCAGAGGAATTTCACAGTTATCGATCGAATCGTCGATTAATGTATCTGATCACTGTTCGCCAGTGGAACTCTTTAAG